TCCCCCCATTCCCTCCCACCTTCGCCCCCCATCTCACCTGCCTCTCTTCCTCCTGCACCTCACCTCCTTCTCATTATTTGTTTTCAATCACTTTCGGGTAAATATCAAGGAGTAGGGATGGGGCGCACGTAGTGCGCTGTGCTAAACGCACTTGCAACTTACGTATATACTAAACCTTTTTTGTTAATAACTTTTTAATAAATAGTGACCGCCGGCTAAAACCTTGCAGCATTACTCAGAGTGATGATCTACATAACATACAACTAAAATTTTTGAGATCAGGAGGTGGTCCCCATAGGTAAATATTTACCTTTAATACTCATTAATTCCAATCGTTTGCATGATTACACTCGTATATACTTCTCGATCAATTTACTGATATTCACCATAGACCATAGAATGATAAAAAAAGGAAGATAAATAGATTAAAATTTGTACTACAGTGAGAGAGCGAGATAATACGAGGTGTATATTAGGAATTAAAAATTTATAAATGGAAAACAATGGAGAAGGATGGAAAACAAACGAGAAAGAAAAAGGCTACCGCGATATATGGTTTGCATGATATATCACGTAAATGTGGAAATAAAAAAAACAAATAATAAAAAAAACGGCTAACAAAACAATCAATGATCAACTCTTTTTTTTAATTATAGATATATATCAAATATATATCAAACGAGTCTTTCTCTCCCTCTCTCTCTCTCTCCCGCTCTCCCGCTCTCCCGCTCTTCTGCTCTCCCGCTCTCCCACTCTCTCTCTCTCTCCCCCCTCTCTTTCCCCCTCTCCCCCCTTCTCTTTCTCTCTCTCTCTCTCGTAATTAATGTTGATCCACTTGTGTTCTTTTTCTTTCTCTCTTTTTTCTTTTTTATGCGACTTCACATCGCGATAAACATTTATAATCGACATCCGTGACACTCCGCGCTACTGCCTTATCTATGGCGAAATTATTTTTAAGCAAGAGAGGAGATGCAAGAAGTAAACGTGATTTCGATATATGAGGTTTAATCAAAAAGTTCGTTCAATTTTTGAAATTACGAATGTTTCTTTATTCTCTCTCTCTCTCTCTCTCTCTCTCTCTCTCTCTCTCTCTCTCTCTCTCTCTCTCTCTCTCTCTCTCTCTCTCTCTCTCTCTCTTTCATAAATATTTATATTGTCCTCTTCAAAATAATCCCTATCGGATATAATACATTATATGCTATCGTTTTTTTCAGTTTTCAAAACAATTTTAAAATGCAGTTTCTAATATAGACTGTAGCTCCTTCTGTGATTTTGTTTTTATTTCATCAATTCTTGCAAAACGTTGTCCTTTCATAGTTTTTTACATCCTTGGAAAGAAAAATAAAGATAATCTTTACCTATCATTTTCTGAGCAACTTCTTTGTGACGCAAAGTGATAATCGCTTCGCATGAGCTATATGAAATACTAACTTCTTCAGCAACTTCTCTAATAATGATTTGACGGTTATCATGAATTTTTTTTTCTTAATTTCTTTCGCTTTCTCATCAGTGATCAATATGTTAGGTCTCTCGACTCTATCATCATCTTCAATTATTTCACGTCCACTTGAAAGTGTTGATACTATTTTCACGCATATTAAATTCACCAAAAATCTTTTGTGATATTTTTACTACTTTACAGCATTTTATTTCATTTTTTACACAAAATTGAATATACTTTTAATATTATTTGACCATTCATTATAAAAACTTAAATAATCATCGAATATACAAAAACACAACTTTCTTAATTGGTTGTCGAATAAAGTACGCATTGAATATAACTCTATACATCGAGATAGATGTCAAGAACAAGTATATCAATATGACAAAACATTTATCATTCGCACAAATGTAGTACAGTAATTTTAAAAGTTGCATGAACTTTTTGATCAAACCTTATAAATAGACGTACAGATGTGTGTCTGTTACGACGAGGATGATGAGAGAATAATGTCCCACGTGTATGCTACGTCAATTTTAATGTCAATGTTACTCTTCACCACTCGTGTATATAATATATTTTAGCTATAAGTGTATATTTTATACTGATATAGAATTATAAGCATGCGTACGTGCTTAGGACGCACGTACTGCTCTGATAAATAGCAAGAAAGATTTTTACACGAGATATCTTCACCTTTGCATCTTAGGGGAGAAACGTGTGAAAGGAGAAATGATAGTGAAAATAAAGAAAAAAAGAAAAAAACAATGAATAAAATTTTTCACCACAGAACGATTTTCGCCTCGAAATTATCGAAATGATAGGAAATATCGAATAAAATAGTATAATTAATCGTCTGATGTTTTTCAACAAATGTTTAATTTATTTTAATTTTATTTTTCCGATTAGTTCTCATGCTACTGATACGACTTTGCCGCCTTGAAATTATTTCAATGCGACAAATTTGAATTTCGAAATTTTGATATCAAATTCGGATTCAGTGACCCCAGAAACATATAGATACCCACTTTCATAAAAATCCGATTATTTTTATAATTTTGACTCGCCATGTTGGATCCGCCATTTTGAATTTCGAAATTTTGATACCAAATTCGGATTCAGCGACCCCAAAAACATATAGATACCCACCTGTATGCAAAAAGCAATAGTTTTACTATTTTTTTTCTTCGATGCGTGTATACACGTCATCCACACTGGTGACATGACTTTTTCATGCGGCTATACACGTCATCCACAATCAAGGGGTTAAGGATACATACATTAAGGTTCTCAGAGACGCAGCAACTGTAATTACGGCTGGTGCCACTATTTTAAGTGAAAGGATCTCTTTAGGATCGGGGGAGAATGAGGAGATCTTGGAGGAGGTTCGGGAGGAAAATAAGAGCCTCCGTACCTCATATGAGGAGGTGAAGAAGGAGGTGGAGGAACTAAAGGAGTCCCTCCGCAAAATCAAGGAGGCATCACCACCGATACCTCTGCTCCCTCCATCTCCTTCATATAAAGTAGAAGAGAAGAAGGAAACCCACCCGCCCAGAAGGATAAAGCAGCCCCCGATCGTGGACACGGATAGCGACGAAGAAATCGATGTTGGGGTGATTGAAGTGGACTCTGGCACAATTAAAATCAGTCCGGGAGATGTTCACCCTGTACGGAAAGAGAAGAAGAAAAGGACCTGGAAAAACAACAAACCAGGTCCGAAAATAATACAAGACGTTCCAATTAACACCCGTATAAGGGTGGAAAAACAAAGCTCACGAGACGAGAGAAACACGGAGGCAGCATTAGAGGACAGAGTCCATTCTCTTCTCTACGACAAAGAAATGGACGTCGCAGAGGGAGGGAAAAAAGGAATCACCAACGGAGGCCCCTACAGTAAAGCCTTTACCACAGAGGACGAAAAGGGAGAAGAAGGAGGGAGTACCGGCTGCTGTCTTGCAGCAGCCAAAACAACAAAAACAGATGTAACATCGACAGCCTCCCTCCTTCACGACAAAGGACTTCCCACCGCTCAAGTCCGTACAAGGAAGGGTAGGGATCAGGGAAGACTGACCCTAATATACAGGAAGCATGGACTAAAGTGGTAGGAAGAAAAGAAAGGAGAAAAGAGAGGAAAGAGGGAAGAACAGAAGAGAACATTTAAGCCCTACGAAAGCCCATCAAGCTCAATGGCTATAAAACGGGACAGGGAAAAACAAAAAATAAACCAAAGAGAAAAGTTACAAAGATAGCGGCAGTTATATATAGGCATATATACAGGGTGTTTGAAAGTTTATCATGCAGACGAAAGTTGGAGATAGATTGGGTATAGCCGAGAAGAAAAGTCATGTACCATAATATCAAATTGGCAATAGTTATCGAGTTATTAATTAAAACATGTGAGCCAACGAGCGCGTAGAGAGCGGAAGGCGACCGCAGTAAGCACGTAGACATTTGATACAAGCGGAGTCAGCGAGTGGCGGTAGGCGAGCGCGCGCGGCGAGGGGCAACGTAAGCGACAAGAGGCGAGCGCGCGCGACGAGGAGCGAGCGAGCGCAAGCGACAAGAGGCGAGCGAACGCGACGAGGAGCGAGCGAGCGCGAACGACGAGGAGCGAGCGAGTTTTTTCTTTATAGCTTTTTCCTTATAGCTATCTCGCTCCTCGTCGCGCGCGCTCGTCTCTTGTCGTTTACGTTGCCCCTCGCCGCGCGCGCTCGCCTACCGCCACTCGCTGACTCCGCCTGTATCAAATGTCTACGTGCTTACTATGGTCGCTCTCCGCTCTCTACGTACTCGTTGGCTCACATGTTTTAATTAATAACTCGGTAACTATTGCCAATTTGACATTATGATACATGACTTTCCTTCTCGGCTACACCCAATCTATCTCAAACTTTCGTCTGCATGATGAGCTTTCAAACATCCTATATATATGTATATATATATACAACTCTTGTATGAAACATTTTTTTCCAACATGCTTGATTTTCGAGATATTTTACCGGTCCAGGATTTTTTAGACACCAACTGTATATATAATTCTAAATCTATCTTTTAATATGTTACAGCAAATATATAAAGATCATATACATTTTAAGCTAAAACTGCATTTTTTCAAATATTAACATATATAAAATCAGTGATCAGTGAGAGGTAGCAATTGTGTTAAATAGAACGATATTTTAAATTAAATAGAATATTTCTGCAAAATAGTATCCAGTACTCCCAAGTTATAAACAGTTATAACAGCACCTTTATTTGATCCAACATTATTTCTTACATGTTATGTGATAATCATGATTAAGTAAATAAAATATGGAAATACATATAGAGTAATGATAAAATTAAATAAAATAATTAAAAAATACAATAATATTATATAAATTAATAATATGAATGTCTGATTATATTCGTCCAAAGACTCGTCAATATATATGCATGTAAGATACTACATCATTCCATATAACTCACCCACTCACTCACTCACTCACACATTCACTCACTCACTCATTCATTCTTTCTCTCTTTCTCCTTCTTTCCCTATTTTACTTGTTTTATTTTATTCAAATGCTTATGATTTGATACATCGATTAAAATTATTTGCTGTAGTTATTATCATGTGTAGAAAAATATTATTAAATGTGTATATAAAGCATTTATTCATAAACATATATCTTGTACTTGAACTGCAAATTTTAAGTTTTTAATTTTAAGCTATATTTTAGAATCTGAACTTGAAAACTCAACATTATATAAAATCATTATTATTCAAGATTATGCTTCTTATAATACTCATAATGATATTGTTCGCATTAAGATAATACAATTATATTATATTACTATGTATCTTGCAGTTCTGCTGCTTGCAAATAATCCTTAACAGATGAATATCCTACATACCGCACCATTGGAGCTATACATCCTGTAGGACGAAGACCATTTCTATTTCGACATATACTACAATTACATAAGCCTCTACAAGGTGGACAAGCCCAATTCTGAAACATTGCATTAAATAAAATTATAAAAGTTTTATAAGATATATAATTTATATAAAGATAGAAAAGATATATTTATATAATCACATATGTAATTACATAAAACAAACATATTATAATGTTACGAGGTACATAAAAATATTATACAAGAATTATACAAGAATACTATTACATAAAACCATATTTACTGGATCTTTTAATGCTTCTACAGCATTTTCTCCATATCTCCCTTGTAAGCATGGCCCACAAAACTGTCCTCTAACACCTATGCACTCTCCTGATCGACATATTGTTTTCATATCTAAAGTTTTCTGCCTACATTGATGACAAGATGTACCTCTAATTTTGCAATATGTTTTCCTAGAACTTCTTTCTGCTACATTTTGTAACATATTTTCTGTAATTTCATCAATAGATGGTATATTATCAGGGTCATATTCTGATTTTTGAATTTTATATTTAACTTGTTTTCTGTTCTGTGTAATGTCATCAAAATTATCATCACTATATTCCTCACTGCTCTTATTCTCTTCATCCACATCACATACTATTTTCATTAAATCAATATAACGTTGAAATGGTTTCGCCCAAGGAAATAAAACCTTCAATCTCGGTCGATTATTTTTCGAAGATTCATTCTTTTCGTCATTATCGGAATCGTTAGATTCATCAATGTTAGATACCTTTGATCTACTTCTAGTATTATATCTCCGACGAAACTGTAAACGTACACTACCACCTTGAAAACTTTCTGAGTCTTTTGCAACTGTACGGCGTCTTTTCTTCGGCGGTTGATTTTCAGAATCACTTTCATTCCATTGTTTGTTCTGTGTATTTTTAATTTCGCTTGGCTCCTCCTTTAAATCTTTGAAAAATTCTGCAAACTGTACAAAGTATAATAAATACGATATATTGCATGATATTTTTCAAAGTGTAAATAACAATTTGATTTAGAAACAAGATTAATAATTTTGATAAAAGTAAAAGAATACTAACAAAAGCTGTTCTTTGAGATATATTTCTTTGCCGAAGAGCTTCATAATCATCTCCATCCATAATCTTAGAATGACTATATGACACGAGAAAAATTGTAAATCAAACTAGCAACAGATAGTCGCCTATAACAGTTGGAACAAAATTCAAATCCACTTGTCTCTAGCCGATTGCGTACAAGCAGAGAGAAGAAGGAGAGGTGTCATGGGCCGCTTTTAGCCGAGCCTAGTGTGAGGCGCCCTCTGTACAATCGTGCACATGAACTACGATGCCAATGGCTGCGTTCAGAAAATACAACGGGTGCGTTCAGCGGAGAAAACCGCTCAGTGAGCGATTAGTGACTACTGGTCCTTACTGTTAGATCCTTCCATTCAAACACGGAACTGTTGAGTGTCGTGAACTAGTTACACAACGGTTGAGTAATTTGTCAACGTTGGTCTGAATGTAAGGATCTAACAGTAAGGACCAATAGTTACTAAGTGCTCAGCAGCTGAATTCTGTAACTCGTTATTGGAGTTAACGACATTTTCGTTATTGTTGCGCAGCTTTTCTACGGTATACAAAAGCTGCGCAACGATAACGAAAATGTCGTTAACTCCAATAACGAGTTAAAGAATCGCGTCGCTGTGAGTGTTTTGTTTTCTGAACGCAACCAATGTCCACGACTCTTTTCTGATTTTCTCCACCACGCACGTACACATAGCCGGCTCAGTCTATCGAGTTTATCCGTGTGGACCACGCGCTCGGTAATCGTCGGTGCGCCGAGCGACAAAGAAATATCTATGGCTGCATTCAGCAGAACAAAGTGATCAGTGAGCGCTTAGTGATTATTGTCTGTGATTGGAGCATTCTTTTAGATTCTACATAGACCCAGAAGTATTTACCAATCAGTAGCGAGAATCACTAAGCGCTCACTGATCACTTTGTTCTGCTGAATGCAGCCATTGGCTGCATTCAGCAGGCTCAACAGTTGGACAACATTACTACTGAATCTCGCTTTTCCACTTCTCGCTCCTGATTGGTAAATACTTCTGGGTTTATGAAGAATCTAAAAGAATGTTCCAATCACAGACAATAATCACTAAGTGCTCTCTGATCACTTTGTTCTACTGAACGCGGCCATTATTACGGTGTCGAAACGCATGGTGTCCAATCGCACAGTGTCCAATAGTAACATGGTCAATAGACCGTGTGCAATCACATCATGGTCAAACGGATGTCACCCGTTCCGCAGTGCAGCTAAAAAGAACAGACCAATTAACTAACATACTAGAACATCCTACGGATGTTATGCGGATATCTTATGTAATTTGTGGCTAATGCACATGTCTTCAGGTACTGCTATAGATAACTTTTTCATTTGGATCATAATAGTATCATTTTGATCAAATTAGGATATGCTTTGGAGATCTAATGCTATGTAGGAATATAATGGTAGTAGTAATGATAATAATAGCAATAATAGCAATAAAAATGACATTATTGAAAGAGTAGTGGCAGGGCCACACATTGATTGCTATTTTGAATGAAGTTATTTTTATAATTTATAAACGAGTGCACGCACCAATCAAATTATTTAATCACACGTCTTCTTCTTGAAACGGTGACTGACGTAGGAGCTGAGTTGTTCCGCTTGGAGCCATCTATTGAACCATGAACCATGGAGCCGCATATGAATGAGAGAGAGAGAGAGGAAGTTAGCAGAAATGTTCACAGAGGACTATAGGATTTGTCAGTGAATTTGGCACAGTTTGGATAGGTTCAGGAAAGATTTGGTAAGTTCTGGCGATTTAGTTTTAGGAATTATATCTAGGGAGGAAAAGTTTAGGTTAGGAATGTTACAAGCCAATGAAATAATTTGTACAGCATCTGAAGATGAACTTAAGATAGTCTTTAAGATCAGACTATGAATATCGGCCTAAATATCTTGAGTATCTATCCTCTGTGTTATTCGCGAATCTTTTGTTCGCCTCCGTGGCGGTTAGATGTGGTTCATGTAACTATGGCCGGTATTCATAAGCGGATCTTATATTTAAGACCGTCTTAAGTTCACTTCAGGTACCCCGTAGCCAATGAAATAATTTGTACAGCATCTGAAGATGAACTTAAGACGGTCTATAAATATAAGATCCGACTATGAATACTGGCCTACGCATATTTTTTGATTGTCGGGATTGCGTACGCGTTGTCCCTGTTTTTCTTTTATCTTTATACTGGAAAACCTTTATACTGGAAAATAGCGTATGGATAAAGCTGAATGCAGTCCGGAGCCATATATTGAACTGAACTGACTGAACTGTGTTATTCGCGTGTTTATAAACACGTGTATTTACATTTATCGAAGACAAAAAATAAAATAAAAGAAAGTAAACACGTGCATATGCGATAAATTCTTATAATATAAAAAGGACACAAAAAATATTTTAAAATGAGTGAAAAAATACTCAAGATAGAATGTGATGAGAATAAAACAGAGGAAAGTATTAATGTTTCAGAAATGAGTTACGAAGAGAAGTTACAGTTAGTGAATACTATAGCCAAACCAATTGCATCTAAGAAATTAAGTAAAAGGATTTACAAATGTATAAAAAAAGGTGAATTGTTTTTTTTATTGTTATAATAGTACAGAAATAATATTAGTACAAAAAGATATGAAGTAATCAATTTGATAAATGATTGTTGCAAAAGCTTTTTGGCATATCCCTTAAATCATTAATTTGTTTATACCTTCCTCTATAATATACAAATAAATCATATATTAATTTAGTTATATGTTGAATTATTTTAATGCAATTGTTAATATTAGTTTATTAATAGTAAAATTTGAATGGCATGTGCAATATATATATTCATTTAAGAGATAAGCATATGTGAATAACTATATATATAAAGGCAATTATTTACCATAGCATCTAAGCATAAAACATATCTCCGCAATGGTTTAAAGGATGTACAAAAGCATCTTCGCAAAGGAGAAACAGGGTAAGTAATATTTTATATAGTTTTTAAATCACAGGAATATAAGTATTATACAAATGTTCTTAATTTTAGGTTGGTTATATTTGCAGCTGATGTATTTCCTATAGAAATTATGTGTCACTTACCAGTAATATGCGAGGACAAAAATGTTCCCTATTGTTATACACCTTCAAGACAAGATATTGGTATAGCAATGGGTATAAATCGAGGTAGCCTTATGGTGCTCATCAAGGAACATCCAGAATACAAAGATCTATATACTGAAATTAAAGAAGCAATAATGACACTTTCTACACCTTTATAATTTCAACATATTAACTACCTTTTATTATGCATATTTGTGCCAATTATATTTAATTATATAATTAAAAAAAGTTCATTTTCTGTATTTTTATTGTTTTATATCTAGTTTTTCATGTGAATATGAATACTAACTATTTACTAACAATAAAGAGTTGCTTATAATAAATAAATGAATGAAGAACTTGTATAATTTTTTGTAAAAATATTCACATACATACAAATGGTTTTAAATATTAGTATTTTTATTTATATTATAGAATGGAATTTTGTATCAAAGTTTCATCTATAATTGGAATTAATATTTTTTATTTTATTATAATTTTATGTTTATGATATGTAAAAAAGTAGTTACTTGCAGTTACTTTGGTAAATATATAGAAAAGGTTGCATCACACACTCTGAATATTGTAGCCCATGAAACTTAAGCACAGATTGATTTTCTTATCATGAAGAAAAAAAGAGTTTTACATTGTCCATTTTTAAGTTATATTGTGTGTATCATGAGGAATTTAAATTAAATTTGTGTAGAGTGTGTATATTGATTCACAGTGTGTGCAAAATATTCATTAATATTAAGGACATTCTACAATACGTGTCGTAAGTTGTAAGCCGTAAGAACTGACCAATTATAGCCAATTATTTTTGTAATGATCGACTGTGATTCGCCAATTCTTACGGCTTACAACAACGACACATATTGTAGAATGACCTTTAAAGGTCTGCAGGAGCCACACTAGAGACCTCTCGCGGAGACCCGCGAACTAGGCAAAATTATACTACAAATTATGAACAAAATACGGAGAGAATCACCTTATATGTATGATATTTGCAATTAGGAGAAACATCCGCAGGGTTGTATAAAGCGTTTTTTTGGAAAAAAAGTCGAAATAAAAATCGATTAAATAATTTGAATGAATGTTCATCTTGCGGTGCAGCACGAACTCATATTTTCATTTATTACAAATTTTCAAGAACCTTAAATGCAAAATCAGACTCTGTACGACCCTAGATACTAATATAAAGCCAGCGGCACACGGTGCTTGTTTTCATGCTGGATTGCTTGCTGGATGAAAATATTGCGTTCTGATTGCTGCATTTCCATCCATCTTCGGAAATGTACCAATCACAACACAATATTTTCATCCAGCAAGCAATCCAGCACGAAAACGAGCATCGTGTGCCGCTGGCTTTAATGTATGCGTGACAAAATCTAGGTGTAGATAACACGGAAAGTGTAGCCCAGTTGCACTATAGTACAGTCTACATGGCTTAACCTTCTTGCCTTGCGTTCGCGTGAGGAGTCTCTGGCTCCTGCAGACCTTTAATAGTGTAGTTAACGGTTTACAAATAAAGAGAAGATGCTCTTTAATTTTTGTGATCCTCGTTTGCATCCAGAAATTAAATGCAGTACTATTAGCACAGAAGGATACGAAATAACCAATTTGATAAATGACTCTTGCAAAGGTTTCTTGGCATATTCCTGCATCAGACCACCAATTCACATAGATATTACGTTTCTCTGTAATATAGAAATAAATCATATATTAATTTGGCCATCTGTTGGATCACAGAAGTCATCAGGCTTTCAGCTTTATTCCAAAACTACTAATGATGAAAATACTCCATATACTTTATTATCCAATGGTTATTTAAACTCTTACGATGCTGGATTATTATTTTATCCAGCTAGTATTGATATAAAAAAAGTCCTTACACCAGCAAATTTCCTAAAACGTTATATTAAAATATCCATGCAATATCTTATTACATATACTCATGGTTTACGTATTACAATATGTAAAACAGACAATTCAGTACCAGCATTAGGAAGAATTGAAGTATGGGGAACAGTATCACCACGTTGTGGTAAAGATGTTGTAGCAAGTGTACATACATTATGGTTCAAATATGAAACTATATTGGCATCATCTATAACAGAATATAAGAGTAATACTAATTCTGCAAATGTAGATAATGTAACAAACAACAGGTATATTTAATTATATATAATTTACTATACATTTGGGATATTATTTATTGTTACATTTATGTTTACATTTACAATATTGCTATTTACTGCTACTTATATGTAATATACTATGTATATAAATATTTTTTTATATCTTCCAGACAGGAAAATCAAGCAACTCTTGAAGTTCCTGAATCTTTCTTAGATCCAATTACATGGGAAATAATGACTCAGCCAATTACATTGCCTAGTGGTAAAGTAATAGATCAAGTTACATTAGAGAAATACGAACAGAATGAAGCAGTTTGGGGTAGACCATTATCAGATCCATTCACTGGTATTCCCTTCAATGAGCATCGTAAACCAATCATAGCTACTATTTTGAAGTTAAGAATTGACAAATTTTTATTGGAGAATAGTAATTTGGTCGAAATAAAAAATATGCCAAGAGTCTTAGGCCGTGATTCATCTTCAGCTATAATTAAGGATAGGAGAATAATTGAGATACCAAAATGTATATTAAATAAGAATTCGTTAAAAAGAACGAATGATATCAAACTAAATTTATGCAAACAAATGACAGATAATGACTCACAACGAATTAAAAGATTTTGCCATCAGCTACCAGCAGTTGTCACATGTCCAAAACGAACCACTGCCAACTCAAAGCCAAAACAGAAAAATTTAATTACCTCTTTATCAACTAATAACCTTCATAACTGTAATAACGATAAAAAATTAAAATGTGTGCTGCCAACTGATATAGATATTTCAGATAGTAGAGTAAATACTGTATTGTCAACTGTTAGGTGCTTCAATACATTTAAGAAAGTGGAATTACATAATATACCTCAAGATTGTAAATGTTGTAGCAATAGTATTTTTTATAAACTACCTTGCAAACATGTAATATGTAGAAAAGTATTATTATCTATTGAAAATAATCAATGCAACTTCTGTGGACTTTCTTACAAATTAGGGGATGTGGAACGGGTTCATAACAATATCTTAAATGGCTAATTCTGAAATATTAAATCTTTAATATTTTAAGAACATATTCAATAAAGTTCAATAAGAACTCAGTTACTCGTAATATAATTTAATCGTTCAATATTTATTACTTATTAAATTTGTTATATGCACAATATGTAAAATATAATATTGAATTATTACATCACAATATTACATAATTTATAACAATGATAGTATTGTTCAATGTTTTTTGGCACATATATGTTTTTATAAAGCTAACAATTATGTTTATAAAAATTGTTTTTTATCTTGCATGTATATATGTAATATATTATATGATGTTTATAAATAAGTGCGCACGCACGCACACGCACGCACACACACACCACACACACACACACACACACACACACACACACACACACACACATACACACAAACACATATATACATATACATTTAATGTTTCTTTTTAATTTGTATGTTTCTACAAGATAAGTATAAATAATGTCCTGTTTTTAAAATTTTTTATAATTTATATGCTTTCTTTACTTAACTGAATAAAATTCCCATATGATAATCTCGTAAATATATTTTCATACAAAATGAAAGCATCAATATGCAATATATTTTAATAAAAGTAAAAGTGGACATCCAGGAAATGTATGAAGAACTTGGGATCTTGATTATTTGGATTTACTTATACATTTACAAAATTTCTTTAATTCACAAAGTATTATTGTTCCCACAGTTCTCACATTTTATAAGCTCTAAAATACATAAAATTCTCAAAAATACTGATAAATATGTTTAAGTGTATCAAGAGATACGTACACGGGGGAAATTGAACATACTTTATTTGATAAATTGAATTATGTGGAATAATCGTTTTATCCATTATAATTAATTAGAAATTTACTCTATTACAAAACAACGAAACCAAAGCCCTGATTTTGCCGTTTAGCGATGTTGAATAATGACAACAAGTAGTTACGGGTGTCCGAACAAACGTAAAACGTAAGTGTATGTTCTGCATAAGGAGATGCTCTTTCGAAAGTGTCAGATTGTATGTCACTATTAGTTGACATGCTGGCCAAACCAGTACTACTTGTCCGAACATACTCTGCAACTCGTGCTCTCATTTCTTGGTCCATCTAAAAAAAAGGAATAGTTTTTTTCCACGCTAGATTTGCGTAATTTATATTTAGCTAATATTAAGTTTATGAATTTGTTCGCGTTCTACCTCGTATTCAGCTGGTGATAACGATCTATTGGATTGCGTCGCAGCTGGTGGACAATACAAGCACAACATCGTTGACTCCGTGATATGATCGATGCTCGTCAGTTCCTTCAATGAAAATATTCTTTCCACGCTATCTTCCGCCATATTAACAAGTAGTAAAGCTTGTCGCGTAAAAACGAGTGTTACTGCGCGATTGCTGCCTTGATGAATTACGTGATCTGCGCTAGTCACATGAAGAATACTATCGTGACTGTGTTCAAGAAGAGATGATAAGCGCCATGTGTACCGCACGGATGTACTATTATTGCCGGAGGTGTATTGTACTATTGGTCTTTGACGTGGCTGTAAAAAGATCAGATTATAATAATAGATGGAAAATTATAATAAATTTATGCAAGAATATTTGAAAACCATTTAAGTTGCTATACTAAATCACTTTACCGTCGGCAACGAGTTCCATCCAGCACCTTGTAAGAGTCCTTGACCTGTGAGAGCGACTAGTTCTGCAGCTCCGCTCAGTGGTTTCGTCACGACGCCGACCAGACCAAGGCCGACTCCGGTTACTAGACTCTTAGTCGTCGCTTCACCTGACCATACTTGCTGTAGAGGATGATGTGCTAAGCCAGCAACAGCCGCTAATCGATAATGAGCAATTTATTAGTTTACATATAGCACAGATATTATTTTTGTGAGGGAAGAATGATTGTATAACGCATACGCGCGCGCGCGCACATATACATACATACATACATACATACATACATACATACATACATACATACATACATACATACATACACACACACACATACCAAGTAAATTCATTCCAAGACTAGTCAAGCCTTGATAAAATCCCTGTGCCATGCCTTGAGGACGCATTCTGCGTGACTCCTCTTGTCGTTGTAGATGCTCCTCATCCAACGTTAAGCGATCCAAATTTCGTGCGACACTGGACGCCAGTTTTGTTACGGAATTTACCGTGCCTACATATGAATCCAGACGTTTAATCATGTACGTTTTAATATTCGAAATAAATGAAAGGTTCATTGTAGATTGTCATACCTGCTGTCACATGTTTCATCAAACTGGCTGAACCATGTGTGATACCAACGATAAAGCCCCATGGACCTTGTAACAGTCCTTGGAATGGAAACGATACAAAGTCTCTAAGGCCAGACCCAAGAGCTTGCGCCAAACCTCCTGGTGACCCAAGTATCTCCAACGATCCAACTACCCAGCCTATATATATATCCGCATTGATTGTTATCTCGTTATTTTATTCGTCATTATTAAGACTCTAATCTATGATTATGGAACAGGAATCCGAGAATTTGTTTCTTGCAATATATTCGCACAATTTGACACAATTCAAATTAATTAAATAATTATAATTATTGACCATTAATTAACACATTATTTTATTTAATTAACCATTAATTAATCACAATTTTAATAATTTAATATTGGCTGCAAAATTGGCTGAGTAAATTTAGATAAGCTTAATAAAATTTTAAATATAAATGTATAATCGACCTGCTCCAAATATAGCTCCAGATAAATAATGCATCGTAAGTGCATTGCCAAGTCTATAAGGGGTAGTGAGTAAATTTTTCCTCTCGAAGGTACCGAAGTACAACGGAGAATGATCCAAGGCGACGTATAGTCGCACTGACGTGTGAACACTTAATAAGATGGACAACGGTTCTATTACGAAGTTTTGCAATCGCAATGGTCTGCTTAAAATTTTTGAATCGATCATAATATAGTCCGGTATGAACGCCGCATTCGACATAGCTATTGTTTGCATTCTCTTAGAGTCCTCTCTCAGTATCAAACGCGGTGGTATCATTGATGTTGTATAATTTAACAATTGTGTTATGTACGTATCTTCGATATATGCGCTAATAGGCGCGATTTTCATGCGGTATTCCTTGGATGCTGTAAGAGATATATATATTATCATCATAGCTCACATGTATGCACACACTTTGCACGCATGTACATATGCACATATCACAAGTGTAAAGATATATATCCCATAATACGTATAAAATACTTACTTATCATGTTTCCGTGTACCTCCCAGACATGCTCGATAGTTATCAAAGAATTTCGTTTAATCTGTTCCATATTCGTCATTAGACAATTGTTACTGTATATCATCTCCCTGTTCGGCAATGGGCTTTGACTTATTAATACTACAGGAAAATCGAAGCCACCTTGATCAAATAGTTGATTGTCCAACTGTAAGTCGCCTATGTAACAACACAGATTAATAAACTTGGCCCTCGAGTTCACGGCAACGACTAGGTCAGTCATAGACAAACTCGCGACTTCGATTCTTTGCGCATTTTCATTGACATCATGAAGAATAACGATAGTACAAGCACGCAGATAGACCGTAACAGAGCCTTCTCTGGGATTAATTAGATTGGTACCATTAAACGACCTCATTTGATTGTTTTCGGTAACAGCTTTCTCATCTATTATTTTCGAGATTAGTTGCTTCGAAGTCGACAATGAAGCAAAAGCAGATTCGACAGGCGAGACGTCTTCATGCGCCGAAAAAAAGCTCGTTATCGACGTCGAGCTGCTCAAGCTTTGTATATATGGAAAAGTTTTGTCTTCTGCTTTCTTCAACAAAGGACCGCCAGGTGTCGCTTCATCACAGTCTTTCGCTATATTCTTTTTGCATAGTAACCTGCTTCTGATGTCCTGAGCAGATACCTCTACTTGGGAAATAGGCACGATACTGATATGAATCGTGTAGCAACGATTCTGCATTATAAGCTTTACATCGCCATATGATGGCAATCGCAGATACTGATCTATTGGTATGGACGACAACGTGGACAGATTTATACCTCTGGACCACTTCAAGTTCATTTTGGTAGTTGGCTGATCGTATGGCGGCTCTACTGTGCAAAACAGCAATATGTTCGATGCGTTAAAGACAGTGGTATCAGGCAGTCGATTACTAACGCAGGGAAGCGAGTAATAAGATGATGCTTCACTATCGACTTCACATATCCACGCGAAGTGAGCACTGTCCGGAAGAATTTTATTGTTACTCTCGTCGGCTTGGCCTAGCAAAATTTTGAAGCAGCATGCGTTTTCAATCAACAGTTGAGGATGATCATCGATGTGTACCACGATAAACGTAGTGCCTTTATCCTCTTGCGTCGTTACAATCACTGGCACGGAAGCATTGCCGTTCGGGATTGTGACGGACCTGCGGCTCATAGCTTGATCCATTCTGATCGGGCAAGACCATCTATGACCGAGGCTCAAGGATACATATAATACGAGCGGCTCGACGTTACTCTTTGTGTATAATGTGTACCATTGCACGATCGGGATACCTTGCTTCTGATCTTCCGATGGTAAAATGTTCAGGCTATAAGGAGTGAGGTCATAGGGCAGCTGCAAATCGCTCGCTTCCTCGTATACTGCGAGTGTCGCCACACACAGTTCCTGGGTCGTTAGATTAGCGATTACATGGCTGTTCATAACGCGTATCAGACGCATGTCTTCGTACATGGAAGAGCTAATGCTCAAGAGAGACACACTTGTACCACAATCGACGGTTGTCTTGATGTTACCCTCGACCGGTATAAGACCACCAATTCGAGGCATATAGAAGCTTTGACTCCAGTCGGGTCGTGTCAACTGCAACGCTTGGGACGTGTAGTACGTGTCTCCGATTCCGACACCCAAATAAAATGTGCCCTCCAATTTAGGCGGTGTGACTATGCCGTAATGTGGAATCTGACAGAGCTCTGTGTCCTCCGATACTAACGAAATGTGGCAACCCAGTGAGTTCATCACGAAGCACCAAGGTTGCAACTCTAGCAACAATGTGCTAGACACCAGTCCCGCATCTTGGTACTTTACTTGCACATGTGTCTGTGGCTGCTCTGCAGATATCCATTTCTCTGTGTCATCCCTTTGGAACGGCCACTGCAGCTCATCCTTCTGGTCTTTAAGTTCTTGCAGAATCTTATCGATATCTTCAACCTCAGGTCTTCGAAAGAACTTCCGTTGGTCCACGGAACTGTACGAAAGAGGTACGTAAGGATTCGATGCGGAAACACCGGACTCTAATTGGAATGTCAGCTGATGGAAATGTTCGAATGTGCCAGGGCAGTACAACTGTTGACACTCGCCGCGACCACTCACCATTGTGCTTGACGACATTTTCAAAGAAGGTGTTTCAATCTGCACTTTAACCGGTACTGGCAAATGCGATCTAATCATATAGAGGGGGCTCAGCACAGCGAGAATCTTCGGCTTATCTTGTATTATCTGTGTCACTATTCGTACCCAGATACTTAGAAACTGACCGCGCTCTTGGAGTGGCACCTTCACAAGCCAAGGTTGGCCCCATTTGATGTTGGGTTGCAAAGGAATATCCCCGCTCCAAGATAAATGCGTCAAATTCGTGAAACGTAACCGCATAGCCATCTTTCTGTTATTCTCGAGCATAATAGACGTTGGGGAAGTCTTGCCTGGTATAAGATATACTTCCTTGGAGACTGTCACTTTGGAGCCAATTTCCGCTTCGTACTTGACCAACTTCATCTCGAAATTGTCAATCAACTGATTGGAGATCATGAATTGCCCCGAGAACGTTACGAATTTTTGTGTGGCGGAAAGTGACGTAACATTCACGAAAATTGCTGTGCTAATTGTCGAATTGTTAAATTCCACCACTTGGACTCCATCCTTATTAACGGAAAAAGGCCGACTCCATATCCAGGCATTCTCCTCGATTGATATCCGTATCATCTGATTGCTGATCTGCCGCCATGAATAAAAATTACACTGCTTACTCTCGAGTAGTATGCTGTCTCCTGTGCCGCTCTGTCCAAAACGAATCGGTATATTGCTATCATTAGCAATTACATAACGCGTCAAGACGATTATATCTCTCTTCTCCTCATCAAAGGATGCCAGCCATAGGTGACTAGAGACCGCGAAAGTATGAGTAATCGCCGGGCCCAATTTCAGCGTAAACGGATTGCACGTAAAAGATGCATCCACTTTGTCTGACAAGCACAACTGAAATCTTCCCTCTAGAGAGTCCAACACTTCTTGCATGGACAAATGACTATAATCCAACACATGTACGCTCAGAGTACCGCTGACATCGAACAGCATAGAATCGTCTATCCATTTGTTAAGTATCAAAACGGCCCCTTTCTGTTCCACAGACATGAAGCATTGTATTTCGGGAATTTTCCCATTTAACATATACCTGTCCAACGGCGGCGGCAAACTGTTATATATAGTGGTATCGATATGATTGTATAGAGACACGCGAAGCATGCCAATGTTCAAGGCAATTTGTACGTTTGGTACTATCAAGGAATTGAAGTAAGAATCAATACGCAAGCAGGCCGCAAGGGCGCGAGCAGATACGATGCTTTTCTTCGACGTAGATTTACTATTGGACAAAATAACCACACGCCATACGCAAGCGACTGCTCGTGCTGGTGCTTTCTCCGGTAAATCTAACCGGTAAGAATCTGTCTCCGACAAGTAGAAATCAGCGTAACGCTGATATGATATATGACTGTCACTCCAGTATTCAACAACGCAAGAAATCTTGTCAATATAATTGCCTTCGGCATTTGCAGTCTATAAAAACAATACAAAATAAATTAAGAAATGTAAAAATACAACGTAATCCGGAAATGAAAAAAAATTATATATTTTTATAAATAATAAGTATGACTTACTTCAAACGGCACAGGAGATATGTGTATTCTCGTTAACGTTCGCGGTTGTGGATATCTCCAAGCCATCGCTTGCAGAGGATGGGTAAAAAACACCACCTGTAAAGGAAGATAAATTATAGATTTACTTCCTGCTTTAAATTTTATCTTTTTTTAGATAATCATCAACCAACTTGATATGGGAAAGGTAATTCATCCGCAGTGCCGTCGACAAACTGGAATGCACCAGCTTTGAGATCATCTTTATAATGTTGTTCAGTCGACAATACAATTTGTTTCTCATTCTTATTTTTATTTTCAGGAAATGAAGCAAATTCACGTAAAAACAATTGGCAATCTTGCATAACCATTTTTATAATTTTTATTTGATCTGGTCCGAAGTCAAGGTATAAGTTTTCACTATCAGCCTGTATTTGTATTTGCGGAATGATTTCAGTATTATATGAAGATTCCCAAAGTAAGCAAGTCGTTACGTTGCAACACCACGGATTCAACAGCACTTTCATGTTGCCATTAAAAATCGCCGATATAATAAAAGAATCTACAGAGAGATTCGAGTATATCCTATCCGGTCTTGAGAGTGTCGAGATACTTCCGTTCAACGACGCCAAACTGCCAATAATTTCCGCTCCAGAGTCAGTCTTTAAGGATAGCACAATCTGTTTTGTACTTAAATGTAAATCAGGTACATTAAATTTCCTCGACTTCGTCGGTATCGTCACATTTGGAGAATCCATGTACACAGTCTCTTTTCTATATGCAGGCACTTGCATAATATAATTACCAATAAAACATGATAGTACCTGATGAAACATGAAATTGAAATTAAATTAAATTACTGGAAAATATATACATGTTAAAAATATACATAGACATATTACATATCTGTCTCATATATGAAATATACCTTGTTTTGTATATTGTAAAGTTGACTAAGACGAGACAAAGAAAGGTGTACTTTAGTCGGCCGCCCCATTTCAATGAAAAATTGTTGATTTTTGCCTAAAATCGTTTCAGATTTTATTGTCGCGAAAGAAGGTGGGATACCTGTATCTGGATGTGGATCACCATGCTTCGTTTCTATCATGTAAACTTTGAAATTTTGTTCAGTCGGTACCGTATTCAGATTTTGTGTGTCACCAAGCATTATCGTTATATCGAAACAAGATACCTACAAATCACAGAATGTTATTAACTAAAATGAGGAATATATATTTAAGCAGTTAAATATTAAGCAGTTATAGTTATAGTTATATATTAAGCAGTTAAATAATAAATAAGATGTAATTAATTCTTTGCAGATAAATATATATAATGTATACCTGTATTTTTTTAGATAAATATTGTTGAGAAAAGTAAATATTTGGCTGATTGATCATTAGATAAAGTAACGGCTGTTTCATATTATCGTTATCATTTTCGTTATCAATTTTTTGTATATCCTATAAGAATATTAATATTCAAACAGTAATTAAAATATAAGTAAACTTAATAAATATATGTTCCTGCTTACTACATCATCCTCTAAATCAGATAATATATTCTGAACTTCATAAAGAATAAATGTTATTTTCCCACAATTCACTAAAAATTCAAAAGGTAGAAACATCATAGTTTCAGCACCTGTAGATTTTCCCTAATACAAAAAATTATTAGTTTTAAAATAAATCACGTAAAATCTCACGTTTTATGCACTATATTTTATGCAAACATATAACTTACAATTATCGTCGAATGCATACTGGACATTTCAAAGTCGACGCCACTATCTTTTGCGAAATCAGGATCTGAATCATTTGATGTTTGTTTCGACCAACCAATAGATTTTGTATTTTGAAATCCCGAAGAAAATCTTTGAGCTTGATTATTAGAAATATTTCCACCTTCCATATTCTCGAAACTTCCGCATAATAAAGTTTTAAATTCATTATTAAGCATTGACATCAATTTGATTTGATCTAAATTTATTGTCAATTCTATGTCTGTGATGCAATTCACTTCTATGGCACTTCCACATACTATAGTGCTTTTAAACATCACAACTGGCGCAATAATCAAGCAGAGATCAAATCTGGAGTTAAATTAGAATAAAAATATAAATATATCGCACATTGCAACTTCTGTATGTTAACTACATACTTTGTTAACACAGGAGATGTAGAAAAATACGGATCCAAACTGCTACCATTTCCCAGTTTATTCCATTCCAATGCAGGATTCTCATTCATTGTATACAAATATGATTGAGACATTCTCTGAAAATATTAAAATAATAAATATTACTAATAGCATACAACTGTTAAATCCATATTATTAAATCCAAATTATTATTATAAATTTGATTTTTATAAGTTTTGGGTTAAATATGAAATATTTAAATTGTGAATATGAAAAGCATCTCCTAAATTTGCAGAGAATAATATATTTCTGTGAAATAACAAACCTTATTTATACTTAGTTGATAATTCTTCCATGTGGTAGTGTACACACATATCCCTTTAATGTTAATTTGATATTGACGATCTTCTACAGCTGAACCTGGAACATTCAATATATTGGCTTGAGCAGCCAGCTGATATATATCAGTTCGTAATGGAGTTCTGCAGATTGGATTTTCCGCATCGGGTGTGATACGAATTCCGTCCAACTGTAATATCAAATAAGATAACTACAAATTATTTAAATACATTGATACATTATTCGAAAACAACGCTTCGCAACCTGGAGCATTAGTAAGTCGTGTTGTAATTTGTTTATGTCCATTGAGGCTGGCATCATGAGTCGAAAGCCTTTGAACTCCAAATGTATCAATGGTAATGATGCATTACTCAGATTAGTTATATCAATTAATGGCATTGCCATATTTTCACTATGAGTTATTTCTGCACTTTTCTCAACAGATGAACTTAGGCATGTAAAAGGTTTTACCAATTGAGTGAATTGGCTAATTACACTAAATGGTAAGATTATGTCGATCATCTGCATTTTAATCAGTATTTCGGAGATGCAACTGTTTGTAGACAATGTAGAGTCAATCAGCAGTTCTTTCTAAGTGCAAATATAAGAATCAGAGTCACAATCAATTGCATTTTTCACGATAATTTAATTAAAATAAAATTAAATTAAAAAATGTTCTACCTTTTGAAACTTGTGACGTCTATGAGTGCCCCAACGTGTGTATACATTTCCAGACTTCGCACGGGTAAGTGTAAAACTCATGAAACCAGAATCATCAACTTTCTCCAAGTTATCTTCTCTCCCACAAAGTATTAATCCGGCATATTCACCGATATCCCAATGCAAAGAATATGGGCCTCTATTAAATTATAATATAGGCATTATACAGGGTCTGCCAAAAGTTCCAGAACGGCTAATTATTTCAAAAAATAATGATTGTTTAAAACAATATTTGAAACAAAAGTTATAGGGCTTAAAAAAAGCTACCAGATATTAATAATTGTTTGACCTTGGAATGACCTTGAGAAACATTATCGAAATCGACATAAAAATCTTAAAAAGAAACTCCAATTTTTATTACACCATCTTCTTCCACCAATTAATTTGAACAACTTTTGTCTAAAACATTTTTTTATTTGCCAAATATTTTTTGAGATATTTAAGGATAACTTGGTAACTTTTTTAATAATTAACTTACGATATTTCGCTAACTGTTTGTCAGGATAAAAAAATGGTACTAGACTTTTCTATTCTATTTGATCTCAAGAATATATTGGTACAATATCTCTGCTCTATTTTTTGTTAATTTATCGATCTTTCGAAATTTCAAAATCATCAAATTAACAAAAGTCAGGACGCTATTGTAACAATATATTCTTGAGACTAAATAAAGCAAGAAAGTCTAATACCACTTTTTTTTCCGACAAATAGTTAGCAAAATATTGTAAGTTAAATATTGAAAAAGTTACCAAGTTATCCTTAAATATCTAAAAAAATATTAGGCAAATAAAAAAATGTTTCAGACAAAAGTTGTTCAAATTAATTGGTGGAAAAAGACGATGTAATAAAAAATTTAAGTTTCCATTTAAAATTTTTATCGATCTTGATAACGTTTCTCAAGATCATTCCAAGGTCGAACAATTATCAATATCTGATAGCTTTTTTTAAATCCTACAACTTTTGTTTCAAACATTGTTTTAAACAATCATTATTTTTTGAAATAATTAGCCGTTCCGGAACTTTTGGCAAACCCTGTATGTTTAAAGTTAATAATATATAAGTACAAATATATTATGGAAGTTAATTTACCTAATATAATGGAATATTGTCGCAGTTGTTATTTTACTTTTTAGTTGCATATAAACAGATTGCAAATCCAAAGATGTTATAATATCTTCTAATTCCAACATTAATTTTAAAGATGTATCTGCTTGCCCCATGATATATAATTTGACTGTTACTTTCGTTATAGTCCATTGAATCCACGCTGTTAAAATCAAACTATCTTTCTCTGTAAAAATAATATATACGTATTAGAAGCAAATGCAAAAGATAAATGTATTCAATTTACCATATCCTAGATCATCTTTTGTTGTAGATATGGTTGAGTTGGTAGTTGTGTCTTCTGGATAGATTATTTGGGTCGGAGTGGACGGAGTTTGTGGTATAACAGGAAGGACAACTTGCGTTTCGTTGCTTATTTGTGGTACAATCATTTTGTTCTCCCAAGAGTCGTACAGAGGTCGCAAAATTTTCATAATATTTAACGCTATATTATTCATAAAAATAACCTAAAGAACGTAAAGATATTTAAAAATTTATATTTTTACAATATATTCGCGCATGGTACCAATATTATTTAAATAAATATAAATCTATGATTGATACCTGTTCTTCTGAGACTGAAATAATGATGGGAGAATTATCAATATGTACACAAACACTTAAGGCAGTGAGTATGTTGGATTGAGTTGCAGCTGTTTTGGTGGTAAGAGCTACTGTAGCATTTAATGTAACTTTCCTTATAAAGTGTTTTTGCGTCTGTTGTTGTAATGTGTAACAATGAAAGTCAATAAGACTCAATGTCCAAGGAAAACTTTGCACTCCTAAAATAATCAAAATAATAATAATAAATATATCTATTATATTATAATTTTTTATTATTTATGAACAGACTTACGATAGGTCCATATAGATTCTGGCAATTTAACAGGGAGGTTCCGTAAATGCGGATTAAGCAAGTCAGCATTCAGATTGGAGGAGTGTATGAGAAGACTTGGTAATTTTACGATCATTATTTGCAGATCTTGATTTTCTATTAAGGCTCTGTTTTTAGCTTGTTCTATGCCTTATAACAATAATTGTTAGTTATTTTTAAGATATAACCATATGAAAATTCATTAAAAAAGAAATTAGTAGTAAGGACAAATTTAAAAATGATTTTAATGCGATTTTCATATTTTCTTCTTCATTTTGCATATTATTAAGATATTTACCATCAGCATCAATACCACTCATCGTATTGGATGATATGTATATCACAATATGTCCAATATATCCACTTAGCACAAGACTGTACCACCATGGATAAAGCTCTGCCAATCTGAGTAATATTCCGGATTTCTGAAAGTTTTATCACAGATCATGTCTCTTTAACTTTAATGCTATATAAGATCACTATTATGTAAAAAATATTAAAATGTTATCTTCTTATAGCAATAAAAATAAATTATGATCACTAACATTAATAAATGTACATTGGGGTGCATTATATCGTGCAGCATCAGGGGAAATGCTTCTTCGGCGGTCTCTAGAGAAGGAAGTGCGGAGAAAGTGGGCAGTAAGTGGGGACTATCAGAGAAGAAATATTTCCCCTGACGCAGCACGATATGATGCACCCCAGTATATACATATTAAATGCATATAGATTTTGATACCTCTTCTTTTTCCATTTTTGATTCGCTTTTCTTTTGCATCTCATCGTTTCGCAGTGTTTTTGATTTTTCCGTTACGACTGACTGTTTCTTCTCTTTATCTGATGAACTATGTACACTTTCGTGTAAACTTGGAAATGTTTTCTTCCGTGTACCCGTATCAGATGTACCTTCAATAATCATCTGTTGACTATCCGAACGTAGTACATACGTGTTTTCGAATTTATGATAAGTAGGATAATATTCTACCCATTTAAAAAAAAGTGGATCTAATGAAGCTCTGATCTCTGCAATTTTGAATGAAATAAGTGGTGGATGTGTCAGTAGCTCTATATTTTTAGGAAATTGGACCACTATAGATAAAAGTGGTATACTTTCTGAATCACTAAAAACAAAAAAGGATTCAATTAGTTACATCTTAAACATTTTGCACACATTATTAAGATATACACATACACAAACCTTTCTTTATAATTTTCTGGACCTGAAAGAATAAAAGCTTGCTGAAAATCATTGAAAGCAAATATTTTTATAGAATCTATATTCACTTTGTTCGATATTGTGATTGAAGATGACACATTCTTGCAATTTATATTCTCTAGATATAACTCTAGATACACTGGACCTGTAATGTATCAACAAATCTTTAATTTGTATTGTAATATTTATAATAAATACTTATATTATAAAATCTAACATGAAAAAATTAAATACATAACATAATTAAATTGTTCGGCTTAAAAAGATGCAACATTTATACATACACTTTTCCTGACAGGCGTCATTAAAAAGAGTAGTACACATAAGCGGATTTGTTGTATCCGCAGGGTTAAAAATAGAAGCCACTATAAAAATTGCAGCCATTAACTTTGATTTGGTTCCTGTGACTGTGATGCTATCTGATTGAAATGAGTACGACTTTTGAATCATGTCTATATTTCGCCAATATTGAGGATATAACAATATCTTAGAAGAAGCTATCATTGAATAAGGCATTATTATTGAAGTATTGCAAATTTTCGCTAAATGGAGTTGGCTTTTTACTCCAATCACCTGTAATAGAAGTTAGATCAAATTTTACCGAGATTAATCTCAATAAGATTGGAGGCGTTTACAATAATATCGCATATAAAATTTTGCTTACCTGTATATCAGTAATCGCATGGCACTGAGTAAACATTTCTGGTGACAATTCTGTTAATTTTGATGCACAAGCCACGAGTCTAAATGGATACATAGGCTGAATTACAGTGGCAACTGCTTCATCACATTCAATGCTTATAAAAGGATCATCCGTAAAAGCAGGAGATGGCGGAATAACCTGAAAAATATATATATATATATTTCATAATTTAAAACAGCAAAATATAATATATTAAAAATATCTTACTTTAGTTTCAATAATTTTATGCTGACGTGATACTCCTGTAACATAATGATTTGCTAGTTGTAATTGTAATGACGCTTTTTTTAAAATTAACTTGATTTCTGTCGTTGCTACGTTTTCTTTGAGTGCTTCATACTCTTCTAATGTAACCGGAGGTAACTCATCAATAAGAGGATCTAAGATCATATTTAAACTTATTAGATTCAATCCACACATTTTATTTTTGTATTTAAAACTTTTATCTAATACAAAATTTGTAATTGAATCAAGATTACATCATACATATTTACCTGATTTCATTATAAGGTAGGGGTCATAATCGTAATTTGCTGCGGCTTTCTTAATGGTATCGACACGATGGAAAATTCCTGAACATAATCTAATTGTTAAGTCGTTGCCAAGATATCTTACCATTCTACGCTCTTGAAAATTGCTATAAAAAATAAACTGTTTATAAACATATTTTTTTCTCTTATATTTCATATATACAACGTTATCAAAATTTTCCAAACACCTGTATTCAAAGTTTGATCCAAGCTCAAGCAATCTTTCGGGAGTAACATCATCGGGCAATTCGACATAATATATATAATCCATGACAAACGCTGGACATCTATCTAATAATTTTTCATCTAAAAGACAAATATTTTATTACTTTTTATAAAATATTACACATATTTTCAACATTATTTATAATAATTATTATTATTGCATCGTGATTGTTGCTATACCCGAAAATGTCACTAAGTGATGATCTATTCCTTGTATATAATCTCTCCTTTTTCCTTTATTTTCTACAGCTTCTTTATCAAACAATGAATCTTTCAGATAGTCAATATTTAACTTCCCAGCTATTACGTAAAGAGGTGGCTATAATAATAATAATTTACATCTCAAATATTTTTTTCAATTTCACATCCGGCAATAATAACTAATTACTTTACCTGCGCACCATCAATAACTTCTAAATATCCACAACTGCACGTTTCTCGCGGATAAAGTCGTATACATGCCACTCCAACTTGGAAAGTTGTCATTGCAATTCCTTGTATTAAAGTATTTATCACAACCCCATTTAACTGAAGTGATAACAATGATTTGTACCTAAATTTCCGAGATTTATAAAACAATTGCTCTTTGACACTTTCAACAGTCTGCAGAAATCCGTAAAATATAATTATACATTTCCAAATTACTTATAGTGTTAAAATAATGCTTGCTGAATATGTTATGTTATACCTTAAATGTTAAAGTAGCATCATCTATGTAAACGCCTAGATGTATGGTATGGCCGGAATAAGCCATTTGTTGTTCAGTAGACCAATCATTATCCCAATCAACAGGCAAAACAGACGACACCATGTCCCATGCCCATCCACTCCACCCAACATCTGTAGAAATTCCTGCTACCTGATTTGTGTCATCTGAAATATATTAATATTACATATTATCGAAATTAAACTATTCAAGTAAATATTAAAATGATATTGAACCTTGCACAACATCCTCCCTTTCATCTACAGTAATAGATGATTTCTCTTTGCTTGGTGGAAACTGTTTTGTTTGCAATGCGATTGCTAGGGCTGCCAGCCTGAGGAGCATTGGTACTTGCTGCTCGGTTACACTAAATTCCATTTTTTCACAATGAAGATCAAGTCTCGTAATGGATGCCCTCTTTGAGATATTATTGTGATATTTTATAATCATGCGAATTGTCATTGAACATCGATATAAAACAGGATCCTATATCAGTTAATATCTAAATTAGCTTCCTTTTAAATAAAAGTTTTGTTGTATTTATTTATTTTTTTGTTTTCAAGATCTTTACAATATTTAAATTTATGAAAGAACCATTTGATACCTGATATATTTCTATCTTGCCTGATGTATCCAATTTATCTAAACACAATGTTAAGTCCTGGATAGCTATAACTTTTCTAAGCATCACTTCATGAGCGTTGACCTCTAAACATTAAATAATTATGTACACACACATATATATGTATATACAAGGTAGCCCACGTAAAGCGTTACAAGTCCATAACTTTAAAAATATTTATTAAATCAAAAAATTGTTCATAAGGAAGTTTCATGTATTCGAGAGGCCTCTGTAACTATATAAATGTCGTCCCCGTTTCCCCTTTAAGGGGGGACAAGGATAACTTCATAATTTTAAATGGAACCCCCTATAAAATGTTGCATATTTGGATTCTACAGGAAAAACAAGTAAATTTTATCTGAAACATTTGTTTGGAAAATGCTTCTATCAAAAGTTATAAGCATTTAAACCTTTAGCGATTTCATTCATGATTGAACTCCATTGATACAAAGTTGCGTTCGCGATACAACAAAAACAAAAAAGACCTTAGAATGCATACTTCATGTTAACCAAAAGAAACATAAATAAATACATTTATCGGGAAACGTAAATATAGATCACAGACAAATATAGACCATCAGACATTTAGTTAGTTTTGAGTTGGTTTTCATGTTATCGAAAATCATGGCTCGTTTTGACGTAGAAGTTAATATGTTGCTAATTCTGGTAGAATGTGAGAAAAATTATCGACATACAGCGTAACTATTTTTAAAATGTTACGGTATACAAAAATCGCATATGGCATTTCTTCGTTTAGAAAATCGTTTACATGTACATGATCAATTAAAAATAATTAAAAGACAAAAAGCAAAACCAATTGTTAATTATGATAACAATGTCAATATTCTCGCGGCAGTTGAAGTAAATCCACATGTCAGTCAACGCGAAATAGCAAACACGTTTGGAGTTGGACAGTCTTCAATATAGCGAATTCTGAAAGAACAAACATTTCATCCGTATCATTTGATTTTGACTCAAGAACTTTTGGAAGCTGATTATGAGCGTCGTGTAATATTTTGCGAATGGATGCGTGATGCCATGATAAATGATTCATTTTTGCAAAGTATTCTTTTTTCTGATGAAGCAACATTTACCAACATTAGACCTTAATAGACATAATATGCACTATTGGTCACGTGAGAATCCTCATTGGATGTGCAAGGTCCCTTTCCAACATCGTTCGTCATTAAATGTATGGTGTGGAATAATTGGCGATTTCGTAATTGGACCACCCTTTTTTGATGGTACTATTAATACTGATCCTATTGTAATCTATCAAGGAATCATCTTCCATTACTTTTGAAAGAATTACCATTTATAAATTAATGTGAGAAAAGGCATGTGGTTTCAAAAGATGGTGCGCACCTCCTCATTTTTCCAGAGCAACGCGTATTCTTTTAAACGAGATATTTGGTGACAGGTGGATAGGTCGAGGAGGTCCTATTCAATAGCCTCTTCGTTCACCTGTGATCTTACATCTTTGGACTATTTTTTATGGGGGTATATCAAAGAGAAAGTCACATCTCAGCCACTTACGACGAAAGAAGACTTAAAACGAAGAATAGCTTGTGCTAAGGTGACCCCAGAAATGTTGTTTAAAGTTAGACAAAGTTTTGTAAAAAGAATTAATAAGTGTTTAGATGTTAACAGTCAAGTGAATGGTCAACAGTCCGAACATTTAATAAAATAAAAAACTGAAAAACTATGAGTCTTAATTAATTTATCATTAATTTCAATGCACTCTACTTTAAAGTTTAAATGATTATAACTTTTAATAGAAGCATTTTCCAAACAAATGTTTCAAATAAAATTTACTTGTTTTTGCCCGTAGAATTCAAATATGCAACATTTTATAGGGAGTTCCATTTAAAATTATAAAGTTACCCCCGTTCCCCCTTAAAGGGGAAGCGGGGGCGACTTTACGTTTATGTAGTTAGAAAGGCCTCTCGAATACATGAAACTTCCTTATGAACAATTTTTTGATTTGATAAATATTTTTAAAGTTATGGACTTGTAACACTTTATGTGGACATCCTATATGTACATATACATATATGTGTGTGTATATATATACACATACATACATACATATATATAGGGTGTCTTAAAAATACTGGAACCTCTGGATAACTTGACAGGATCAAGTTTTCATGAAAAACTTTAAATACAGAAGTTGTAGAAAATCGAGTAACGGATTTACTGGTAACCTTGAATTTGATCTTGACCATGACCTTCAAAGTCATTTGGAGGTCAACTTGCGTTTTTTAAATGGAAACCCTTATTTTTTATTATACTATTTTTTTCTACCAATTAATTTGAACAACTTTTGTCTAAAACATTTTTTATTTCCCTAATATTTTTTGAGATATTTAAGGATAACTTGGTAACTTTTTCAATATTTAACTTACGATATCTCGTTAACTATTTGTCGGAAGAAAAAGTGATACTAGATTTTCTTGCTTTATTTAGTCTCAAAAATATATTATTATAATAGTGCCCTGATTTTTGTTAATTTGATGATTTTGAAATTTCCAAAAGTTGATAAGTTAACAAATGTCAGGACGCTATTGTAACAATATATTCTTGAGACTAAATAAAGCAAGAAAATCTAGTACCACTTTTTCTTCTGACAAATAGTTAGCGAGATATCGTAAGTTAAATATTGAAAAAGTTATCAAGTTTTCCTCAAGTATCTAAAAAAATATTAGGTAAATAAAAAAATATTTTAGACAAAGGTGTTCAAATTAATTGGTAGAAAAAACAGTGTAATAAAGAATAAGTTCCCATTTAACACGCAAGTTGACCTCCAAATGACTTTGAAGGTCATGGCCAAGGTCAAATTCAATGTCGCCAGTAAGTCCGTTACTCGATTTTCTACAACTTCTGTATTTAAAGTTTTTCATGAAAACTTGATCCTACAAAGTTATCCGGAGGATCCAGTATTTTTAAGACACCGTGTATATACATACCTACATACATATATACACACATACATATACACACACATACATACGTACATACAAGATGAGGAAATAAGATGGAAACTCTTAAAAATTTCAAAAGATATAAGTTTTACAGAAAAGTATTTCAGACAAAAGTTATAAGACTCAAAACAATATATTTACTGATCTTATCAGTTTGACCTTGAATAACATTGCCAAGGATAGGTCAAGGTTAAATTATATTTTTTTAAACAGAAACCTCCATTTTTTATTGTATCATTTTTTTCTACCAATTAATTTGAACAACTTTTGTCTGAAACAATTTTTTATTTACCTAATATGTGTTGAGATATTTATGCAAAACTTGATGATTTTTTCAATATTTATCTTACGATATCTCGCTAACTATTTGTCAGAAGAAATACATACGTACATAAGTACATACGTACATACGTGCATACGTACATACGTGCATACATACATACATACATATACATACATATATAGTGTCCCATAACTCAGTACGAGAAATTTATCGAGACATAGAACAGATTAAGGCAAATGTGAAAGTTCTATATCGTTTTACGATATTTGCATAGATATCGAATTATTAATAACAGAATCTAACGAGTGAGCGTACGCCGAAATGAAGAAACGTCACAGTCGCTCGCGTGCTCATATATCAAATTTCTGTCATTAATAACTCAATAACTATTACGAATATCGCAAAATGATATGGGACTTTTATGTTTGTCTTAATCTGCTCTGTCTGCACAAATTTCTTGTACTGAGTTATGAGACACCCTGTATATACGAAGTTTCAGACCACCCGAGTCACCCGATTTTTTCATAAACGTGACATTTTAGAGAAAAATGTTTCAGACAAAAGTTGTAGAATTTTAAGTGACGCATCAGACTGTGATATTAGTATAATCTTGAATATCGTTTTCAAGATCACGTAAACGTCACCTTCAAATTTTTAAATGGAACCTCCCATTTTTCATTACATATTCTTGTAGCTTATTTCGAGAGCTTTGTAAAATACTATAATAACATATTTTTCCATTAGGTATTTTTCAAATTGAGGTCTAAAAGTTAGAATACCGTCGGCATTAGCATTACTCAAGGTGTACTGCGTGGAGGTTGCATGGTCGGATTTACACCTGTTGTGTGTGTGCGTGCGTGCATGTGTGTGTGTGTATGATGCTAGTGTGATTCGTAGAATATGCGACTCTATTTGTTCTTTATATGCTGATGAAATTCTTCGTGCAACAAATAATTAAAAGATAAGAGTACTTGCTTGCATTGAAGCAAACGGTGAACATTTGGAACCTAATCACATCAGCTATACACACACACAGCAGAGAAAGTTTGGAGTCGATAAATATTACTGGAGTGACGAACCGTGAGGTCCTTATCTCTGCTGACACACATACACGCACACGTACACGCACGTACACATACATACATGCACACACACACACACACGCACACACACACACACGCACGCATCCAACAAATGTAAATCCGACCATGCAACCTCCATGCGGTACACCTTGGATAATGCTAACGCTGGCGGTATTCTAACCTTCAAGCCTCATAATTCGAAAAGATCTAATGGAAAAATACTTTATTATAGTGTTTTGCAAAGCTCTCGAGATAAGCTACAATATGCAATGAAAAATGAAGAGTTTCATTTAAAAAATTGAAGGTGACCTTCAAAACGCTATTCAAAGTCATACTAATACCACTATCTGATGCGTCACTTAAAATCCTACAACTTTCGTCTGAAACATTTTTCTCTAAAATGTGACGTTTACGAAAAAATCGGGTGACCCAGGTGGTCTGAAACACCCCGTACGTACATACACTAATCACACATACACAGGAGCGCGCACTCACGCACACATGCATATGCATACATACATCATATTAATGCATCCTTAACATAATTTTGTTAATAAATAAAATTATTTGTTGCTCTACAATATAGGAATATTAAAGATGCCCACCCATAAATGCTGGTTCCCATTTGTTATCAACGGTTTGCATGCTTAAAAATCTGACATTTATGCTAAGCACAATATCCTCTTCCACATATTTCAAAATAAGATTGTTGCAGTGAATAGTGATGTTATTAATAACTTTTGTAATTATGTTTCTTATGTATCCAGATGGAGCTTCCTCACTGTTAGAAAAAAAATTAAAAATATTGTTTTAAACATATATTTGTTATTATACTAAGTAATAAGAAATTTTCATTTATATTTAATCATAAATATTACTTTTTCTGATACTTACTGTACCATCTCTTTTCTCCTTTGTAATGCTGCTGTACTAGTTTCTATAGTATTTTCAGCTTTCAACTTTAAAATACATTCTGTAAGAAAATATAAACCAATGTTTATCTGACATTTTAGTAACATTTCTTATAAATTAAACAAAAACATTATATTAGATCATTAAATATGAAATGTCCGATTTCCTTAAATACTAAGTTCGACAGTCGATATCTCTGACATTTAGTTCTTGATTTTTTTTGTTATGAGGGTACATCATCACTCTTTCAAACGTATGTTTTGTGATTATCTTTCAAATTGTCTTTGTTACAGCAATTTTTGTGTAACTATGGATAAACTAAAAATTCGTGTTATTTTCAAATATGAGTTCCGTCATGGAACCAATGCAGCATAGACAACTCGAAATATCAACAAAGTGTTTGGTAAAGATGTGGCTAATGAACGCACAGTACGTCGATGGTTTGAGAAGTTTCGTTTTGACAATTTTAATCTTGAAAATGAGCCATGTGGACGACCCGAGACCAAAGTAGATAATGATGAGTTGAAAGCTGTAGTAGAAGCAGATATATCTCAAACTACGCATGAATTAACAGCAAGGTTTAACGTTACTATTCCAACAATATTGGATCACTTGAAACAAATCGGCAAGGTAAAGAAGCTGGATAGATGGGTTCCGCATGAATTAAACGAGCATCAGAAGAGAAATCGTCTCGAAGCTTGCCTTTCTCTACTATCACGACATAAAGGCGAATCATTTTTACATTGTATTATTACGTGTGATGAAAAATGGATTCTTTTTGACAATCGCAAGCGTTCGGCACAATGGTTAGATATAAATGAAGTGCCGAAACACAGTCCAAAACCGAATATTCACAAAAGAAAACTAATGGTGTCTGTTTGGTGGTCCAGCGCTAGTATTGTCCACTACAGCTTCATGAAACCTAGTTAATCAATTACAGCGGATGTCTACTGTAATCAACTGGATGAAATGATGAGAATACTTGCAATTAAGCAGCCGAGATTGGTTAATCAAGACAGGCTAATCTTCTTGCAAGATAACGCTTAACTACATGTTGCACAAATAACATTACTCAAACTACAGCAGCTGGACTTGGAAACTCTCTGTCACCCACCATATTCACCAGACCTTGCCCCAACTGGCTACCACTTCTTCCAGGTTTTGGACTACTTGCAAGGAAAAATATTTAATTTTCAAGAAGCTGTGAAAAACGCCTTCCGCGATTTCATCGTCACTTGCTCTTCAGGCTTCTTCGCTGCTGACATGAATAAACTACTGTTAAGATGGCAGAACTGTGTCGATAGTTTAGGCGCATACTTTGATTAATTTTACTATTTCTGGTTTGATATAATAAATCAAACTTTTAATTCGAAATCAGACATTTCATATTTAATGACCTAATATTATTATTTACCTATAGTATTAATAGTAATAACTATTGGTTCAGAGGTAATTTTTACCCAAGGGACATGTATCAACAATTCATGTATATGACCACTAATAAAAACAAATGGGAGATTAAGTTGTTCCTCCAATACCTCTAATCTTAAGTCTAAATTTTGAAAAGATGCATCTCCACCCCATAATGATACCTGAAAGCAGTTTTTCATCTAAAATATTTTAAGGATGCTATAATATTTTAAAGATCTGAAATATTTTAAGAACATTAATAAATTACTTATATTTTTTAACAAAAATAATTAATGTTATAATTTGGAAAAACAGACACAAGAGAAAATGAGAGTAAATGAGAGAAAGAGAAAGAGAGAGAGGAGGGAGACACAGGCAAAGAAAGAGAAGGGGGCAGACACACACGCACACACACGCGCGCACACACACACACACAACACACACACACACACACACAGAGAGAGAGAGAGAGAGAAAGAGAGAGAGAGAGAGGGAGAGAGAGAGAGAGAGAAATACAAATATCTAAAATATTTATATCATATGTTTCTCGATGTCTTAGATTATCTATAATGTAGGATTAAAAAAAATAGAAACATGAATTATATAAAGTCAATTGAATTATATACTTACTTGTGACTGTTCCGGTTTAAAATTTTTTACATATTTCTCTACATAACTGAGAATCACTGGTGTTATATAGGATTCCAATTTAAACATTATGTTTGATAAGATAAAATATTTAGCATACTCTTATAGAACTTAATTGAAAATATAAGTTGTTTTATCAGGAACTTATCTCTTCTCTTTTCATCATAATAAATATGTTATATAATTTATATCATTTTTTATGTTTAATGAAATAGCATATAATTATTTGGAATGAATCTTATATTTTGATGCATACATCTAAGCTACCTAAAAATTGGAGAATAAACTTTATGAGTTAAACACAACACAATACATAATACATATACACATATATGTAGTCAGATCATCTTGTATAAGATTATATAATAAAAATTATATGAGATCACTCACATACATACACACACACACACAGACATATATAATTGAATCAGATATATATAAACATTATTTATACAATATAAAAATATATAGTGCAATAACATAGTAATATATTAAAAATATATTTAAAAAATATTTTGTGAAAATAAAATAAAAATAAAAATGAAATATCTTTAATTATACAATATTATCTTTAATTATACAATAAAGCAAAATAGAGTGAGAAAAGGTAAATATATATTTAATATAAACTATTAAAAACATCTTAAATAAAAATTTATTTTCTAATTATATATAGCATATTTTAAATAAACAAAAATTAATTTGTAAAAATAAAATTCTTATTTTTTTGTTTCTCTTATCACATTTTTTTACTGATAATTTTATTATTTAATTATACAATACCTGAAAAAAAATAAATAAAATAAATAAAATTATAAATTTCTTTTCCCTTAAAAAATTATTTGCGTTCGTTTTCCTCCAACGAATGGCGTGCATTTCATTATAGTGCAACTCAAATAAAAAAATTTCATCCCAATATAATTTATTGTTAATTATATTAAAGTATTTAATATAATATAAATAGTATGAATAGTATGAATAATAAATAGTATGAATTACAACTGATGGTACTTATCGGATAACAACCATGCAAGTTTCCTAAGGAAACAAGACAATACCATTACGAGTTTTTCTCGTCAAGAACAAAACAAATATAGCAGTAATATTACTTACATTCGACGTGCATATAGCTTTCAATTTGAAGAGCTTTCTACGCTGTAGCTCTTTTGCAATTTCGTACTTCTATTAACCTCGTTATCTCCAACTGCTAACGTAACAAATACATAACGCATGTGCGATAGAAACCGAACAAGGTTATGGTTACGGCTATTATACTTGAAGAAACGTTTAGCAGCTTCCACATATAGAATTGAAATTACCTGCAAATATCATTTACTGTTTCGTCATTGCAACAATTATATAACAATATTAAAGCATTTGCAACGTGCATATTCATTTCTCGACTATTATATAGATTTTAGATATCGAGACTGAATTACATGATTCAATCGATAAATTGGCACGAATACGTGTCAAATGATGATTTAATCGACAGTACTAAGAGAGTGGAAACGTTACTACGAAGTTCCGTCTTGTAAATGGTTATAGATGGCGTGTCAGAGATGAAAAACTTATGGCATGGCTGCTCTCAGGTTTCTCTCTGACGCCACCATGAGAAAGATTCGAAGATGAAAGTGTATGTCGGTGCGAAATAACGCAAACAGTGTCGCGGAAAAATGACTAGACTTGTACTGTGCTGACAGAATTCTAGAAATTCATGAAATTGAAGAAGCGAAAGAATTTGTGCGCGCAGTGCGTGAACATGCCAGCCAAGGTCTCTAAGAAAGTCGTGGGCTTAATCATACGAAGCCGAAAGTCCATTATGAAGGATGGGGTTATCACGGTACTAAAGATTTTCACGAATTTCATTTTAACATATATCTATATTAGCAGTAAGCTGCTATTTAGCATTTCTCTTCTTTTGTTGGTGACGAATCTAAGTTCAAAGCACATATTGTATGAACAATGTTACACCTTGTTGCATTATCTTCAAATAGTTATTGCGTTATCTTCACATGCAATATCAGAAAAGAATTCTATATTTATTATGTTGTTATATATTAAATTCATATGCTTAAATTAAAAAGTATTTGAACACAAAATTTATATTATCAAATAGTACCAAAGATTGATTGATATTTATCCTTATAATTATATTTGGACAAATTATGGACATAAAACAATAGTACTAATGAGTATAGTTATTTAATCTCTCTCTCTCTCTCTTTAACTTATAATTTTTTACTCATATATTATATAAAAATGATTTGAGAACAAGCACTTGTATTCTTGATATAGCCAAAGATTGTTTCACTCAAATATACTTTATGTTTTACTTTAAGCCATATTCTTTCCTATTTTAAACAAAAAATATAGTTACAAAATAATCCAGTAATCATTTTATATATATGTAGTCTATTACTCTGCAACTATAAATAAATCTTAAATATATTTATTAGTTCAAAGAAAGATTATGGAAAAAAGAATCTTGGAAATAACTTAAGCTTACCTTGAATACTATGATCTCAGAATATATTTTAATATATAAAGTTTTATGTTCGCAACCTTCATTTTTATCATTAATATTGCTTCAAAATCAAATCATTTGTTTTCTTCATTGTTCAGTAATTAATGTTATATTCAATATATTATAGTTTTATATTTAATATAAAACATTCTCATATCCATTGTTAAGAACAAGATGTAAGAAGTTTATTTTTTCTTGATAGATAACTTCAAAATAATATGTTAAGTTGTAGTCTATCATATCTGCAGTTGAAATAAAAAAAATGTATTGTTTCACAACATATTGTTATTTTTTATCATGTTATTTGCAACATATATATAACAAATACATAAAACAACTAAGTATCGCACATATCGATCAATTACTATATAATGCATTCAGAAAGAGTTACACTTAAATAATCGATCAATGCCAAAAATGATATTGTAAAATACAGTGTCTCTTTGCAATGTCGTGGGAGAAAATCACAAAGTTGAACGTATGAACAGTCGCCAGCTGTTCAGTCAATTGTTAGGTTAGGATGAGTTTGGAGTTAGCTTGAAGCAGTTATAGAGCAGATTTACGAAGGAGACATTAATATAGGAACAGTGGCAATGCGGAAGTTTGATTTCTCGGATAAATTGTCAAATGATGTGAACGGATCACGCGAATTATTGACAGCGTGTCGCGGGAAATCCACGCAAAATATGTGATTGCTGGAAATCTCGTCGAGCAGCCGCTGGTCAAATTAGCTACTGTGTATCATAAGATACTACGTACGAAATACGAAAAAAAGAAGCGAAACTTTGTGGCACGGTGAAGCGTACGCTTAGAAACGATCAACAGTCGTTTAGAAACTTCCAATGCATAATAATTTTGCGTCTCAAATGAATTCGTGCAAATAATATGAAAATCACAAACAAGTGTGCGAGAAACGCTGTATCACTAACCAAAAATCTCGCGTTCGTGGAATTCCGTGACGTCATGCGTCGACTGTGATAGTCGTGGTACGATCAAGTCAAGGCCGTGCAAATCCATTTTGTCAATGGACTTAGAGAACGTATAATGACGATGGTGGTACTGATTTAACGGCATGGCTATATATTTGTCATAAGGACAAGTTTGTCACGAAAAGAAAAGAAACATTTGGCAATGCGACACAATAAATGCATGTCACTATCTCAGCTTCTTTAACTTTACATTTGTCAGTGATATAGTTTCACTATAAATCACTTTCTGTTGTGAATCTCTTAACTTGCCAAAGATCCAATGACAGATTGATTTGGCATTATATATTAGAATGATAAAGAATATTACAAAATTCCAAACTACGTGATTAATTATGTGATTAGATAATCACTGAGGTGCTTTTGACATATTATAAGATATGTACATTGAAATTGCTGTTAAATAAATTTTAGGAAAATGCAGCGGAAGGTCATATTAACTTGAGCTTTGCACTGCCATCATAAAGTTCGAACAATGATAATTGATTATTAGAAAAATAAAAAGCATGTCATGTTTTTACAGATATAGTTGAAAGTAAGAAGGCATATATGACAACAGTGTGACTCATATGCTATAATTTATTATTAAAACTCATTTAAGATATTGTATATGTGTACATACATATGTGGAAAATGTCCATAGAAATTTTAACAATTATATACATATAAATGTGAAAACAAATGAAATGGTGGAGTCATAAAGTCAATCAATACAAGATCAATGTTTTACATAAGCAGATATTACCAATGTCAATCTGTATAAAAAACAAGTATACAATGTAGAAAAATATGCAATTTTGTCACCAAAGTTTCATGCAAGTTTCATTTGTAATGCAAGTATATCAACAAATCAAACAATGATCACAGAAACAGAATGATGGAGAAAGTCATTTGTAAAATAATTCAGATAAAATAGCAAAATATATGTATACATAGTGTATATATGTCAATTACAGTACAATATTATGTATTATGTTGGATATTGAAAAAGCTATGAAAAAGCGTGAACTTAATAGTTGATACGAACAAACTAAGAGTAACATCGGAAAGCAAATCAAAATTTAATTTAAAACTGGAAACGGTATATTAATATGGCATTAAAAAAGCATCATCTATTTTTTTATCACATACACATGGACAGATTGATGACAAAAGCATCAATTAAACCGTGAATATGAAAAGAAACATATATAGTAACATTTCTTAGGGGTCATGCCCCCTGGGGCAAATGGTAGAACAGAGGGCTTGGGCCCATCTTGTTCTGAAATACATAACAGTCAAGATCATGCTGTAGCTAAACTCGCACCTCCTGTTAGATTTGTTCAACAATGCTACAAGCATCTCAAGGTCAGCTGCTAAGATATAATTTTCTCGTAACACATGCAGAAGACCATATCTACAAATTTATATTTGAGTTATATATACAAATTTGAGTTCTTTATATATAGCGGTTTAGCATCGCGACTACTATGCCCAAATACACTACTTTGCAATTTATATGTGATAATATAATATATATTATATTTTTATTTTTCAGAGTTCCGGCATTGGCGAAGCGAGTGTATATCATGCATTGGTTGTAATATTTTTAGAATTCTTTGCATGGGGACTATTAACCATGCCTATTATTTCGGTATTGAATGAAACGTTTCCGGATCACACGTTCCTGATGAATGGCTTAATAATGGGGATTAAAGGAATCTTATCTTTTCTTTCTGCGCCACTGATCGGTGCTCTTTCTGATGTATGGGGTCGAAAATTCTTTCTATTTATCACAGTGGCCTTTACGTGTGCACCAATTCCCCTAATGAGCTTTAACACATGGTGGTTTTTCGCCATGATATCCATCAGTGGTGTATTCGCATGTACATTCTCAGTGGTATTCGCGTACGTCGCAGATGTAACGGAAGAACATCAAAGATCGCCGGCATATGGTTTGGTAATGTATCATTTATGTAACAACTTAATATTTAAATTTCTTTGTATATATCGCTGGACAGATTTTGATGATAATTGCAATAACTAAATTTGTATTGAAATTTTTAATCGCAAGAATTTTAATCAAACAAAATAATTAAAATTGATGTGAAATAATATATATTAATATATATCTTTCTTCAGCTTTATAAAATTATATTTTTCTTACTTTTCAGGTTTCGGCAACCTTTGCTGCAAGCATGGTGATAAGTCCAGCTTTAGGTGCTTATACTATGACGAAATACGGGCAAAATCTTACTGTAGCACTAGCAACTGCTATTGCAATCTTAGATGTGCTTTTCATACTAGTGGCTGTACCTGAAAGTTTGCCTGAAAAAGCACGTCCGCCAGCACCTATATCATGGGAGCAAGCTGATCCATTCGCAGCTCTCGGAAAGGTAAACGTCGCATTCAATACATTAACACATATCGTGTTTTATAACATTTATTAGAGGTAAAACATATATAATATTTACTTTTCACTATTTGCATTCCTTTAAATAATAAGAACATAGTATGACATAATATATGTATGCCTATATGTATATAAAATAAAAGGACTTAATAGGTTGTACTTAATAGGTTGGGAAAGATCATACTATTTTAATGTTATGTGTCACCGTGTTCCTGAGCTACCTTCCTGAAGCGGGACAGTACAGTTGTATATTTGTTTACTTAAAACTGGCTATGGGCTTTTCTGTTGTCATGGTGGCTGTATTTATTGCTGTGGTGGGTATCCTGAGTGTGGGAGCACAAATTGTATTAGGACCCTTGATGAGAGCACTTGGCAGCAAACATACCATAATGCTTGGTCTGTTATTTGAGATGCTACAGCTCATGTGGTATGGATTCGGCTCACAAATATGGTAATAACATTTCCTCACTTAACAATAATATCTCATTACCAACATCAGATATTTAAATAATATTTGAGAAAGCGATATTTTCTACATTTTAACACCTCTATATTTTAAATACTAATATACATGATTCAAGAAAACATATCTATATGTTCCAAAAATATTATGCATTTGAACTTCTTTTATCTCGATATCTTATGTTTTATTGAGTTAATTCATTCTTTGCGAAATAACAATAATAAATACCATTTATCTCTTATCAAATGTCGATTATTTTAAGGATGATGTGGGCTGCTGGAGTGCTTGCTTCTGTATCGAGTATTACATACCCCGCGATCTCTGCATTCGTATCCATGCATTCTGATGCTGATAAACAGGGATTAGTACAAGGTATGGTAACAGGGATGCGTGGTCTCTGCAATGGACTTGGCCCTGCCATGTTCGGTGTTATATTCTACCTTTTTCACGTCGATCTTAACGATGACACGCCCAATCTACCCTTAAAACCATCTTTAGTAGAAGAGAATAATAGGACGGGAACTAGTACACATCTTGACATAATGCCCCAGGTATACATATATTATATACAATATGCATAGGTAAGTATAGTTTCATTTTGTTAATTTATATCCTGTTATCAATAACGGCATAAAAAAAATGCCTTTATGTATACAGAGTATACTAATTTATTTATTGAAAGAAAATTATTTACGTGCGTATAATATAAATAAAATAGTGAGCATCATCTAAATAAAAGTAAAACATTTTTTTTGTATTTCTAGCTAGTACCAGGGCCACCATTCGTGTTTGGTGCATTACTCGTAATCTGTGCGTTATTGGTAGCCGCATTTATTCCCGAGTCAAATACGATGTCAACGGGATCGTTGCATCATCCATCCACTTCCCGGAGGCCCTCCGGTAAATACGCATATCAGAAATGTACGTTACAGGTTGTCAGATATGCTAAAAGTCAAATGTGTTTATGGTGATGGGATTCGAAATTGTCTTATAATACGTAGTGACAGTAGTTGATTTTTAATGAAAATAGCACATCGGAAATTCGTTTGAAAACACGTTCGAAACGTCTTATAATTTAATTTATATCTTTGAAAGTCGTCCTGCGCATAGTGTATAAGAATACCAAATATTTATTAACACTTATGCAATTAAGCCTCAAAGTATTTTTCATTTCAGGTTTATCTTTAGATGTTCAGTACGAGGCAGATCGAGTGGGAAGTGGAAGAGGAAAGATAGGTCCGCTATCACCATTAGTCGACAATTGTAATTCTGCCGCGCTATAATGTCCATTCGAAAAGTAAGGCATGCCATGTGCCATAGTACACGGTGAAAATCGCTCTAATCGAGCAAGAAAGCCCTTACTTTCAGTCGGAATTCAGAAGATTGTCATTATGAAGTGCATCTGACTCAATGGGGACTGTAATAGAAAGTTGTTTATATTGTATTATACTATTTGTTTAAGGCAGTAACTAAGCTTAATTTTAGGATTATTAATGAACTTAATGTTTAGGTTGTGACAAATTTCCACAAGCAGAGCTTGTGCGACGTGTACATGTGGGTTGATCTCAAAGTCAAGTTATAATCACATGGTAGATGCGATTATGTTAAAAAAGGCAAAACGTTATAAATTTAGCTCTTCCTTTCTAAGATTTTTGCGCCGATTACTAAATCAGATATAATGAGAGCTTGCGCGAAGTATCAGTGACTCCTAGTTTTTATGCAACTTGCCAATGACACAAAACAGCACACTAGCGAAAGTTACAATCAGTATTTTACTAGATATATGATTTTTAATAATTAGTCATTGTTTTGACGTTGTATCTTTCCCTGTTATTTTCAACTTACATTACTATTCGTTGCATCAAATGCAAATATAAATTGCAAAATAGTTTTTGCGTCTCTGCATACATTCATATACTAGAAATAGCTATTACACATTCCTTGTGAGCATAATTTGTGCACACAAAACAGCATTGTAATGATTGAAAAAAATGAAAATTTTTTGTGAATTATATTTTTTCTTTTTTTTCACAGATCCAATATATTTTATAATGAATATTATCGTACATTATTCAGTATAATTTAGCGAATATTTATAGATCATATGAATCTATTCCTTTCGCACAAACTATTTATTTTATTAGATAAAAATCATATAAAATATAACAAAGGCCTCAACATAAAGGTTAAGAAGTTACATGAAGTGATAGTTTGTCATTCAAAGGCAATGGTAGATGTCAATATCAGTAACAGAAGTGTGAGTAACAAAAATGTGTTATTAATCATTAATTGAAAATCGATAGATCTTTCACAATGTGTATATTATAACCGGAGTCATTGATGTCAAAAAAAATCTATGATAGAGTAGGACCTCTATGTACATTTTGCTTTTGTTTTATATATTAAAATCTTTAAGATAAGAGAGAGGGAGAGAGAATTTACTTTGTTGCAGTGGAATTAATTTTAATAATTTAATTTGTTTCAACCTAGCTTTTATCATTTGTGATTGCGAAATTTGTAATATCACTTCAGTCTGTAATATTGTTTAGCAACAGAAAAAATGAAAAAATTAATTTGCCTGGAAGTAATCTCTACGAAACAATAATAATATTAATTATTCTACTTAATTTTGAATGTGCATCAAATCATTATAATCTTAAAATTAACCTCCAAGCCAAAGAATGATTAATGAGATTGGAAAATTAATTGAAAAATATAACAATAAATCGAGAAATCCATAATTGCTCATGTTTATAATGTGCAATACATTTTTACCATGTACGATCGCTATTTGACAATTTTTGTTTTACAAATTTTGATATTTGTCCTGGTTATTTTCCAGAAAAATCCGGTAATAAAATAGTTATTTGATGAATATTTAACAGATGATGTTACACAGTCTTTGTGAATAAAAGTAATAAACATGTATTTTATACATGTTGATCCTACATATATACACACACACACACCACATATATATATATATACAGGGTGTTAAATTTCAAACGTAACAAGTAAAAAATCTCGAAAACTATGAAAAATATGAAAAAAAGTTAAAACACGTCTTCCATGATTTCGAAAGGGAAAGAGAATGGCATTATCAGTTTTTTATTTGGAAGGTTTTCAAAGCCAGTTGAAGGTCAACTTAATTTTTTTAAATGGAAAACTCAATTTTTTATTATATCTTCTTTTTCTACCAATTCATTTTAACAACTTTTGTCTGAAACATTTTTTTATTTGCTTAATATTCTTTGAAATATTTAAGGAAAACTTGGTAACTTTTTCAACATTTAACTTACGATATCTCGTTAACTATTCGTCGAAAGAAAAAATAGTATGACTTTTTTACTTTATTTACTATGAAGAATATATTACTATAATAGTGCCCTAACTTTTATTAACTTATCGACCTTTGGAAATTTCAAAATTATTAAATTAACAAAAGTTAAGATATTATTGTAGTAATATATTCTTGATAGTAAATAAAGTTAAAAAATCTAATACTGTTTTTTTCTTTCGACGAATAGTTAGCAAGATATCGTAAGTTAAATGTTGAAAAAGTTACCAAGTTTTCCTTAAATATTTCAAAAAATATTAGGCAAATAAAAAAATGTTTCAGACAAGAGTTGCTCAAATTAATTGGTGGGAAAAGAAAATATAATAAAAAATTAGGCTTTCCATTTAAAAAAATTAAGTTGACCTTCAACCGACCTTGAAAATGCCCTCCAAATAAAAAACTGATAATGCCATTCTCTTCCTCTTCGAAATCATGGAACACGTGTTTTAGCTTTTTTTAATATCTTTCATAGTTTTCGAGATTTTTTACCTGCTACGTCTGAAATTTAGCACCTTGTGTACACACACACACACACACACACACACACACACACACACACACACACACATATATATATAAAGTGCGTATGTGTGCGTGTATGTTGTGTATAAGTCCTTATTTATATATACCCATTAAAAACAAAAAAAGCAAGTTACTATAATTAAAAATTTCACTGAATATAGTAAAAGTACATTAACAATAACAGACTTATGACTGGTCAAATGTATCGAAATTATGTACGTTTTCTAGATTCTAGCTGTCAGTAAAGTATTACAGAATGAGTAGAAAAATCTTGGGCAAGTGTAAACAGTGTAACAGTGCAATTCTGTAGTTTCAGTTTGTATTTCCTTAGGATTACTTACAAACTTGCTCTCGTACCCTGAATTACATATATACAAATGTATTATAAATACGGAACAAGATTATCGCATCAAGGATGGATAAAAGATAGAAATGAGTCTTGACTCTTATGAGTTAAGAAAGAATAACTTTGAATTAAATATATACAAATGTATTATAAATACGGAACAAGAACAGGAGGATTATAGCATTAAGAATGAATAAAATATAGAAATAAGTCTTGACTCTTGCGAGTTAAATAATTGTATATGTATAATGTATGATAAATACATTAATAAAAAGTAATTATTTTTAAGATAAATGAGAACACCATTTAAATACATTTAAAGTATAAAATTCCTTCATATCATAAAAATTCTTTTTATGTTAAATTAATCATGAAGCAGGGAAAAATATCTACAATTAGTTACTATTCATAGGATTTTATCAATATAAAATAAGGTAATTTTGATGACAAATTTAAACACTGTAATATACATATATATATACTAATGAATAATTTTAATATTTGATTTACTCAACAAATATGGATATTTGTAAAATTAAATTATATATAACTTAGAAAATCATAAGCACAGTCTTGATTTCACTCTAATAATTTCACATTTTAGTATATATGAATCATAATGCATTTTTATATATTTTGTATAACATTAACTGTGCTTTATAAAATAAGTGTCAACTAATTGACTTGTCCCACTTTGTTGCATTGATTCAATTGCTTTATTAACTATTACTTCTGATGTCTCTTCTGTTATCTGAAAGAAGATTATAGAATTTAAGAAAATACACATATCATGCTATATACTATAACTATATATTATAATTTAACTGATAATCTCACATTATTAATGGTATCCAATACATTGTCTATACTTTCACACCTTAATAGTAACCGCCTTAAGGTAGTTAATGTAATCACAGCCACAAAGACTAAAATTCGATATGCACCAACTGTTATCTTATCCCATATCCTATAACAAATAAATTTAATATTCCTTTAAATATTCTTACCAATATCAAAAATCAGTAAAGTATTACAATATAATTGCAGTTTACATACATACTTAGCAATAGATCCATCACATATTGTACCAGCAAAACATGAATAGAACCATGTATCATATGGAAGATTATAAAGTGTGTCAATTTTAATAAGATGTTTATATAACTCCATATCATCTCTCTCTAATAATGCATATGTACAGTCCTGTAACCGTCCTACTTCCTTTTGTAATTTTTCAACTTGTACAAACAATCCACAGAGTATCCAATACATATCTACTAATTTTTCTTGTTCAGATTCAACATCGATTATATGCCACAATGTTTGAGCCATTTTGCTCATAGCTCTGAAATAGATAAAATTTTATTTTTGATAATAATTAAATAATATTATTTATATAGGATATTAAAAGGATTCTTAAATGATACTTCTTAAATAATCTTTCTAAATAATATAAGCTATAAATTTAAAATTAAAGTAATATTAATAATAAACCTGTGTAATGGTGATTCCAATTGTGCAATTATATCAACCTTTGCTCTCCTTGTGCGCAACAGCCACATTGCTAGAAATACTAGATGATGTTTAGTATAATCATCTATGATTTTTGCAACTTTTAATGCTTTTTGCAAATCTTGAAATTCTGCCGTACGCTGAACCATTATAAATTCATGGCTATCTACATAAACCGGTATAACATCCAGTAATACCTTCCATAAAAAATTTCTGTACATAGCAGGTACAGTGAACCTCAGACAAAATTGTTTCAGTTTTGCTTTATCAAAAGGACGCTCTTTCAATAATATCTCTAACGATTTCTTTTCTTCGACGCTGCGAAAACCAACCTGTTAGAAATAACGTTCAAAAATATTTTTATCGTTAATATAATAAACTAACTAGTGATAATGTAACGTTACATTAACTTGTGAATTATTAAAATTTATACTTACCTTTTCATAATATGATGATCGGAAATTTCGTTCGTCCGTCATTATTCAAATGTAATTCTCGTGATAAACACAGAAATAAAAATTGAATTATGTTACGATTAAATAATAACCATATTTTTTAAATGCATAACCTGTCCACACAATGACAGTTCGATACTCACTAAATCAGGTTAGGTTAGGTTAGATTCTTTTTCTTCTTCTATGGCTGCGTTCCGAAATTCATTCCTTCCTTCCTTCCTTCAATATATGGCTCTGGGCTTGTGGGAGTAGGCCCTTAAGCTAAGACTCCATGCATGCGGTGAGCTCCGGCAAACGGCTGCGGTGACCAATCAGGAGACAGACGCATGCCGGAGCTTGCCGCAACCGGACTTGCGCCTCCCTCCTGATTGGTCACCGCAGCATTTGCCGCAGTTCACCGCATGCATGGAGTCTTAGCTTTACGCCATTCTTCTCGATAAAAGAGGTAAAAGAAAAACAGGGACAACGTGTACGGTCGTGGACATCATTGGTCTGTTCTTTTCAGCTGCACTGCGGAACTAGTGCAATAAGTTAGAATGAGACAACTATATTTTTTCTCACTTTAACTTATGCACCAGTTCAGTAGTGCAGCTAAAAAGAACAGACCAAATAATGTGTGACCGTTTTTTTGCAACACATCCCGACTCGAGAAGAATGAGAGTCAGGCCTGTGGTAGGATTCTTTAACTCATTATTGGAGTTAATGACACTTTCGTTATCGTTACGCAGCTTTTGTATACCGTGGAAAAGCTGCGCGACGATAACGAAACTGTCGTTAACTCCAATAACGAGTTACAGAATCCCACCACTGGTCTACAATACGTGTCGTAGGTTGTAAGCCGTAAGAATTGATGAATCACAGTCGATTATTATAAAAATAATCGGCTATAATTGGTCAGTTCTTACGGCTTACAGCTTACACATCTATTGTAGACCAGGCCTCAATGCTCCGCCTGCGGAGCACACCTGCGTAGTGACTCACACAAAGGCGAGAAATGAAATATACGCGGTGAGACATATTATAATAATACAGACTCAGATGAAATGAATACTCCAGCATTAAATGGAAATGGGAGGGAACCTGTGAGGGAACAGAACAGACAAGAATCATTCGATGTAAGTCTTATACTCCGGAGGACATTCCCGAAAAAGGTAGAGATAAATAAACATGTTTATGTTTTTAAAACAATACGAACTTAATTAAAAGAATTAGGCTGCATTACGATAGCTACGATTCTGTTATACATTTATATGTGATTTATTGTTTCAGCAACAGCCATCTTCTATAGTAGAAGCAATGATATTAGATACAGAAGCAGCTGTTATAGCGAATTTTGAATTTTTGGGACATACAGACATCTCAGACAGCACACGGATGTCCATTGGACGTCCGTTATATGTCCATTTTTTTTACAAAAGACATCCATAGGACGTACGTTTGTCACAATTTCGGACATAGGACATCCGATGGACGTACATCGGACGTCCTACAGGTCCGATGTTCAATAAGGATATCTTTGTTACGTCCAATTTATGTCCACGGATGTAAATCGGACATACAGACATAAATTGGACGTGAAACGTACGGTCGCGAGCATAAAGGTTTGTGACCGTTTTTTTGCAACTTTCGGAACGCATCCCGACTCGAGAAGAATGAGAGTCACTGCTCCGCCTGTGGAGCACGCCTGCGCAGTGACTCACGACGAAAGGCGAGAAATGAAATATACGCGGTAGGACATATAATAATACAGACTCTGATGAAATGAATACTCCAGTATTAAATAGAAATGAGAGAATACAGAACAGACAAGAATCATCCGATGTAAGTCTTATACTCCGAAGGACATCCGAAAAAGGTAAAATACGAACTTAATTAAGAGAATTAAGCTGCATTACGATAGTTACGATTCTGTTATACATTTATTATGATTTATTGTTCCAGCAACAGCCATCTTCTATAGCAGAAGCAATGATATTAGATACAGAAGCAGCTGTTATAGCGAATTTTGAATTTTTGGGACATACAGACATGGATATGGAAGAGGAAGAAGGAGATGGGGACGATGAAATTTATGATACAAATACAGATACCAAACCAAATAAAGTAACGCTTACTATCATCTTACGTTTTAATGATATTGTTCACGCTATTTGTTAACATAATTTCTTATTTTTCAGGCATCTATCTCCCTTCTAGCGGAAGATGTTGATACAGATGCAGAGGCAGAAGTATTAAATGAATTAAATCTCCTCATAGAAATTGAAGAATCGCCACCTGATTCTATCCACCTGGAAATGAATTCTTCAAAGAAGTTAGTAACCGTAATCCTGAATGATATTTTAGATAATATATAGCTAATAAAACGCTTTTGTGTAACACAGTGTTCCTTGCTGGAAAGCAAGGATATGATATATCGAAGCAAACTAGTGAAAAACACTGCTTAAAATAGAAATATCGACATAATTGTTATAATTCGACACAAAATTTGTTGTCGAATAATTTCACGTGAAATATTTCGCACCTTCACTATTGTGAAATTACACAATCTAGTGAATATTCATTTTTATCACTAGGTTTCGTGATACATAGGCTGCGTTCCGATATTCACTGCCAGTACTGAAAATCTATAATATATGTGACATAAAGTATATATTTTCAATACTGGCAGTGAATATCGGAACGCAGCCATAATCCACTCCCTGAACTTAAGATGATCTTACAAATAAGTCCTGACTATGAATATGGCCCGTAGTGTGCATACATTTTCTTAGGGGGCGCGACGGAATTCGGCGAAAAACGCGTCCCAGTGTAATTGGCCCGGTGGCCTCTCTCAGATTTCTCGCTAGTTTCTGGTATGTTGGGATTCCTTGTTCCTATTCTTTATTTCTGTTCCCTGTTCCTATTGCCTGTTGCCTGGCATTGTACAATGGCGTTAACTTTCGTATTCGGTTTCTACGCAACAAAATACATGAGATAGGTGAGTTGCAGCAAAATCGAAGGCAATAACTGTCTTCTAATTACAACTAAGTTGTGTTTATGTATAGTATGTATATCTTTTCTCTTTTGATCAGTTAATAACATATCAATTGGTATTCTGTATAATAGCATATATGATTCTTCCGCTTTTGATTCATGATGCATCCTCCCTTGCGTAGGGGCCTTGCTAATCTTTCCTGTATCCATTTTTAGTATATTGTAGATTTATCTTTTTAGTAAGGCGAAGATTTATTTTTCATTATTTGTCATCTCCGTGAGATTTCCTAATCTAAATTGCCATCAACTTTAACAATTAATATTTTGCTTCATAAGGCAGAGCGACGATTTTTTAAATAAAAAAGTTATTTATCTTGCAAAAACACGTCGATTAAGTATTTTTCGTCGATATTGGAGGTAAAGAAGGTATTCTGTATAATTACCATCAATTGTAATATATTTTTTCAGATATTATAATTATGTCTCAAGGGAGAGGAAAAGAAGAAAATTTGGATATAAATAAAATTTTTGAGGACATATTATTCGTGGAAGAAGTTTCACAAAAATTAGGTTATAAAGAAGGTTACAAAAGTGGCAAAGAACAGTTATTAAAGGGATATCATCTGGGATATCATAAAGCTAGTATAATTGCTGCTCAATTAGGATATTATAGTGGAATACTAGAGCAATATCTACAAAATAATGACAATACCTCTGAAAAAACGATACTAATAGCCAAAATACTCTTGGAAGATATATGTAATATTTTTCCTGAATGTCAAAGTAAAAACTTGGACATTTTGAAAGCTATAGAAAATATTAGATTCAAATATGCCAAATTTTGTTCATTAGCAAAAATTAATCCACTATATCCTGAAGCAGATAAACTTGAGTTTTGATCATAAATATAATAATAGGTAAGATTTAGTGTTGGTAATGATGTAAAAATTGAATTATATAATAAAAGTTATTAAACAAATTAAATACATATGCTCAATTTTAATATTGAACTCTTTTTGATGTATAAAAATTATAATTATAATCATAACATTTAAAATATGGTTTTCATACAGTTATTATACAATTTATTAAAACAAAAACCACAGTTATGATTGCCACAGTTGCTTCATAAATAAAATAAAAAAATGGAAAAATTTGATAAAACAAATCGAAAGATTCAAACAGCAAACTGTGATAAAGATTTACTTAATAGTCACAGGTACAAAAGTATTTAGCAATAATATTTATATTTAGACTATTTTTTGTTTAAATATAGCATATCAACTATTAATCTGTCTTAGCAGTAGAATAAAACATATACAGAGTGTCCTATTTTAATGTCCCACTTCAAATAACTCTTCAGTATTGAAGTTTCAAGGAAAATTATCTGAATAAAAGTTGTATTAATAAATATATAAAAATATATAAATATATAAAAAGGAATAAAAAGGGACTTAGTGAGCTATCTTATGATGACCTTTGACAAACTCTATTTTCAAGGTCATTTGAAGGTCAACTTGCGTTTTTTAAATGGGAACCATTATTTTTTATTACACTTTGTCTACTAGTTAATTTGAACAATTTTTGTCTAAAATAGTTTTTTATTTGACTAATATTTTTTGAGATATTTAAGGAGAACTTGATAACTTTTTCAATATTTAACTTACAATATCTCGCTAATTATTTGTCAGAAGGAAAAGTGGTACTAGACTTTCTTGCTTTATTTAGAATATATTATTACAATAGCGCCCTGATTTTTGTTAATTTGATGATTTTGAAATTTCCAAAAATCAGTAAATGCCAGACACGCTGTTCACCGTCTCTGGCGTTCAGTTGAAAGGAGGGGTGGAAAATGCGAACAAATAGTCAGATGATTATACAGGGTATACCAAAAATCTGGAAACGGTCGAATATTTCATAAACTATGCATTTTAGAAAGAAATATTTGAGACAAAAGTTATTTGGTTCGAGGAGGAACATAAGATGGTGTCGTTGGATTGACCTTGAGTGAACGTTCCAAGGTCATATGGAGTTCAACTTTGTTTTTTTAAATAAAACCTATTTTTCATTGCATATTCTTGTAACTCATCTCGAGAGCTTCCCTAACAAGAAACAAGAAAACACTATAAATAAGTTATGTTTTATTGAGTATTTTCCGAGTTATGGGGCTTGAAAATTACAATACCGCCGGCATTAGCCAAGGTGTACCGCGTGGAGGTTGCACGATCGAATTTACACCTCTTGTGTATGTGTGTGTGTGTGTGCGTGTGTGTGTGTCACAGCAGAGATAAGATTCCACAGTTCGTCACTCCCGTAATATTTAATGACTCCAAACCCTCTCTACTGTGCTGTGTGTGCGCGCGTGCGTGCGTATATGTATGTGTAGGAGTCTGTAATTTAATTGAGTGAGTGTTCAAATTAACCTCCGTCTGCTGCTTAACAATGATCTAGCCGTAGATAAAAATTATTTAAAACATTTCGTCTTATCTCTGCCGAGATAAGATCGACTTGGTATACTATACGTTTCCCAAGGTCCGCAAGGTTGACAGGTTTTGTTTCATATATAGTTAAGATATCCCCAAAAAAAAAAAATCGACAGGAGAATGATCTGGTGATCTAGTAGGTCACTCTATTTGACCACGTCTTCCTATCCATCGATTTGGAAAAGTATTATCCAAAAATTGCCATACTGCTACTACATAATATGGGCTTGCACCATCTTGTTGGTACCAAATATTTTCTATGTTCCCATCAAACATATTTTCAAGAGATGATATGACTTCATTTTGCAATAGCTCCTGATAGATCGCCGCGTTCAAATTCCCATTAATGAAGAATGGTTCCGACAATACAACGTTCGCAAAAACTCGCCCAAACATTAAGTTTTTGGGGATATTGCGTGCGGATAACATGCATCCAGTGAGGATTTTCCACTTCACTTCAATATCGGCAATTATGCCGATTTATCGCTTCATTCAATTCAAAAGAAGCTTCGTTGGAAAAAATTATGTGATCGAAAAAGTTATTATTATCATCGTATCAACACATCGTTTCGTCGCAGAATTCATTTCTTCGATCAAAATCATCTTCCGATAGCTCCTGAGTGATTTTAATTTTGAAAGGATGCCATTTTTCTTTCACTAAAATACGATGAATGGACATTGTACTAATCTTATGCGCCTATACTGCTTTCCTCAAAGTAGAATGAAGATTTTCGACGAATGTTTGCGTCACTTCGAAACTCTTTAGAGAGGTTTTTCATATAATAAAAAAGCTGCGCAATACTGCTAACAACACCGATAACTATCGGTACGCGAGTACGGAATACAGTCTCAGCAGCTGGATTCTATAACTCGTTATTGGAGTTAACGAGTTACAGAATCCAGCTGCTGGATCATCCATAGTGGATATCCGCAATATGTTTTTCTGCACAATCTAAATAATTTTCACACATTTCTCGGATAACGGAAGCATTTTTACCTTCGATCAATCTTAATACATAGGAAAAATCATGTAAAAGATAAAAATAAAATGTTTGACAAAATATGAGCAATATAATGAAAATATAATTCTCAATATGACAGAATAATTCGTGGAAATAACTCACATTTGTATGCATATCAGTTTATTGTTATCTCCATACCGGAATAAATACTATCGAGGAATATAACCACGTTCTTTCACCTAAGGAACTTCCCCTAGATTTAAAAGGCTACCGGGTCACAACTCCTAAAACTATGTTGGTTTTACATTAAGAACGTAGTAATATGCCAATGACATAATAAAAAGATACATTTACGGAACATATCTAACAATTCTTGTGACAAGTAATTCCATAACTATATTAGTTACAATCAGTTTAAAGTGTTGGAAAAAGAATGAAGTACTGATTATAAAAATGATAAATAAGAAACAAATTTCTTATTATGTCGTCGGATATATGTATATCAAACTATTTAAATGCTGTCCATAATTATTCGAATGGAATCAAGAAAACGTAATATAGTGTAAGAAAGTATAAAACTGATAAATAGGAAACAACTTCGTTGAATGGACAGTGCGGATAAGTATGTGCTTCAAGGTACGATATCCACTTATCCTTATTTAAGATGCACATAATGCCATTTATCGACTGAAATCATACATCGTAAAAATAGTACAATAAGTAAAAATTTCTGTTAATGTTTTAATTAATAAACAGATAATATTGATAATAAATGCACATATGTAACACAAATAACTCGAATATTTAACAATGAAATCTCTTTGTGTATATTTTAATTTCTATTACAATTTGAGTTGTACGAAGTAACATTTGTCAACTGAAAAGATGAATTAATATTATAAGAAACATTATGTAAAGTTTATATGAAAATAATATAGTAACAAGTACATTGATTCCAAAACACGAAAATTTATGTATTATTTTCTATTATTTATTTTACCTGATCTTCACCTAATATCTCTATCTTAATCATTCAACTTACCTATAGATTCTACAGATTGAAGTTCAAGTTCTGCTTTAGGTGCCTTTTCTAAAATTTCTTCAGCAGCTTCCGCGGTAATTTTATAAGGACTATCTTCCACAGTTACGTTAGAACTACGCAAGTATTTAACTATTTAACTATTATAATTTATTTAACTATTATAAAAACAAAAATCTACGAACCATATTATACCACCAGAATCAGTTTCTTGTTGAATTAAATGTTGCCAATGTTCGTGTACTTCATCAACAATGCTCAATGCGAATTCTCGCGATTTTGCTTCTCCATTAAATGCGAATTGATTTTCCGGTTTTCCGTCCGGAATTTTATATATTTTGAACCATTCAATTGTGGCTTTCAATAGACCAGGACAGTGTTTTTCAATATCATTTACATCTGCAATATTATTATATATAATATTAGAAACGAGATTAGATTAATAATATCAAAGTCCATAATTCTACTTCAATCATTCACACATGTTCGAAACAACATTTATAAATAAAAAAGAAAAAAATATATATCTAGAAAACAAATAATCACCATTCATTTGATCTGCCAAAGGATCATTGATATCAATCACAATAATTTTCCAGTCAGTTTCACCTAAAAGATTGAATGTTTATTTTAATTATTTCTATAATATAGCATATATTTCATTTGATAATATCTGAACTACATTTACCTTCATCAATAAGAGCCACTGTTCCCAGAACTTTCACTTTTAATATTTCGCCTCGTTTTGCAACCTATTTAAAAATATTTCCTTTAATATCTAATGTAAGATGAATTATATTATTTAAATAAAATAACTGTAATTATTTCTTACTTTGTAGCCTATTTCAAGACAATCAATAGGATCGTTGTCACCTTTGCAGCCAGTTGCCTCGTCCAAAACATCAGGATTTTCCCAAGTCTGTTGATGAAAAATATATTATCACTACAGGGAACATCAAGTATGCTATAATGAACAAAATAATATCTCAAAAAGCTTTCTGTTTATTTCCAAAATAATTTTAACTTAATATAGTAATAAATACAAATAACAAATTAAATATCCTTTATTTAAAAGTACATATTGTTAAATTAGAAAATAAAGTAATGTCAAAAATAATACAAAAGACAAATAATAGTAGTAAACATCTGGACTTTGAATTACAAGTTCGTGTATATAGAAAAATTATAAGAAATAGATATAAATTTATCAGAGAATTAAGTCTGTTCAGACTTTCTTTTCTTCCCAGATAATAACTGATTATAGTACTCCATGATAAGCATTATTATTAAAAAATAATACAACTATTGTTATCTTGATAAGTAACATAGATATGTACAGAAAAGTTTCATGAATGTCATATTTTGTTAAAAATTTCTCATATTATTATAATATATAAGTATAGTATATGATATATTATAGAATGAAAATATAAATATTAAGAGAGAGAGATAGAAATTTTTATATTTCATTATAAATATGTAAATTAAAAATATATGTAAAAATATATAAATGATATGTAATATATACACATATATGCAATATGTAACTAAATACAATTTTTATTATTTCTACCTGTGGTAGAGCTCCATAATTCCATATGTAACCATGATGAGGAAAACAATTTGCAACATATCTTAATTTGCCTTTCTTAACATCCTGCTTGATTGGATTCAAAGCCTCTTTGAGAGAGATTTCCATTTTAGCATTTGTCCATCTTGGTATTTCAACAACCATGTTTAATATTTTATTTTCCTTATCGGCATAAAGTGGAATGTCATGCATGGGTGAAATTGGGATATCCGTATCATTTTCTACATGCAAAATAAAGGTATTTTAAAAGACAAGATCGTTAACATTAAAAACTACAAATACAATAGATTATTATTAATGTACGAAATTTATTATAAAATAAAAATACAATAAATAACTGGAAAGAATATGATTACGTAAGCAAATATCTAAACGCGATCAAAATCACTTCCTCATAACCCAATATTCTCGTATACTTTCACTGGAGCTAAATGCCGTCAGTGGGATTAGCTTACATTGATAAATCCGCGCATAGCCTTCGTGAGAAAATACCGTCTCATGAAACCGCTTGTAAGCGCGCGGTTTTAAAATCGATATTCCAGCGTAATATGAGCTTTGAACTATATCAAATTCGCGTTGAATGCTCAATATACTCAATATAATCTCAAGGATGTTGTATCGAAATTGATATAAGAAATATATGTACGATGTCTGAGCTCACGATTGCATCGAATGGAAAATCGGCATACATCGTTACACTATTCAGTAAAAATGGAAATATTCCACTTTAGTAACAATATGGCTGGCTAAACTCAACGATGTGAATGATATGAAAAATTACTGCTATGTCGAAGTTTCTATAAAAACTAAAATGAATTATTCAGCATAGAGATTCTACATTTGTCGAAAAAAAGAGAGGAGAGGAGAAGAGAGAGAGAAAGGAGAGAGAGAGAGAGATCAAGTCGGTTTGATAAGAAAGCGCGCGGTATATCGCATATTTTAAGTTCTTGTATACTTATTCTTACAATAGAGACATATGCATATGAAAAAAAAAGTCCGGTACCTTGTATTTCTTGAATATCTCGTTATACAACTATGATACATCTATGAATTTTTATATTTTTATTCTTTGGTATATGGATTAGTGTGCGTCAGCACGCACTAGTCATCCAAACCAAAAAATTCACTTGAGAATAGAGGACGAATGAACCTCATTCAGATTCAAGATGCAGTTCGATGAAAATACGTACGCTCGATCGAAGTCCCTGTATTATTTAACGTCAGGACATGCAGCAAATAGTGCACGATGACATGTCATTCAAGAACTTAGAGCCACGTAATAAAACACTTGATGATAGCTACGTTCGACATTTACTAAGAATCTGTCGAGTACATGTCACGCATATCCCAAGTTTTAATGAATATCAGAACGCATCTGATGTTAATCATACAAAACGTGTGTGAATTCACGTCCGTGACCCCACGCGACCTCGCCGGAGTTCACGGTCTCCGTTGCCGAACCTCCCGAGTGCGCAGTCAGTAAACAGGTTATGTATTGTATTTACTCACTGAAATACACCCTGTAGTCCGTGCTGTTGAGCGCACCCCTCTCAACGGTGGTGTACGACATGTTCCTGCACAATTTCGCAAACGCGCCAAACACTCTCACCTCTCTACCGGCCGCTACGACTCGCGACGGAGAAGTAACAAGCCTGAGGAAACCGTAGTAACGTAACATGTGCGACAACTTCATGGGAAACATCCTGCCATCTATCGTTAAGAATCGCTTCACTATTCCGGATCCTCATACACTCCGCTAGGTGTCGCCACCAATTGGGTGTAAGTAGGGACAATATATTCATAAAATCGAATCTTATATTTATATTTTTAATTTCATCTTCTCTCGAACATTGTACAAATAGTTTTATCACCTATAAAGTATCTGTAAGATAAATTTAAGAAAATATGACTAAATATATACCAATTTGAAATTGTAGTATGAGCGATGTGACGAAACGAGACACTTTTTTGCACGTTTGACGATAAAAATGTTGATTAGGGGTCTGTTCTTTATAGCTGCACTGCTGAACTAGTGCAATAAGTTAAAGAGACAACTATATTTTTTCTCACTCTAATTTATTGCACTAGTTTTACCAGTGCAGCTATAAAGAACAGATCCAGGATATTGGCCGTGTTCCAAAATTCACTGCCAGCGCTGAAAAGTTATAGTTTGCGTGACACAAATTATATTTTCAGTACGGGCAGTGAATTTTGGAACACGGCCTGTTTCTTCGATGCACTTCAGAACGTAGCAGACATTCAAGTGGAATAATTTGACAGATTCTCTGAAGATAAAATTCTATTTGTTCTAAATACATTCTAGGGCTGATATTCATAGTCGGATCTTATATTTAAGATCGTCTTAAGTTTATCTTCAGATGCTGTACAAATTCATTGACTACGAGCCGTATTCATAGTCCGGTTTTATATTTAAGATCGTCTTAAGTTCATTTTCAGATGCTGTATAGATCATTTCATTGGCTACAAAATATCTGAACGTGTACTCAAGACGGTCTTACATATAAGATCTGACTGTGAATATGGCCCTACGAAATATCTGAAAGTGAACTTAAGACGATCTTAAATATAAAGGCCATCACACGTAGAAAAATTTTAACCGTAACCGTAAGGTTGTAAGAAAATTGACCAATCACAGTCGATCCATTCTCTTGTGACATTATAATAATCGACTGTGATTGGTCAGTTTTCTTACAACCTTACGGTTACGGTTAAAATTTTTCTACGTGTGATGGCCTTTAAGGCCATTGCACGTACAAAGTTTTAGTAACCGTAAGTAAATTGACCAATAACAATCCAGCATCTCGAAATATACGAATTGTGATTGGTCAATTTGCTTACGGACTTACGGTTACAACTAAAACTTTTGTACGTGCAATGGCCTTTAAGCCCTAAACACAATGTCAGGCAACAGGCAGTAAGAATAAAAATAGACCAATCAAACCAAACAAATAGATTATTCTTGTAATAGTCGATTGTGATTGGTCTATTTTTATTCTTATTGCCTATTGCCTGGCATTGTGTTTAGGGCTTTAGACTCGACTATGGTTGCGTTCCGAAATTCACTGCCAGTACTAAAAATACATGGTTTGTGTCACGTATACTATGGCTGCGTTCCGATATTCATTGCCGGTACTGAAAATATATAGTTTATGTCACATATATCATAGATTTTCAGTGCTGGCAGTAAATATCGGAACGCAGCCTATATATTTTCAGTACTGGCAGTGAATTTCAGAACGTAGCCTATGAATATAAGCCTAGATGCCGCGATCATAACGCATGTGTACAAAATGTGTCCCCTTCTCTTTTCTCTTGCGACGTTGAGTACAAATCAACGACAGAGCCAACAGACTTCTCATTTTACAAGTAGTATGATTCAACGGCTAATATAATCTATTCCTTTTTCAAACATTATAAGGAACAGAAGAATTGAGAGCGGGCTTATTGTTTAGAAATAATGTGGTTCCTTAGGATGAATCAGAAGAATCTCTTTACCTTGGAATAAAATATAATTTTAATTTTTGATAAAAATATTAAAAATCAGCTGACAAGTGAGTTTTATCGAATTGTGATAAGACTGATTGACGAATAAACGTTAGAATTGTTAACAATTCTTAGTTGTATGATTTGACAGTATTAAACACATGAGATAATTCTAATAATACATTTTAGCAATAGAATTAATAATATTTTACTGAGAAAGATAGCAATTTTAAATTGTGAAGTAAATTAATCAGAATTTGTGAGTAATGAAATTACCTGTAAAATATTACTATTAACATTTATCTGACTTTAAGTTGTAATTATGAAATTTTGTCTGATTAAGTTTTGATAATAGATCTCTTTACGTTGTATCCCTTATGAAAAAAAACACTCAAATATTGAACATCTACACTTTATTGTTCGAATTTACTCTCAAATGTGAGGATATATACTCAAATGAAAAAATATTTTTAGTATTTTTTCCGTAAGGGATGCCTGATATTTTGTGCATTTTCCTCTTTTTCTCTTTTTTATAAATATATTATTTAAAACAAAAGAGGTGCAACAGTCAACTAATAGGAACAGACTTACAGTGCGTATATATACTACCGTATGTATATATCTTATCAGTGTCGTGTGGCATGCATAGGCGCATTTTTACAAAGCAACTACGTTTTACGTAAACAATATAAACGTACTTGTGCTTCAAAGATTGATATCAAATATAACCATCGTGATCTTTTGCACGGAAATATTTGTCAACTGTACAAGATTTTATCGCACATCACCGTACAACGAAAGTAACATCGTCGTGAAGAGTTTGCGACAAAATAATAGGGGCGCGAGTCGTTCGTAGTGAGAATCGTATGTTCTTCGGGTGTTTCCATTGCACATCGTAGCAGTTCGAGTATTTTGGTAAATGTTGCTTTGACATCCTACTTATGTGTGATTTTTGCAGGTAACAAAAACTTCGATATTCTCGGTAAGTCCCGATAAATCCTTGTGCAGGAAGAATGAGAGGTTAGGGCAAGAATGTCATTTTAAATACGTCACTTATAACGAGATTAGTTAAAACATCGTTTCAACATTAAAGGTACGTGAAAAGACAATGATTTTCGTTGTTTCGAGGTTGCAAATCTTTAGAAATCAATCGCGAACTTGGGAAAGAGCTCTCATCAGTTAAATTGATGCAGAGATGTGCATTCTTGATGGTGTTGCATATAAGCACACTTTGTTAAACTGCCAAAGACTATCTGGTGCCAATCCATACTTGAACAAATTTATCAAGACGATATCAAGATATTACAAAAACTGTGATGAGTTATCGTGGTTTTGGACGAGGGAGGGGTTATGGACCACATGGTACACGTGCCAAAGGTCCATTTATAAGACCCTGTTTTCCACCTTTCCGACATATGGGTCCACCCAGACCAGGATGTCCTGGATTATTCATGCCAAGACACCCAAACAATTTTTATCAGCCTCAGTTACGCGGTAATCCACAATTTAGACCTCGTGGGAGAGGAAAAAAGTTTTACAATTATGATGATCATTTTGCTGGTCCGAATAAACTACCTATGAATCCAGATTGTGAGGAAATTATGCCATTACCACCACTACCACAAGTACCACCATCAAACAGCCAAGAAATAGAGATTGATGAAACAGATTGTATACCACAAGTTTTGCCTTGTCCTGAGGAGGAGCAGCAAGAAAATATAACTGAAACAGCAGGTCAGTTGAAGCAAGATGTATGTTTCAACAATGATGATTATTGGAATAATGATGTATCACTTTCGTGTGATACTATAGAGAATGGCTGTATAGAGAATGAAGAAAGTTTTAAGCTTAACAATGAACCATCTGAACTTGACGTAACATATAATGATTTGAAAGATGACATTGACAGAATAAATATTGATGATTCAGAGCTTGATGTCTTACAACATGCAACAAGTGAACTTAATCTTACAAGCAATATAAATAATGATGTAATATTGGGAGGAAATGTGGATGGATCTCAACTAGAGGCAATATCTGACCATCAAGTGACAGATTTTGAAAATATGGTGCCAGATAATGAAGGCATAGAAGCAGATAATGAAGGCATAGAAGGCATAGAGCAGTCTCATGAGCCAGTTGACACTTCTGACTATTTGGAACAATCAGATCTATGTGAAGATAACAATTTTGAAAATGAATTATTACAAACGGACCTTCAATGTCAGTATGATATACCTGAAGATGACAATATACAAGAACCGTGTAATCAACAGCAAGATATCCCAGAGCAAGTTGAGACACATTTAGAGACAGATGCTATACAAGAGCAAGACATGCCTGAAATACCAATCTTACAGGATATGCCATTTTCATATAATTCTGAAGATCAAAATATTATAAAAGAAAATGTACCACAAGGTGAAGAGGAACCTATTGTGAATTTAAAAGCTGAAGAAATTGTCTTAAATCCTCATCTTCAAAGAAACAATTCAAATAACAATGATTGCCCAGTGTTACAATCTACTTTAGCTAATGCACCAACATTAAATAATGCTACATTGCAAAATCAGCACCGATTGCCACGAGCACAGGAAAATTCTTTTTGCAGTGGTCCACCAAGATTGTCACCGCATACTGAACCGCAATTACCTATAGATTTTGACCCGACTTGTCCGCCACCAATGCTTTTGAAACAAGAACAACCATCTGCTTTGCCTCTGTTTCCAGTGTACAATTTGCCGCCAATGTTTAATCCTGCGGAACCACCACCGAATATGAGACATTTAATTAAGCCAAATCTAACAAATGTTCCACCATGGAACATTAGTGAAAATCAGATACCTGGCGCTTTTAATAATATAGAAATGCATAGGGATTTAAATATACCTGTAGCGTGTACGTCGCAACAGTTACCATTAGAAATGCCCAGCCAAAGTAATGTCTTTCTACCACCATCTCATCTTGATACAATGAATTTTGCTCCAGTATTTCCTTTGATGCCGGGTGGAATCAAAACAAATATGCCACCACCATTGCCTCATATACAACCAATGACTCATAGTGCTTACTTGCCTCGAGTTCCTTCGCCAAACGTCGTATCGTTTTCTGATTCAAATCTAGATATAAACAAAGACGATGGATTGAACGATATAGAGGAAGCTATGAAATTTGCCAAACAAATGACTAATATGATAGAAGAGAAAGAAGAAAGTATGATTTCCAAAAGCAGTAATTTAATCAAGCCTATTAATGAAATAGAAACTATATCCTTGCCTCCAGGAAAGCCGCGGATCAAAAGTAACAAACCAAGCAAGAACAAACAAGATGACTTGTGTAGCAAAGACGCAACATTTGAGGAGCAAACAGCATCATCGGAAGAAAATATGCAAGATGCATGTTTGAAGTCTGTGGATGACTCGCCAGTGAAAGAACAAGATCGTCCTAAAGTAATATTTAATTTAAGTAATAAAATGATAAAAGTAAATACCAACTGGCAACCAAGCACTAGCAAGACAAAAAATCCAAAAAGAAGTTGCAAAATACGTAGCGAAAAAATGAAAGAGAAAATGTTGCAAAAAAAATTACAGAACATTACGAAAACTACAGAAATGTGTACAACATCCTCAGTAAGGAGAAGAAGTGTGGGAAATACTTCGAGACAAAATGCAGAAAAAGTCAAAACTCTGATGAAGAACGAAAGTAGTGTGGTATCATCCGTAAAACAAAATGCTGCAGTATCTCGCAAAAAATTAGAAAGAAATGTAGAAAAATCTCTACGTTCTAACGTGTTGCCTCAAATGCAGAGATCACTTCGGAGTAGTGTAGAAAAGAGCGGGAATCCCATCTCGGAAGCTTCTTGGAAGAACAAAATCGTCAATCGATTTCTGAAGATGAGCAAAAACGAGATCTACAATATGGTGAACAATACTAGTCTACGGAAATTTGATGTAATAATGAAACGTCTAGTCAGAGAGAAGAAGCCTATGTTATCCTTGGAGATGAGACACGCGCAGGATGAGAAAATGAAGCGGTACGATCAACAGGAATTCATGAAACAACTGAACGCAATGTTGCAACCTGGAGCCATAGTAGATGTCACGGATTTGCCCACGGAATTTATTCATCATTTGAATGAAGTATTACAATTGGACATACCGTTGAACCATAACGATGAATTTACGGCAATCTCGACTAATCAAAGTAGTCATACAGAAATTATGAGCAATGTCACTAATGTCATAACACAAATCACCGAGAGTACGAGTGAAATAGAGGCTTCAAGTTCTAGGCCTCAGGCTTCAAGTAACATTGTCGATCAAGAATGCGTAAAAAACAAAAGTAATATATCGAAAGTGAATGACGATAAAGATGCACTAATGCAGACACATAATATTAAAATTAGCAATTATACCACGAAAGGTGACGCTCATAGCACTAAATCTAATAAATCTAACGCTAGTAGTAGATTATCGGCTTTACAACACGATCTAGATGACATATTTTCAGAAGTGACGAGGAAAAATCAAATTCCCACGGCAGCAGCTCGTAAAGATTGCAGCATGGGACTACAAAGTGGGACTGTGCAGAAATCTGACGATACGACTCTAAAGAACGTCAAAAAGAAGAACTTTGAAGATTTTGAGGAATGTGAGAAAGAAGTGTCATATTGGGAAGAAGACAGAGCACGTAGGACAGAGAATTGTGCACGTTGGATTGAAAAGTGCGATAAATGGAAGATGAAAGAGCAGGAGGATCCGCTCGCATACAGAAATCTTACCAAAGAAGAATGGGAGGCGAAATATGGAATGCCAGCGATTCAACCTACAGAACATTCTACTACTATTCCTATTATTCCTACTGCTATTTCTACTGTTACTCCTACTGTTCTTACTGCTGTTCCATCTGTTACACAACAGATTAGCATTACCGATGACATGATATCACCGAGCAGAATGCACATGAAAACTTTGTATCCACGACGCCGTTATTCGTCTGAATCCTCGAAGCATTCGCACGCAAAATATAAAACCGTCGAAGATGACAAGTACAATCGACACAGGCGACACAGCGATGAGAGGAGACAAGCCGCGGGATACTCAGAAAACAATAATGATCATCATAATAAAAGTCGAAGTAACAGCAGCGGCAGCAGCAGCAGTAGCAGCAGCAATAGCAGCAAGAGTAGTAGCGATAGTAACAGTACAAATGTTACGAAGTTACTGAGGGTGATCAAGGAGAAAGAGAAGGTCGCCAAAAAAATGTCACTGAACGAGACGATAAGGGATGAGGTGAACGCCGAGATAGAACGCGAACGAAAGCAGAAGTCGAAGAAATCACGAAAAAATCGTAAAAATGGTAAGTCACACAAGAGGACACGTCACAAGAAAAATAAGAAGCAAAAGAAGAAGTCGCGGAACTCTTCGGACACATCCTCGCAGGAGAACAACGAGGAGATACCTTTGAGATTACTGACGGAAAGTGAGATTAAAAAAGAGATCATGGACGATCAGATTACTATAAACGTGATCGTTAAAGAGGAAGTAACCACTCAGGAGGAGAATAATACTAAAGAATCCGAGCCCGCGAGCACTTCGAGTCATCGCATGGTCACGAGGAATAAAGCTACATCTTTGCCTGCTGAATCTCACAGTGGATCGGAATCTGCAATGTCTTCGGCAAGAGAGATACCAGCGACAACGGTCAGTACCATACAATCTTACATTGAAGATATATCATCGACGGCTTCACCGTCACACCTTAAGACGAAGGCACAGCTGAAACAGATGCCAGAAGCGGCTAATACGGTTGATAAACAAGTTTCCTTAAGCATAGAAGGCGGTATACCTAACGATGGTAATGTCCCCAAATGCCCCGATATTTCGAAGAAGCATCATCAGGCAGCTGGTGTAATTTGCAGCAATCAACATCAAGCAACCAACATCATCTACAGCATAAATGAGCCCGAAGTTTCATCGGTGACTAATTATTTAACAAGCCGAAGCGATGCAGCTGATAATAACGTGCAAACACTGTGTGACGAAACTAATAAGAATCCAATGCAATTAGATGTGGCAATGTGCGCCTCTATCGAAATGTCTACTGACGCTATAAGTATATCAGGCGATAAAGAAGTCTCATCTTCTCCTGACTTATCAAGTAAGGTATCGACAGTCGTCGCGTCAGCATCGCCGGTGTCAAGTGTCTCAACAGCGAGTACTACATCTCAGAAGCAAGGGACCAGCAAGAAAATTGACATAAAAACCTACTATGAACGTACGATGCAACGTCGTATCAACAAGCAGAACGAAACGAAGAAATCGACAGTAGAAAGTCCCACAACGTCTCAGTCTTTGCCATCTATACCGAAAGCTTCTGCTGCTGCAGAGACCGATGTAAAAATTAACAAATGCATATCAAGTTCTATTAAAGATCCACGATTGATTTATTCCAAAATATCAGCCGCTGCTCTGTGTTCAACGACTGTTGAAGCTAATACCGTGCAGAAAACACCGGAGAAAAATATTCAGTCGGAAGTACAGCAGACGACGGAGAACATATCTCCACAGAGCGGAAGTTTAAAGCACCAGGCGACGGATAGATCTCACTCTGTCGGATCAGCTTCGAAACACTCTGACGAACACGACAGCGCCGCTAAGAGAATCAGTAAACGTAAGTCGAAGGATGAGAAGGTATCTAGTGCTGGCATGGATATCAATCCGTCGCAAAACAACATCGCAACGACACCGACAAGCACATCATCGAAGCTCAGAAAACGTCCGGAGACTGAAGAACATACGACAGGTAAAAAATTGCACGACATTGTTCCACCCGACCCGAAGAAATTTAAAAACATTCGGTCCGAAGGCAGCAAAGAGTTGAAACTGAAAAAGGAAATAGCGAAGGCGCAGAAGATGAAGAAGTCCAATTTAGCGTCAAAATCCACGAGCATAATTCCGACAAAGGTGGAAGCAAAAAGTCAGACAACGCAAACAGAGGAGGCTGATAATACCAATGACACGAATAATTCGAATAAAATAGAAATTGAACGAACCAGACAGTCAACAGGTCTTTGTGCAAGTAAAGTAAGTCACGGTAAGACGGAAACAGAATCAGTGCAAGCTTCAGAAAACACTAACGATAATAATGGAATATTGTCGCGTAATGTTGATGAGGCAGAAAAATGTTCGTTGAACTCGAAACTTACTGAATCGAGAGACATTAAAGAAAATGTTACTAATATCGCGAGCGCTGACGCGCCAGAATGCTTATTTTCCAAAATAATGCAAAATGAAGAAGCGTGTGACATAACACGCGCAAGCGATACCGCGAGTATCAAGATTACAAGTAAAGAAAGTAAGAAATTACAGGTAAGGAAAGCCGACGAAATTTCTAACGACGTGTCCGAGTCGGCAGTACGTGACATTTACCCGCAGACCGAAGTCTCCGACAATATTGAAAAAACAAATAAGGAGAATCTTCCTTTGTCAAGTGAAAAAATACAACAACCTAACACGACGAAAGATATGAAACTTTCGAGTCAGATTAAAACTGGAAAATTAAATGAACGGAATTTGTTAAAGAATATAAATAATCCAACCTCGACCGAGAAAGGCAGTATTCCCGAGTCGGATACGATTTCTCGATTAGATGGTGTTCAAGGTAAGAAAACTCAACTGTCGGTAGGTAGGTGTACGATAAATCAAATTGACATTAGCGATACTAATGAAAATAATGTGAGACCAGATGTAACAAGCAGTACAGGCAAAGCTGCGAATATGGACGAAGATGCTCCTCTGTCCAAAAAAGCTATTAAGCTGTCGACATCTGTTGAAGAAAATTCCGCAGAACAAAAAATGGAGGAGAATGTCACTTCTCCTGACAGCGTAGGTAGTCCTTTTAAAGGATTTCTTCAGGACTCCACCATATCTTTCGAATCGCCGTTGTTTGGTATCGACATAGATGAGATGAATGCGGGTAAGGAGGACGAGTTACTCTTAAGTCAGTTTAATGCAAATTACGTGACAGATGCCAACAGTCTCGAGGAAAGGAAGCGATAGCAATACGAGACGGTGGTGTCTGTCACTAGTTTTGCTGATGGCATAAATATTAATATTGACGTAAACTTCGATATCACATTTGCCGATGTTTTATTTGCTTCAGATAAAGAATTCACGACGGATGAGAAGAACAGTAAACCCGACTTGATGGCGAACGAGAGCAGGGAAGATCGTCCGGATAAATCCTCGAGCGAGATACTCATGAGTACATTGCATGGAAATGATGTTAACACCGCGGGGAGTAATGAAACCGAGAAACAATTGATAAGCGAAAGCGGGTACGAGACGAATGTACAAGACAGATTGACTGTTGAGGAATCCGTGTTTATCAATGAGGAGGAGATCCAGGGCGAAGATTGTGCGAAAGATTTGGCAAGTAAACTCACAAGCGAAACTGACCCTAGCTTATCCGACGCGTTGGATACAGCGGCTTCAGACGAGGCATTGAGACTAACGGAAATTCCGAGTACGGAACTTGGTAATCAGATGTATTTGGAGACGAGCATAGTCGAGGAGAAAATGTCGTGCGATAAGCTACTGAGCTTCGATGCGGGCGAGCAGTTGGACAACGACATGTTTTACTTGGACGATCGTTTGCAAGGCACTACCGCGTTCGATAGCAAGGACGATGCACCGGTGCACTTCTCCGATCAACAACGAAGTCTTCAGTATGACATCACGCCGACGATCACTCCCGAAGCAATGACCGCACCTTGCTCTGATTTACCGCAGGTGGAAATACCGAAGTTAACACCGAGTAAACTTATCCAAAAGCATATCTCGCCCGACGTCTCGCCGACGGATAACGATCATCCCATTAGAATGTCAATGAATTACTCGCCGAGCACAATCGATACACCGAAAACACTGAACATCCCGACTAAAGCCGCCTTGAAGGAACCAGTGACGAATATCTTTACGAAGTCCCCCATTGATACATCAATGCCAACGGAGACGACTGAGATACCAGAAAAAGTGCAACAAAGCGAGACAAACAATCTGACTGGCCAAACACTAGCTTCGCAGTTCAATGTAGATAAGAAAAAAACACTGCCGCAAGAAATTCAAAACAGTACGACCACTGCTATGCAGGAGCTCTCTCGTGTAGAGGAAATATCACCGACTCGGCACAACGCGAACTGCGACGAAGCAGTTCTCAAGAATATTTCTATGAAACAAAATATATCGTCAACGGCAATTGTTACCTCAGAGAAAAATCCTCACTGCATTGTACTACGCACTCCGGTTGTGGAACTAAGGAAAATGAAAGAGTTAGATCGCTTGATGCAAAAGAAGACGCAGAAAAAATCGGAAAAGGTTAAAGAGGCAGTACACAAGAGTCGCAAGCGCGAAAATGCGATTTTGCACAAGCTGGAAAGCCGACGAATAAAATATCGATCCAAGTGGCCGCACATGAAGAACTTGGTGAGGAAACTCAGATTAAAACAATCTGAGAAACCCGGCAGCAGCACCAGTGAAATAATCTTAGCCAGAATGCTAGAGATCGATGCGCAGATGCTTGAGTTAACGAAGGAGAAGCTCAAGTTGCACGAATTGCTGCAGAAGGATCTTGCGTTGACTGGGAATACCGCGTCGACTAGCAGTGTGACGCCGAAAGCAAATGAAGACGATATGATTTCTACTCGATCCGATACGCCACCGAAGTCACTCATAATCGAAGATAAGGAAGTAGTTCATGCAAAATTAAACAAAACCCCGTCGTCGACGAAGCAGCCGACGAAGCAACCGACGAAGCAGCCGACGAAGCAGTCGACGATTAAAAGAAAAAGAACCACGTCTCACAGTTCGGAAGACGAGGAGATCGTGCGTTACACGCAGAAGATGAAAACACCCGTGATCAGATGGAAAAAGATACCGCGGTTGGGACAAACAGTCGCGGAAGAAGACCTCGAGGAGGAGGATCACGAAAAGGAGAAATATAAAAAGGAAAATCAGCAGGAGAAGAAAACGGAACAGCAGACGTCACCTCTTACAACCAGTGAGAAGAAAGTGAATGATCCGCTCAGCGTGCCCGAGGACGCCGTGGAGAAGCCTGAATCTAACGCTGAATCGGTGGTTCATAACGAGCAAGTGCAGTCACTCAGTACGGAGATTGGTAAGAAAGCCGAGTGCGACGTCAATACATCTCTGAAACGTGCGATTTGGCCGGACAAAGATGCGGACGATCGATCGAAGCCGCGAGATTCTGTCGAGAAAGAGACCGAGGGTACAGAGCGTTCGATTCGCAAGAGTGACATCGACAAGAAGAGCGACGCTTCAGCGCCGGCCGAGGTACCGAGGGCGAATTCCCAGTTATCGAGCACACACGTGCACAGCACGCCTGAGCCCGCGTCCATTTATTCCGACGACAGCACGTGGGATTCCCTGGTTCAGAACACTGCGTTTGAATTGCACGAGAAGAGAAAGTCCACCGGGCTCGCTTTGCTGGAAGAGACGTTCAAGAAGGAGGTTGCCATATCGCGCAAGATGAAAGCGATGGCGCGCAAGCAGAAGAAGAAGCAACTGACTAACTTCCTGAAGAGCGTCAACAACTTGACAGTGGAGGAGGAGGAGTTGCCATTGTCCAAATTGTACATCAGGAAGCTACAGCAGAAACGAGATCTTTTGGATTTGCTGGCCAAACAAAAGGACGAGCCGATCAGCGCGGTTGTCGACTCGAAAGTTACGGAGAACGTGGAGCAAGTGATAAACGCCGTTGCGGAAAATCGAGTGGATGATCTTTACGAGGCTCAATGCGAAACGCGAATTTCCAACGATATCCCGTCGACATCCAACGTCTCCGCCGTGTCGCAGTCTGACAAGCACCAGTTCTACGTCGAAGCCGAGGCGAACGCCAACGCGGATTGGCCTAACGTAGAGAAAGAAGGCACGGAGAAGATCGCGCTGCAACGGCAAGATAATAACGATATGCCCGAAGTAGATGAACCGAATTGCGCTTTCGCAGTCGTCAATCAGAGCAAGGTGTCTATCTGCAACGAACATAACGTGGAGCCCGATAGCAGCGTCACGCCCGAGGAGAGCCGTCACTCTACGGATTCCAAGCATGCGACAGATCCTGCGGCCGTCCTGCGGAACTTCGACATTAAAGTGTCCGTGCCTAAAATTTTGATAACGGATGACTTTAGTTTAGGGTTGTTACAGAGATTCAGCGACGCGCAGAGTGACGCCGCCAATAGTGGTCTGGTAGATTCTACGACACACGCGTTTGGAGTTAACGCTGAGAAACCAGAGGCGAATAAGGAGCCGCAGAACGACAAGGTTTCGCAGGACGTTCCGCAGGCGGTCGAGTCGGTTGTGCAGGATAACAACGATGAGGAAAGCAAGACGAAAGCACCAGAAGAACATCAACAGACGGTGGACGCGAACGGCAATGAACACAGCACCGCGACATGCAAATCACCAATGCAAGAGAAAACCGACAGTGCGACGAATGCGCAAATCGAGCCGCAGACGACTACCACGAGATCCGAATACTCCGACGTCACGGAGAACGAGAATCCAATCGACAGTGTTGCTCTCAATATTCGTAATAAGGCAGCAACAGTAACCGCCGAGATTGAGCGTGAGTCAGTTTCCTCGGATTCTACGAACGCAAAAATAAATACGGAGCAAAAGAAGTCGGACGCTGAGCCTGAACAGCTTTCGAACGATTCGATCGTCTCGAGGCAGGATTATCAAAATATGGAGAGCGTTAAGGAAAACAGGAGCAACTCTGAGAACAACTCACGCGCGTTCGAGGAGATTCAAGGAAAGGATCTACGTGCCGGCAGTCCTGTCTCGGCTAATACAGTCAGCGAGAAGTCAGAGGAGTCTAACGAGATGCCTACCGAAGGAAAACGCAGTCCGGATCATACCTCGTCGTTGACGTCGTCGGCCACTCTTTCGGTTAGTAAGTCGAAAAACGCGGAAACAACTAAGAGGCTAACTGGCCGCAAAAAGAACAACAAATCTATGGCACTACGGAGAAGCTCTAGATACACCAACGAGAACATGCGACTCAACAAGGACGACGATAACTCAAGCAGCAGCGGGCAAGAGTTACACGCGCATGAGAGGGATCCGGCAACACATCGCAACAGCAAATCGCCCACTAGGACGATGCACGACGATAAAAGCAACACGTTGAACACTAGGAAGCATCGTGTTACTCAAAAGTCACAAAATACGAGTACTCGGAGAACTCTCACTGGTGCCGAGTCAGAGACAAGAGTCGATGATTTGGGATCACAGCTTACCACAACGGCAGAATCCACTGCATCGAGGGACAAGACCACGCTAGATCTACCTGAAAGAAAAAGGAAACATCATACACGACAGGAAATGATGAACTGTAAAGTGACATTGGTCGACTGCAAGCATACTCTTCTGAAGCCAGATGTCAGTCCCGAAGTTCTACACAGACTTGGAATTATTCATGTGAATCCTCATGTACAAAACTATGCGTCACTAAAACCAGATATTACAGTTACTCCTGCTGCGGGCGCGGAGAAAAGTTCCTCACTGAAGTCGGACAAGCCCGACGATAAAGCTACATTCGAAGATGAAAACCAGCTTGAAATCTTACACGAAAAACTGATTACGAAGAGTAACGACGACCTCGTTCAAATGTCTATCTCGCATGAAACAGAAGTGGGCGAGCAGGAGCCAGTAAGAATGCAGTATACGGCTCACAAAGGTCCTATCTTAGACATCAAGGTGATAATCTAACAAATTAGAATCTTTGTCATGTAATTTTACACAAGACAAAAGACAAGTGCATTTTTGCTTTTTGTCTCCAGGTCTTTCAAGACTCGTTCTTAGCCGCAAGTGAAGACGGCAAAATATACAGGTACAGTAAGATGTCGAATGAGATGCTGAATATCTACAAAGGTCACAAGTCTGCTGTTACCTGCCTACTTCTGTACAAGTTGTCTGCCTCAGATGTTAATAGTGAACATATGTTCTCTGGTTCCTTAGACGGCACATTACGTTGTTACAACATAATGGTAAAATTTGTTGCTTTAGGTGCCGGATGATTTTCCATTTCAGTATATCAGATAATTGATGGGTCATCTTTCAGACCGGAACATTAGTAAAAGATCCAGCACAGATATACAGTCCGATTCAGTGCATGGATGAAGCATGGGGAATGATTTTTATTGGTACTAAATCCGGACACGTTTCGCGTTTCCATATCAAGGTAAACTTTGCTTCAGCTACATTAATATTTCGATTCTTACGATAATTAAATGTTTACATCGATATGCGATTTGTGTTTATATGTAATATATTGTTATATATTGTTTATACATAAATACATTTTATCTGCAGTCTGGCGCAGTTAAAGGAAACAGCATACAATTTTCGGAAAAATCTGTTCTTGCACTTAAAGCGACGAATGAGGGACCGCGAAGAATCCTCATTGTAGCGTCTCGAAATCAACCGATAAGTATACGAGATGCACAAACCGGTTTGTTCCTTCGTACAATTAGTGGCCAAAAGAGCCATACGGTTTACAGTTTGATGCGTCATCATAATTTGATTTATTGTGGTACGAGTAGTACATCGATAAATGTGTTTGATTTTACAGTAAGTAACAATAGCCTCCTGAACGTATTCTGAAATATAAATATTTGAATCACACCTAAAATATATGATTGCAGTTGGGTGAACAAACAATTCAGTATGATGCTGGTGTTGGCATCGTGTGTATGCGACTTTACGAACATTTGCTATTTGCAGGCTGTTATGATGGCAACATTTATGTTTTTGATACAACAGTAAGTGATGTATTTTTGCGTCAGAAAGCACTATTATGATTATATGTGTATATAATTCGTATTTTATTAAATCTGCTTACAGAATCATAAACTAGTGTGTAGCATACCTGGTCCAGGGAATATGTTATTAAGTATAGAAGTTGTAAATAATATGGTATGTATAAATTATATACAAGCTTAAATTTCTGCTTCATATTACTGCTTAATATTCAAGCTTATATTACTTTTGTATATTATATTGTAAAACTTGCATATATTTATTGATATATAGTTGATTTTTTTTCATTCGAAAATAGAGCATATTGGATTTATATATCGATCATATCCTCTAATCGTGCTTTTCTTTCAGATTATAGCAGGTAGTAAAGACAAGCGTTTACATTCGTGGCAAATGCCACCTCAAGTGCGTGCCTTGCTCTATAGTATAACATAGCACGCTTAGGAAGAAAAATCTTTACTTCAAAAATAATCAACATCGGAAAACGGAATCCAGTCAATGCACAATTCGTACGGAATGATATGGGTAGGATCCATTAGACACTTTAAAGCGTCTTAGCTACGTCTAACACTGCGAATAATATCATTAATCCTGTGCATAAAAAAGAATTCTTCAAAGCCTATAAAGCATCTAGTGGATTACACCCTGATACGATACTAGATACAAGTGATACTAAAATGAATACCACAACAAACGATTAATAAATGTCATTTTAAAATTTATAATTATCTACATTCCAGCTTCTTCGCTATAAATAGAATTTTAGATTTACATATTATCCACCAATGCTGTTAATATTATTATTGTATTTGACGATTTTATTTTGTATACAATTTTACTTCGTGCTTAATAAGTATGTGACATCAGATGCTAAATTTAAATGGTTGTTTACAGTTGTTATAGCACGGAAAAACTATTTATAGTGGAGAAGTAGCAATTTCGAAATTACTTGTTACCAATATATGCAATAGAAAGGATTACATAATAATATGTAAAGTGTATATTTGTAAAAAGTTTAGACTGAGCTGATATAAAAACAAAAATTATATGGTTTATGATTTTCAAAAATATTAGATGAAATTTTACGATTCTTCATTAAAGAATATGACACTCTTACATGAAAGTGAATCAAGCGAATTTTGTTTTGACTGATATTAAAGCTTATTAAAACACGAGACTGGTATAAGTAGCAGACATACGTACTTTTGATGATTTACATAAACTCCTGTTACACAATGTTGCTGTTCATCATTGTACCTCACAAAGATCTGTTTCTCTGTTAGCTATGTGTTTCCAAAAATATTGTACCATTTTCATTATCTTCATGTTTTTTAATGTTTAGCTTGTTACATAATCTTACAGAGGCCAGTGTAGTAACTTTAACTACGATTTTTAACCATACATAATCATAATGATTATGTATAGTTTAACTATGTAATGTCGTAGTAATATGCATATATGTTACTGTCATATATATATATATATATATATATTTATATATATATATATATAAATCATAGTTATATATGTATATGTCAAAGTATACTATACAGTGTCTATACAATAAGAACAAATGCATTAGCAATGTGATCAAGTGAATTTTAAATAATGAAATTACGAACGAGAACTTCATGCCATACTCTGACTCAGTATAAATATAGACCAAAACGTAATAATATGACAAAACAATTGGAAGTTTTAAAGTGTATCTGAAGTGCTTATGAGTATTTTGAAATATAACAAAATTTAAATAAAATTATAATAAATTCTTTACAAATGCATAATATAAAAATCTATATCGGTTTTTGTAAGTATATACTGCTCGATTTCATGATGATATATATAAATATTGAACTGAAGAAGGTACACATGTATGCGTTAAACTTGATTTCATCGCTAATTGCATTTCAATTTTTGCTTTATTGTGATGTACATTATGTGGTATGATAAGCAATCTTATTTATTAATATAACACAATATAATTGACAATATAATTTAAAGGAGATCGATACTAAATTAATCAAAGAGTCGACGGTATCAATGTTTGTGCATACGCACATGTGTAAGATGAATGGAGGTAAAATGATTCACGTTATTAGATTCATATCTTATATTTATAGTCCTACAACATGTGCAAATTTAAAATTTAAAGCAAAACGGTTCTTTTATTCAATTTTACGTTATATATATATAATATTTATGTACACTATGTGTAAATGATAAATCACGTTGTATACGGGCTATTTGGTCAAAAAGTTGAGAAATGTACAGCATTGAAAGATTACTGCCATTATATAGATTATGATTTGTCAACATTAACATTAACCCTCCATTGCGTTCAATTTCCCATATTTCCAATTAAAAATAGAAAATCAGGAGGGTTCTTAATATACAGCTTCTTTTTATAGAAGGATTGAAAAAATTAAACGTTACATTTCGTTAATCAAAATTATACAATAAAATTAAAATTATAAGTGCAATTTGAATAACATATTTTTCTCACCTAGGAAAATGTATATGATGTCCATATCTATATATCTTGTAAATGTAAATATAATTAATTTGTAATGAACTTGCGGTAATCTCTCTACATCATATTAATTTCTTAAAGTAACAAACTATAATTCATGAATAAAATTTTTATGAAAAACCTATAATTATGATATCCAGTCGCAAACTTTTCATGTAAAATCATTCTTTAAAGTATTTGAGATAATAAAAAAAGAAAAGATTTTCACGAAAGGATTAAATGATCTTTAGTTTCAACGAGTTTTGCAATGATATATCTTAATTGTCGTCGTTTTATTTCATAGTCGATAAGAGTACGTTGTTTGATGATGAACCTGTTTGATCAATATTTGCCTATAATTTTGTAAATCTCAAAGAATTGGATATTAGTTGCGCAACTCACAGATACCTTTTAGTATTAAATTATTGGGGACTTGAATAAGTACTCGCTGTTTTTTCGTGAAAATGAATGCTTTATTTTAAAAAATTAGTAAAGGACATGTCATTGAAAGTATTGTCCATCGCTAGCCACTACTTTCTCCCATCTTTCTGGCAGCATACGAATACTATGTCGAAAGAACGACTCATCTTTTGAGGTTATCCACGAATCGACCCATTTTTTGGCATCTTCATAAGAATGGAAATACTGTTCAGCCAGGCCATGAGTCATCGATCGGAACAAGTGGTAATCGGAAGGAGCAATATCCGATGAATATGGCGGGTATGGTAGGACTTCCCATTTGAGCGTTCCCAAGTAGGTTTTGACCGGTTTTGCAACATGTGGCCGAGCGTTGTTATGCTGCAAAATTACTTTGTCGTGTCTCTCCTCGTATTGCGACCGTTTTTCCTCTAATGCTCGGCTCAAACGCATCAATTGTAGTCGATAGCGATCTCCTGTGATGGTTTCGTTGGGTTTGAGGAGCTCATAATATACTACACCCAGTTGATCCCACCAAATACAGAGCATGAGCTTGGAACCATGGATATTCGGCTTTGCTGTCGATGTTGATGTATGGCCGGGCTTACCCCATAATTTTCTACGCTTCGGGTTATCGTAGTATATCCACTTTTCATCGCCAGTCACGATACGACGCAAAAAACCTTTCCTTTTCTGCTGTTGGAGCAGCTGTTCACATGTGAAAAAACGCCGTTCGACGTCTCTCGGCTTCAATTCGTACAGCACCCAATTTCCTTGCTTTTGAATCATTCCTAATGCTTTTAAACGTTTGGCAACTGTTGTGTGATCAACTCCTAATGATTCTGCAAGTTCATTTTGCGTCTGACATAGGTCCTCATCGAGTAATGCTTCTAATTCTTCGTCTTCAAACTTTTTCGGCGCGCCAGAGCGTTCTTTATCTTCAACATCAAAATCATTATTTTTAAAGCGTCTAAACCAATCTCTGCATGTTATTTCCGACAGAGCATGGTCACCGTAAGTCTCCACAAGAATTCTATGTGCTTCAGCTGCAGATTTTTTTTGAAAAAAGTAATGCAGTAAAATTCCCTGCAAATACTCTTTTCTGGCACGAGATTTGACATGTTTAACGCTATGAAAAAATGTTGTTTACACTTCGGCGGAATAACATATACTGTCACTTCGAGCCTAATGGTGGAGCTTCACGATGAAGTTGGCTGTAGTATTGCCCGATGCAAAAAGGCTAAGATAACACCATCTATCGGGAAACAGCGAGCTTATTCAAGTCTTCAATAATATCAATATAATTAATAAAATACTTAACACACATCTGAAATGTGTCTATGCCTTGGACCATTTAAATCTGGCAAGACTGTTCTTATGAAAAGTCTCCAAGGAGACGATATTGACGACGCGACTCATACTGTACCTACCAATGGGATAAATTTATTTACTGTTAAAAATGATACCGGTGAGTTCGATATGGTGATTAAAGAAATCGGAGGTAACATGGCACCGATATGGAAGCATTACTTTGACAAGGTAAACAAGAATCGCACCGAGACAGGTAAACTAATAAACGATCTTAAATAATGTTATAAAATTTGTTCCTAGATTCACAAAATAATCTATGTAGTAGATACCAGCAATCTTTGCCAAATAAGCGCGGCGGGTGTGTTGCTTTATTCTTTTCTCGTGGAGCCAAGATTGCGAAATGTTAAAGTAGCACTCGTTTTAAACAAAATGGACGTTTCGTATCGTCAGATGAGAAACGAAGCTTTGCTGATGTTGCAATACGTGCGTTTACAAAGAGAAGTGACGCAGAAGATCACCGTATTAGAGACTAGCGGTATGACCAGCCAAGGCGTAGAGGATTTACGTAGCTGGTTATTCGATCCTGACACGCTGAAAGCCACTCTCAATGCCAACAAATGAGCGACAATTGTCAATTAAACGACAAGACCTCAAAATGGATCATTCTTTTTATTTACACTCAATCTTACAAAGATATAAAGGTACTACAAATGCGAGCACATTTTGAAGTTAATTTATTAGGGGATGTTTCCCTACTGCATTTTCTACATCATATACGCATAAATTCTAAAAAATACAGCTTACATTACCATGGATGCTAAATAATGGTGCAACAGAGATTAGCGTAAAGGGTACACTAATTTTCTTGCTTTTGTATTCTTTCAAGGTTTTTCAAATTCCTTCAAAATTGCTAACGATACCGCTAACGCGTTGTAAGTTTAACGTGTACATATGAAAGAACCTCTAAAGATTAGGAGAGAAAGAGAGAGAAAACTTATGTCACACATATTACTCTCACCACTGATAATAAAAAGACAACTGTATAAACATTTTCATCTCTCGTTTATATCCTCATCTCATAGACTTTTCACAGGTTTAAAATATCGTTTATCTATATGACATACGTTTAATGTATCCTCGTCAGATCCTCAACCACTTTTACAAGATCATCCACTGTTGCTTCTTTCTTCATACCACTGCCGTCGTCAATCTGTAAGAGAAGTATAATGTGGATTGATGTTTACAAACATTAATACAAAATATTGATTCAACATATGTGATCGAATTACCATAAGGCCCATCGCGACTTCCGCCATCTTGTCGTGGTTTAAATCGAGAAAACTTTCTATCAAATCGCCGTCTATAAACCCTTCGCATTGCTCGATCTTCAATTCCGTGTTGAAACTTCTCCAGAAATTATGCTCTATTTTGCCTACGCTTTTGATCACACTGTTCAGTCGGTCCTCGAGATTGCGCAGGAATTCGTAAAAAGCAAATGGGATTTGCGTCACCAAACCGATAGCACCGCTGACAGTTCCAAACAGTACGCAACCCAGAGTAGGTGTACTTGACTCTCCCAAATTCTGCATTACCAACGAACCATGTCGAAAGACGTTAACCATGTCGCCCAAGTGAAACTGACCTACTTCCTGCATTTGTTGCCTTTCATCTTCAGAAGTTGCGGCGCTAGAAAAAATAATTCCCGTCAATATATTCAACTTACTATCTCACTAAAAACTAAATAAGAATTTGTTCTCTTTTATATATCGGACATACCTATCTTTCTGACATACAAAGAGATTGAAACAATTTTCAGCACCTAGGAAAGTATCGTCGTCTAATATCTCAATGGAAGTCATCCAATTGGGATTGTAATCTCTAGCTATTTCTTCGAAGCTGCCCTCCATGGTTTTATATTGCAATAATGTTAAAGACCTCATAAGATCCCCCACCAAGACAAAATCACCTTTAGTCTTCAGATAAAGCGCTATAATGTTGTTGAAGTGGCTACATTCAAGTCTGAGCTCTTTCTCTGCTGTCCATTCAAACAGACGTACGGTGCTGTTGATACTCGCCAGGAGTTTTCCGTTGAATTCGACCAGAGAATAACATGATCCCTTGATCTCCTTCTCGGCAACCTGTGTCAGTTTACCGTCACTCCAGTGATACAACAATATCCTACCCATCTTTGGCTCAGTCTCGTCAGGATTTATGAGTGCAGTCCCGACCACGAAGTACGAAGTGGGATCTTCACCCAGTCGCGTCGAAATCAGCGATAATGCGTACTCAGTGGGCATCAACGTGTGCGCATGCAGAACCTCAAAGGTATGTTGATCAATGATGAGGAGATTGTGAACCTCAATCTCCTGACCGATCTCGCTAGCTGTATGTCCACTGGGTTTGTTGTGCGAAGCGATGTGACTGCTGCTGGACGTGGAAGCCGCCTGGGTAGACGCAGAGTGTCTGACAATGCTGACGCCACTGCTTTCCTGCACATCGACGCGCATTGTGATAACACCGAAAGTTTGCGAGCTTTCTTGGTAAGCGATTCTTCGCGGTGACTCTCCGAGTGGTACCGTTCTTATATGCAGTTTCTGAATCTCGTCAATTGTGCCAATTGTAACAGTACTGTCAGTCGCTAACGCCAGACTATCAGGATAAGATTCCGCATTCAACGAACACATGTGATTCACTTCTTTAAGATTGACGTTACTGAAGACAAGTTTATGATTTGAGGAATAAATCACCGTAGGTCTGTCTGAACATGCGAAGACATTCGTCGTGGATAGAGAACGGAAAGTTCTCAAGACAGTGGGCTGAGTTCCCAAGGTGACTTTCTTTTTATCCGACAATATACCATTTTGTTTGTGCAAAGTAAAATAATACATGCTACCGTCACCCAGCGCGCAAAGTAAATACGTGTTACCTTCAAAACAAGTCATTAAGATGGATCTAGGTATAATCTCTCCACCAAGGAGCTCTTTATTGATCTCCTCTAAACCAGGTAAGGTCAAGATACGAACAGATATATCCGTCCAAAGACCCACAGCAACGATCTTGGCCTCGCTAATGCCATCCAAAGGAGAAATATCCAAACATGCCACTTCGTGCTGCAAGGTAGCGAACCCTTTGGGTACGATTTGATTGCATATAATCTCCATATAAAACAGATCATTTCCCGTGGCACAAAGAACCTGAGTGCCGTTACATGCTACTACACTAATGGTTCGTTTATTTTCCGGTTCCCACTCAGAGACGACGATTTTGGTTTCATGTGAAATCAATCTGGCAGACGTCGGAGTTATTTGAATAAATAGATCGTTAGTAACATTGCCCGTGTGGAACGTTTGTTCGTCTGCGACGAAACCCGGTATATCGGTCTCTTCGACTTCCTCACCGTTCAAAGTCAGAATTCTAGTCTGTCCAACAAACGATAGCACTAGCGTATTATCAAAATTTCCGCCGCCAACCTTCAGAGCCCACATGCCTTTGATTCCTGGTAAATCAATACTCGCATGTTCCTGAATGCCTATACCGTTTCTGATAATTCTAAGGGAACCTTCTTTGAAAGCGCCGGAACACGTGACCATCTGTCCTTGACCTTGTCTTTCCAGATCTACTACAGCCATATCGACGATAGGTGCGAGATTAGTAAAAGTTTCCATCGGCACGCAATAGGAGCCATTCTCGTCTGCCTTTGTAATTAATTTTATCAGCTGGGAATCACCGAGACGACTGCCGACAAATATTACGCCGTTGTCCAAATAAGTTATACATTCTGGTATACTAATTTCACCCAGCAACTCTACTTTTAAGTCCTTCACTACCTGCGTGCCATCAGGCTTCTTTTCTTGTTCCAAAAATAACATAAACAAGTGACCAGCCATGTCACCCAACAAGTATCTTAGCCCCTGATTATCTACCTTGGCGTAGCAGGTAATGGTGCTTTGCTTTATAATTGGAGGCACCACAGCAATGTATGTTGTACCATCATGATATAAAATACTCTCTTGTCCTATTATTATTGCACCACAGATGGGGGAAGGTACAGGAATGACCATCATAGCTTCTCTCTCTACATTATCTTGCCTCCATGGTATTTTTACAAACTCTTTGTCTCTCAAGGATATCTCGTGTGTCTTGACATGTCTACCATTAATGTCCTGATGAATTAAAATTAAGGTGGGATTAGCACATCCATGTAGAAAATTGACATCTTGCACTTGTTGTTCATCCATACGAATGGAAGATGCTTTAAGTTCTGGATTGTCCTTATCCAAGGGTATAATCTTAAAAAGACCATCATATAATCTAAGACCGATTACTCGTGCTTTAGGATCAATCACAGCTTTGATGCCAGTTTCAGAAGCCTTTCCAATTCGATCTGCGACATTTCCATGTGCTTTCGTTATAATTTCTATATCTTCCCCTTCCCCGATACATTCCAGAATCATAGCATTATACCGTGTTGTCAATAGAAACAGAAGATCTTTTTTTTCATGCTGAAAAGATAAATTTATATAAATATTATTATGTAACACAAACTTAAATAAATATACCTTTAGTCTAAAAATTTAGGATGATATAAATATGTTTACACCTAAATTTCGATAATAAATTTTATATGTAAATTATTTCAAGCTTGTATAAAGACCATTTTGGAAGTTTGATCGTCAACTATCTATGATATCCATATGATGCATTCAAGATAATAAAATTACAAAGCATTAAGATCTAATTGGCAGATATTGCTAAATATTGATGTCTTCCTGTGATACATCAGAGATAACAGAACTACATGCGTAAACAAAACATATAGCTGCATGTGAGCTATATAGGACTTTCTTGAAAACAGGCAATTCTCACAGCATAACCTTACCGGTGGTCTGAAGAATTTTACGACAGCTATTCTACCATAGATCCCAACTTCCTTTAAAGGTCTCAGACCCTCCGGCGTCACAAGATATATCTCCAGACGCACATTTTTGGCCAGTATTAGATTCAAATCCGTAGGTGACGTGAAATTACCTTGCAAAAATGTAGTGAAGCAATTATGCTGCGAAATAATTTTGACCTTATAATTTTGCGAGATTTAATGACTCACCGGTCACACAAGCATTAACAGCTGTCGGTTTATGAGCCGTCACTACGTAATGATGGGACATTGCTTTCATAATATATTGTCTGTACGATTGTAAATATCTTCGTAACTCCAACCACAAATTCCACTGAGCGCTGCTTTCCGTGTTTTTCAATTTATCGCGCCATGAAGTTGGTCACAGTTCAGTTTCATCAAGCTGATCCGCAAAGAGCGTGCTTCAGCCTGATTTCCATGTATTGAGTTGCACATTGCGATTGGCCAAAATTGGTGCTTTAATATTAAAAAATATATACATATATATTTTAATATCATAAGTGTTGAGAAGTATTTCGTTCACTAATAAAATTAATTTTTTTTTAATATGCCGATGCTTTAATTTTTAAGGTTTTTCTTTCGATGGAATAAAATTTAAAAAAACTTTTAAAATTTTTCTATAATTTAAGATTCTCCATAAAATTAAAAACTCCATAAAAAGTTTTGGAAATAGGGAAGGATAGATATCCTGCTTATATATATATATAAAAGACTTAAAATAATTTAACGATATTTAACGATATTTAGGAAAAGTATTGTTATTTTAAGTTATTAATTAAAGCTATCTACAAAAATGTAAAAGTATTCGAACACGAAACTTAAGATTTATTAAAAATCGGAAATGTAAAACATTTTCACATATCTTACACTTTCAGACCATAAACTAACATTTCGTCTTACTCTCTAAAACTATACAATTGTACAAAGATCATAAAGTTTCTACAATATAGTGCATCACAATCTCATATTGTATTACATACATATATATATATATATATTCATATATATATTTATATATATAGCTTACCACTAATATAATACTTCCGATGTGTAAACAATTGTACCTTTCATTTTACCTATGTATACATATACATAGGTTTGTGTTAGTTGATGGTCTGTAGACCGTCAATTTATAAATTCAGCTTCTGTAATTAGCAATACGCAAAAACAGAAAAACTTACACTGGAAAAGAAGAAAACGCGATTAACTGAATTGTGCAGAGTATTAGATTAAAGAGAAGAGACAGAAGCGACGCACAAAATACATACATACAATAAATGTGAATATAGACTTCCAAGCAGATAACGGAATAGTATAGACGCGAAAGAGTAGTTTTTTTATGGAACATTAATCCTACATTTATCGTATTGTTACAGATGTATACGCGAGACAGTCTTAAAAGAAAAACGGAGAATAAACTGACGAATTATAACAGGGTATTAAAAAATAGCCTAACGAAATTCAGCAGGTGTCAGGGGGAATATTCGAATGCCGAATAGTTATAACAAAATTGATCGGAAAACGCGTTTCTTTAGCTATTGAGACATACATAGAATTGATATAGTAGCATATAGCATGGTTTCTAGTGGGAGCTTTATAATCAAAGCTCGGATATTACTATCTCATAAGATTGCTCGTCATTTGAGCCTTTATTAATAGCAGAATGCTGATAATATAATTTATATCACTATTTTCATTTAGCGCATATCATAGCGCATATTGATAATGCCAAGATCGTGAACCAGCCGATTATTGGCTATAATTTATGAAAATTATACATGTAAATACAATTCCAGAATTATAATACATTTATAATATAGACAATTGCGGAGCGTTTATTCGTATTCTCCAAATCTTGCCAGTAACTTCCGAGCTTTGTGTACACTTTATTGCAAAACGATTTGAACACATACTTTTCGATGTATTTTGTGATATATCTACGTTCGATTAGAAGAAAAAAATTTATTATGTGAAATCTAATAAAAAACAAATCACCCTATTATCGGCTACGTTTCGAAGTCGAAAAACATGTGTTCAAACCTTACTGCAAACAAGAATACAATATCGAACGTAATGACAAAGAAGAAGTAATTCTTTTTATAATTTAAACAGAGCAACTTTTGGTTTCGCTTACAATCATATGACCGTTAGAGAGATTGGTAGGAGTCGTGCATTTTTTGAGACTGTCATTCTGATCGATATCGCAGCTATCTTCTTTACCATCTGCTTTGAAATTGTTATCTAACCTAGACTTGTAAGCATTCATGGATGTTCTTCCAGGACTCGAAAGAGAGAAACTGCATCTACTTTGGTTGCTGTTAGAACTGTCGCTGTCGCTTTCGCTGTCGACGCTAGATTCGGAGCTGGTCGGACGCAATATTTTTTCTGTACGTAATATCTCATTCTCCCGTCTTAACTGCTCGTTCTGTTGTAACAGATCATCGATCCGTTGCTGACATAGTTTGAGCTTCTTGGATGTATCTGTATCTGTCCGTATCTGTTCCGTATCTGCTCGGATCTGTTCTGTATCTGTCTGTGTCTGTTCCGTATCTGTCCGTATCTGTTCCGTATCTGTCTTTTTATTTTCTGCTGTTTTATTTTCCGTATCTTTTTCTTCTACTTGATGAAGATTCTTCCGTTGCCGTTTTGATAATCCATCCACTTTGGCTTCTAACTGTAAATATTCTTGTATCAATTGAGTCTTTGTCAAATTGTTCAATCTTTCCGCATGAAGATCTTCGTATGCAGTCGAGAATTCCTTTGTCAAAAATTCCTCTTCATCTTCCGGAGATGAATAAAAGTAATCTTCGTCGGAATCAACGCTAAAACTCGAATCGCGAGTACGTGCCGGTGGTTTCTGAAACATGGCATGTACTTCTAATGAAGCAGCTTCCGATAATTTTTGTTCGAGATCAGGTAAATCACTATGATCGGCCATAAGAAATTGTGTAGTATTATATGGAGCTCGTGGATGTCTGCAACATTTTGGTGCACGTCGCCCGATATAACGTCCAAATCTAGCGCTGGAAATCTCTCGCTGAAAAAATCTCGAATACGGTCTTAATTTTTTATGCTTGGGTTTACCCCTTCGAGTTCTTCTCTTCTTTGCTGCAATGTCCACTCCATCCTCATGTTGCCCACCGTCTTGATCACCACTACCACTACCACTCTCCATTCTTGCATAGGTTTCTGCAAGTGCCTTCAGATACTATAAAACAATAAAAGTATATCATAAAATAAATTTGTTATGTGTCAGATAATTATATATATTTATATAATTGTACAAAAAGTATTAACAAATACAGTTCTATATTAGACAGGATTAACACATATGTGACAATCCTATGGTCGTTTGAAAATTAACTCACTATATTAATTGATAACAGATGAGAAATTAAAATATATATCAGGCATAGTAAAAGGATAGGCCAGGAATTGAACCCGGAGGACTTTTCACTATCTATGCAAATCTTTTCCAACTGAATTATCCATACATAATCCATATATAACAACCTGACGTACAAACACTATGCTTCTTGATATATTATCTTCCTTTTATTAAAGAGAGGAACAAATGCAGTTCTATATTTATAATTTTTTTTACAGATGTGTGATATGTGATAAATATTTTAAAATACTTATATCATATATATCCATCAAGTAGAAGCCCATATTATAATTATTTAATAATCAACATATAATATAGTAATTCTTTAATAAATTATATTAAAGAATTATATTTAAATTAATAAATTAGAGATGTCATATATGAATGAATTTACCATGAGTATCATCATTTAGATGGAACTGAAACTACCAGTTATAAAACTGATATTTAAAAAAGAAGTCATATTATGCTAATGCTTGTTCAATCAATGTATCACTCTGCTTGTAATCAGTAGAAAATGCGCGCGCGCGCATGCACACACACTCACATACTCTCTCTCTCTCTCACACACACACACACATACTCTCTCTCTCTCTCTCTCTCTCTCTCTCTCTCTCTCTCTCTCTCTCTCTCTCTCTCTCTCTCTCTCTCTCTCTCTCTCTCTCTCTCTCTCTCTCTCTCTCTCCCTCCCCCTCCCTCTCCCTCTCCCTCTCCCTCCCTCTCTCTCTCTCTCTCTCTCTCTCTCTCTCTCTCTCACACGCACACACCACGCACACGCACACGCAGAGAGAGAGAGAGAGAGAGGGAGAGGGAGAGGGAGAGGGAGAGGGAGAGGGAGAGGGAGAGAGGGAGAGAGAGAGAGAGAGAGAGAGAGAGAGAGAGAGAGAGAGAGAGAGAGAGAGAGAGAGAGAGAGAGAGAGAGGGAGAGAGGGAGGGAGGGAGGGAGGGAGGGAGAGGGAGAGCGAGGGGGAGGGGGGAGAGAGGGAGAGAGAGGAGAGAGAGAGGAGAGAGAGAGGGGAGAGAGAGGAGAGAGAGAGGAGAGAGAGAGAGGAGAGAGAGAGGAGAGAGAGAGAGAGAGAGAGAGAGAGAAATTTTCATATATTCTACTCTTGAGTCTTTGGGACTCAATTGTAGGAGTTTAAATATTCTTTCACGATACCAAATAGAATGATAAAAGGTTTTTACTCCAAATATGTACATTACAAAACTTTCATATGACATAAATATTATCGCAAGTTGATATCTACGTGCCATATTAAAAAAAAATTAATAAAAATAAAATTTCTCGAGTTTCTGGCGTGCATTTGATTTTTTCTTTCAATATATAAATTGTACATATCTTCTAATAAGCAACTTTTTTCTGATATTGCAAGGCGTCTTTATCCCGCAATTTTGAATTTATCTTATTTATTGAAGCGACTCCATCGGCGAGATTCTCAACGTAATGCTAAATCGGACAGTAGGTAATGTAGTATTACAGGGATCTTACGTTTTTCGGTCTGTTATCATAAGAGTCGTCCACGTTGTTCACGTTCCCGCCGATAGGTCGCAACATCGGCTCTGGAACTGGGAGCGATGACGCCGCAGGCATTGGCTTCACTGTTACGCCCATCGTGTTACCGTCACCGCCGCCCGACACTTTTTCCCTTGTCCTTTCCGGCCTATGAGTCTCCATACTTGCGATATCAAGCAAAATCCGTTAATTCGCGATGGCACAAACACGTATCACCGTTAGAAAGTCCCTCTCGTGCACCGATACTCACCGCCGCGTCACTATGAACCATACGCTCGTACCGTAAACAGCGACTGAATCGCCATGTTTGATCCGTCCGTGATTCCGCTGTACGATATCGAAGTGTTCGTGCTGACGTCGCGTCCCTACCCGCGAGTTCATCCCCTCTCCACCCTCTCGCTAACCTTGCGCGTAACGCGACTGCTCGCTATTCCGTTCTCTCGAAACCGCGTGGCGGCTACTCTCGCGCACGACTCTCCGCGCTCGCGATCTCCTCTGTGTGGATCGCACTGGTATTGAGTTATTAACATAATTTACATAATTATTGATATTTACGATACGCTTAATTTACATAATTTAGCAAATAATAGATGTTGCGATTGGCATAATAATTCGCGCGGCTCTTCCCGCGGGCCGCGTACGATGCAGATATCGTGTGATATAAAGGAGAAAAATACACACGCCACACCGATTGTCGTGTTTCTGTCATTGTTGCGAAAGACAGGACATGCTGGATCATTTTCGCACGTCCGTAATATTAAAATCCGAAAAGACACTCCAACTGGACGTTCGATCGAATTAGAACGAGTTGGATTAATTCGCCGCTAGTTAGATACGTTCGATTTAAGAGGAATTGCATTATTGGTCTGGCTCTCTTCACCTCACTCCTTGTGTTAAACTTGCGAAGAATCTCGTCTTCTTTTTCTATCAAGTCTCAACTGTGCACTAGTTTCCCTTTAAGTTTCAGAAGCGTACGCCAGTTCTTCGCGAAAGAACAGGCCATGTATCTTCGTTGTAAATCTGTCGTGTTAAGTTGTTATCATTCTTACAGATATGGCACGATTCGCGCCGATCGAGAGAGAGAGAGAGAGAGAGAGAGAGAGAGAGAGAGAGAGAGAGAGAGAGAGAGAGAGAGAGAGAGAGGGACGTGTTATAAGTGCGCGCTACCACACGTCCTTGCGCTGCACGAATACGGAAGCCCATACACTTTCAATCGACGATAATCTGGTGTATTATTCATGGCACACCGAGAATTAACGCGCGGTCTCGGAGTGTACACAACATCTGTTCTTAATAATCAGCCTTGTCTTAATTAAACTTCGCTGTAATTAAAACGAAGCGAGCAATACACATACATACATTCCCCATTTCGAAGAAGTTCGAGCAGACAATAATTATACAGGGTGTCCGGTAATTGACTGTCAACCCGAAGTATGAAGGTAGATTGGGTTAAACTGAGAAGAAAAGTAAAGTACAATTTTGCAAGAATTGCAATAATTATTCGAGTTATTAATGGTAGAAATCTGACCAATGGCGCGCGCCGAGATGGATGATCGGAGGAGCGTCCCAGCCTCTCGGCCCATAATGCGGCCCAGTCGACTTATCAACTGTTGGCGGCCTGCGATAAGATGTAGATGTGGCAAGATAAAACACGAATAGCGACGCGTTGTCCCTTTCCTTAGAAGAAGGTAAAACACGAATAGCGACGCGTTGTCCTTTTCCTTAGAAGAAGGTAAAACACGAATAGCGACGCGTTGTCCCTTTCCTTAGAAGAAGGTAAAACACGAATAGCAGCACGTTGTCCCTTCTCCTAAGGAAAGGAACAACGCGTCGCTATTCGTGTTATCTTGTCACACCTACGTCTTACCGCAGGCTGCCAACAGTTGATAGGTCGACTACTTTCGGGCCGCACTATGGCCCGAAAGGCTAAGACGCTCCTCCAATCATCTATCTCGGCGCGCGTCATTCGTCAGATTTCTACCATTAATAACTCGATAATTATTGCGATTCTTGCAGAATTGTACTTTACTTTTCTTTTCAGCTTAACCCGATCTACCCTCACACTTCGAATTGGCAGCTAATTACCGGACACCCTGTATAATAATTTCTCATGTAATTGTATTAGGAAAACATATCGGGCCTCCGTCGAATTGAAGTTGTAGTCTCGTATTCTTCGATACTTTCTCATGCGATAAGAGCATCTCGTAACGAGTAATCCCTGTGACAATCGCGCGGCGATTGTTTCCAATGCGATAAGTGATTGCAAGTGAAAAAAGTGTCGTTTACAAAATTGCAGCTGGTCGTTGCGATTACGCAAAGCCGCTGCACGCCAATCCGCGCTATAAGAGAGAGAGAGAGAGAGAGAGAGAGAGAGAGAGAGAGAGAGAGAGAGGCTGTCTCTCTCCCTCCCTCTCTCTCCCTGTCTCTCTCCTCTTCTCTCTCCGTCCGTTTCTCTGGCGCACTCTCCAATTGTCATTATATTCGGTGACTCGGTGGGACGTTAATTGGCAGTTGACGGAGTAAAAGAACGTCTATTACGGCGCAAAGTCGTCTATTAAATCGAAGTGCATGTTACGCGGTTGGTCGCATGTTATACTTCGCGTCACGTTATTCGATTATTGTATTCGCGATTCACGGAAAGACGACTTTCGCAACGCCGGCGGCGGCCGCGGCGGCGACGACGACGACGACCGGCCAGCCGGCGATGTATACATCCTTCATTACAAAATGCAACTTCACGCCGGGTCATTGTACCCGGCTATCTCCCGTATAGATCGATGATTCGCCGACCGGACGAGTAAAACTCAGAAAACACTGGCAAACGGAATTAATCGCGCCATCGGCAACAATACGCCAGGCGCGCATAATTAATCGGGACGACAAGTTCAATCGCTGAAACGGGCGAGATACATAACGTTAATTTTTGCGGCGAACCGCACGTTATCACGTGCGACTTTCCTTCGGCGATTCAACAACAGTGCGGAGATAAACATTCTTGCAATAACGAGCGGATTATCAGTGGGAGGAGAAGAAAAAAGCGAAGCGATCATGTAACAGCAAGAGAAGATAAAGCGTGCGCGCTCTTTTCGTTCTCGTTCACATAGTACAGACGTCCAAAGGACGTCCCGAAGACATCCTGAGAACATCCCTATCCCCGCTAAAACGTACATCGAATCCACGTGGAACGTGCAAGTTGCATTCACGTGGAATTCACAAAACTACATGGATTCACGATTGGACCGACACAATAACGTTTTCCGGTTGGGGATGTTCTTAGGACATGCCAGGAACTTCTTTCTTGAGCGTTTTGTGCTATGTGGGCGGTCATCGTAAGCGCGTTTACGCGAATAGCCCGGACGAACAATAACGCGCCTTGATGAGCCGCGCGCGACGATTACAGATCACACCATAACGTCGTCGTCGTCGTTAGCACTCGTTCATTTCAGCCCGTATGCACGTAACGACGCGTGTACGAGCATTACGTACACCCGTTACACGATTCGCGAACTCCTGCGTGTGTATGTGTGTGTGTGTGTGTGTGTATGTGTGTGTGTGTGTGTGCGTGCGCGTGTACGCACGACCGGTACGTGCGATCCGGTGCACGGGTGCAACGTACGTGAAACGCGGGGACTATAAATACGTGGGCCCGCTACGTGGGGGAGTCGCGCGCTATCTTTGTAGTCCGTTTCTTCCTCTTTTTCCGTTTTGTTCGTCGCCTAAAACGCGCGCTCGCGTTGCCATTCGGATGCCATTCCTCGAGTCGCGCTCGTGCGACGGGGGTATTTAATTCCGCTCTTGAAGCGCGTGGTGGTGCGTATATACCCACGCACACGCACGTACTCTCGCACATAAGCTATCACTAGTCACCGCTGAAGAAGGAAAAAGAGAGCAGAGAGAGACAAACAAAAGAGTGTGAAAGACAGGCGCGCGGATAGCCGCGTGATAAGCACGACGGCGCACAAATTCACGCATAAGCGTGTGTCAACCGTCTCCGTCGGCCGCGAAAGAGCCGTGAAAATAATCCGACGAGGAGGGACATGATCCTTGCGACAGCACTGTGCGCTTGTTCCTCGCAAGCGGAGAGACGTTACACGCCGTACAACGTCGCAAAGTCCATCGAGCAGGCATGTATGTGAGATCGCAGTGTGCCGACTGGTCTCCCTCTCTCTCCCCCCTCTCTCGCTCTCGCTCCTTCTCTCTACCGAGCGACAAAATACCCGGCGAAAAAATACACAAGCGACTTATATCGAGCGTGTCGTAGCGGGTCGAACAAGCGCGCAGCAGGCTGTGCTAGGCAGCGAGCGGGAGCGCGCTTTTATGGCGCTCTTCGTGTGCGTGGCTGAAAGCGTCGTACATAAATTTACATAAGCACACAGGCATATTCTCGGCGGGCGCGACGAAAGGTACGAGCGAAGCGTGCGCGCCCGCTCGAAAAGAATACTGCGCAAAACACGATAGAATGTGTCTCCCAGCGCTTCGGCGCGCTGATGGTAGTGAGATACAAGTAGCGGCGAAAGAAAGTAGCGTGGTAGGAGCAGTACCCCGCGCGCGCTCTTCCGTCGGGCTCTTCCCGTGCCGTAATTAATAAAAGAACGTCCATGTGCCAATGACGGGACGTCGCGCTCGCGCGCACCGGCGTGGCGGGATGCAAGCTCTCCCCGTTGACACGAGAGAGCGAAGGCGAACTCGCCCGCTCGCGCCGGTCCGACGTGTCCACGCTGCATAGATATACGCGGTTATGTCAGCCCCGAAGTGTGTTACGGTCTCTCTCTCTCTCTCTCTCTCTCTCTCTCTCTCTCTCTCTCTCTCTCTCTCTCTCTCTCTCTCTCTCTCTCTCTCTCTCTCTCTCTCTCTCTCCCCCTCTCTCTCTCTCTCTCGGAAACCATCAGCAGACGCGTGCGATCATCGTGACTGTTGCGGGGCCGACACACATCCTCGCGACGCACACGCGCGATCGTCTCCACGCGCTATCTTCGCGCAGAACCTACTTTACGCCGGGTCTGTGTGTGCGTAGTTCGGTCGCACGGCGCGAATGTAATACTCTCGTAATATAGGTTGTGCCGACGGCGCATTGTGCGCACGTATGTGTTATATGTTAGGTTAGCTGAATCGCTGGGTGGAACTAGTATGTGTGTGTTTTATGTGTGTGTGTGTGTGTGTGTGTGTGTGTGTGTATGCACGTAGCTAGGTACAAAGATGGTATTTGTGCGATTTTCAATGTCAGACCGAGTCACTTCATCGCGGTATCGTTTTCCACGTTTATTCGACGGACATCGAAGAGGACGGGCACGGGGGAAGGGGAGGAGAGGGACTGTACACGCGTCGAGACAGCGAGAGGCGTGTTTCCCTCGAAACGATTCGACTAGCGCGTTTATCCCGCGCGAGCACAATGGTCCTACCCATCGTTCGTCATTTGTATCTCTTTGAAAACGTATACCATTGACGCGGATCTCTCGTGATACGAATTCGAGGTTGAAATGCGGACATCGCGTCGACGGGGTGAACTTTTAACGCTGCCCGCCGGTACGGTGAAAAATACAGGCGCGCGTCTCGTCGACTTACTGATTGTAGCGATTTCATTGCAGCGAATAAACACATGGAGGTTACTTCTGCCGCGTCTACGGCGAAATTCGAATTTAACGAACTCGTACCGGTTCCGCGTGGCCGCCGTGCACACCGAGGGGAGAAATCGAGTTAACCAATACTCCGACGGAGTAATCAACCGATGTTGGCACCGATGTTACCGGGGCGAGCGATATTTCGGTGTATCAGCGGTAGTCGTCGCGCAATTCGATCACGCGATCGAGAGAAGCCAAGAGCCATAAGATCGTGTTATCTCCAATATGTACGCGATGGCTTCGACGCTCGCTCATGGCCATGATAAGACTCGAATGTAGTACCCGGCAAAATGCAATCGACGAATTAGTACGTGTCTTCGGACGGACGCAAGGATTACGCCTCATGGACTGGAAATGTTCTGCAAACGGAGTGGCCGATTCGCGCGCGCGCACGTCTTCGACTTACCTTACTTAGTCTAGCGAGGTAATTATTGCTTGCGCGATTGCTTGCCCGATACGCGCGACGTAAAAAATACTATGAGGCCGTACCCTTCGAGAGGCGGTGCATATGTTAATTCGATCTCTCTCTCGTTTGCTAAATCACGTGCGTGCCACGTACGTAATTAGACTGCCGCGCTGATATTTAAAGGCGCTCTTTTTTTGACGGTCAGAGTTTTGCTGGAGATCAGGTTCGACAGTAGTTGATATTTATACACGCATTGACGAAACGCGCGCGACTCGTTTCGTGAGTTTTGCAATGCTCAACTTCGTTATCCACGCACGTGCATACACGCGACGAGCGCGAATGTACACGCACTGTATACGCAACGCGTACGTGTGCGCGCGCGCGCGTGTGTGTGTGCGCGCACCCATAGGCTAAATTCTTTATAGTCGCCTCCCGGTATCTGCCTGCGAGAAGCTGGAAACAAGATCGTAGACTCGTGCACTTCGTAGTCGGTTATCAGCTGCTCCAGAAACTCAAGAGGGTCGACATGAGTCGGTCAACACTAACAACTAGCAGTGGGTTATCTCTCCTCGCTAAATGATATAAAAATCCACACCACCGTTTATAAGCTCGCTTGCATATGTATATAGAAGCACTTGTAGAGGATTCACGATGCATCCACGTACGTTTCAGCTGTTTTCATACACTCGTTCCCTCTTCTCCCGCCAGCCAAAGTGCATATTTCAATTTTTTCTCGTCACCTTCATATACGATGAGTGTAAAAAGTGCATCTGTAAAGTAAGGAAACTTAGTCTTCAGGGTTGCACTTTGCTACACTTTCTGCACTTTAAATGTGATAATCACATTGTCAAGCTTTGAAGGGAGAACAAGGAATGTGTAACATGCATGGAAAATGCAGTTGAAAAGAACGCATTTGATACATGACTCTGTAAAATAATATGTAGATGCGATATAATATGTGTAACGTATGTGTATATGTGTGTGTTTTGTATATATGCATGTGTTTGTTAGGTGATATGTGAGATCGATACCGCAGGGTAACAATTTTACTGCGATCGACGTGCATATCTTCGAAAACAATATGAGAGTAATTATAAATATGAGGTAAATAAAGTATAATTATAGCTCGCTAAAAAGAATAAGCGAAATTGCACGAAAGGAAAGAAAACCGACATTTCTCAAACAATCTAATACTAAAAATATTAAAAATCGTAAAACGAAAGAGTTTTGATGACTCGTTGTATTGTATTGTATTATACCATTGTAGAAAATGAAAGTCTGCAAATATATATAACCTTTATTGAGTCATGTTATTTAAAAATGAGTTTTTCTGACTTGCCTCTGAGTATATTACTTGTAAATAAACAATTTTCTAACTTGCCATTAAGCCGCGTTACGACCTCAATTTGTCAATACAAAATTTCTTTATACGATCTTTTATAAAAACATATTTTAAAACTCAACACTCTATAATTTGCGTTAAAAATAGTTACAAATAATAATAACAATAATAATTATACTTTTTTAATAAAGTTAATCAACTTGTACTTCATATAAATGAAATAATCACATAAAAATTACATTTATATCATTTAAAGACATAAAGATTTTTCTTTAATCTGTGTACCAGCGATTTGCAATACAATTTTCTTTCATCGAATTATTGAACATTGAAGAAAAAACTAGTTTTCGGCTTGAGTTGCTCATAAAAATAAACACAATATAAAAAGATTCATGTGGTTTATTAAAAGATGAACAGAAAGATTAAAGCTTTCTCCTTTTAAGATAAATGTATCTTATTTTTATATAAATAATATTTCAATATATAAATTTAATTGAATAATGAAGATGGAAATCGAACAGTCATCATCTCTCATTTAATTCGATATACTTTTGTGATAAATAACAATAATGTGATAAATTTAACATACTCGAAAGTAGAAATTTCAGGCTTTAAAATATTTCTCAAATTATTTCGCTATTTTCGTTACAGTTTTGTTAAAGTTATAGCCTATTTTAAATATATAGCCTTTGAGCAATTAGCCTTTGAGGTAAAAAATAATTGAAAAATATTAGAAGCGTTCGACTTATTGTTGAGTTACAGCCCGATCTCAAATCTTCGATAAGTATGGTGGCGGCTCGTAGCGGAGATTTTGGAATTAAAAGTAGATACTCCTGTATTTGACATATTTAGCCGAGATTCAAACTATATTTTACCGATCATAACATTTAGCCAAGATTCGAACCACATCTAACCGACACTCATCACATTTAGTTGGGACACTGACGAAGTAATATTAAAGACTGTCAACTCTAAATAAATTTTCGTATCGGCAAGGAAGCCCCACGGGGCTCGGAGGTAATTGAAGAACGACGATAATATCAACTGTTTTAGCTGTGCTGAAGATAATACACGGACATTTATACCATACTATATTTTGATTACCATGAGAAAAAATATAGTTATCTTACTCTAACTTATTGCACCAGTTCAGCAGTGCAGCTACAAAGAACAGATCCATATGTTGCCGCTAAAAAGTTGCCGCTAACCTGTTATTTTCTTCCTTAGTGTACAAGATTATACATTTGTTGTTTGGGGATCGTGAATGAAATGGTAAGAATTTTGAAGAACTCAAGAATACTTGAGAAATTACAAATCGCTGTTTATATATTAATAAAAATTGCCAATTTTTTTATGTATAAAGCGTTATAAACTTCGCAAAAAATATAAAAACAAATTGCGAATATTGAAAGTGTATTGCGGGTGTATGTGTGTATGTCTTTTATTATTAATGTAACACCGACAAAGACGTGACACTGCCATAAAATAACAAGAATTTTATTGCGAAAAGATTTATGTAAATTATGTGAGATGGCATTCGATAACCAGTATAGTTTAGTGTCAATTTTAATGTAATATTCTTAGGTTAAGTCATCTTATGCAATAATTGCGTATTTTATGACATATATTTCTGTTTCTGGTAAGATATAATGTTATGTTCGAAACTTTGAGTTTCAAGCGTTTAAATATATAAAAAATTGCTCTTCAGGCAACTACAGCTGTAGCAGCTGGAATTGGCCTCGCTGTTGTGGGCTTTGCTGGTCGTTACCTGCTTAGGAGGATGCCAAATTTGTCACAGAAAATGGCAGAAACAATGAAGAAGCTAGATTCCCAGGTAGAACAGGCTTTAATATTTTTCAATTACATTCTTAACGGAATTGTATATATAATAAAAATGAATGTCTTTAATACAGTCACTAGCGAACAGCAGATATTATAAGGGTGGTTTTGAGCCAAAAATGACCAGATGGGAAGCTAGTCTTATTTTGGGAGTATCGCCCACTGCTAGTAAAGCAAAAGTAAAGGATCAATTTAAAAAAGTAATGTCTGTTAATCATCCAGATCGTGGTGGCTCTCCATATATAGCTGCCAAAATTAATGAAGCAAAGGATATGCTTGAAAAATAATAATAGAATATTATCTAGTTTATTTGTAGCTTGTATTTATGTCAATATATTTAGGAACAAAATTTTAATGTACATATTAATCTTATATTTGATCTATTTATAATAAATAAGCTATATATTTTTATAGCTATACATACAGAACTACACTGATAATACATTAATTTTAATATTCCAGATTAAAGATTTTATTTTCCTACATGTACGGAGAGACAAAGGTTTTGCAAACTGTATATTAATCACAATAAAATAATACGAGCATAATTGTTCTTTTAAATAATACTCTGTCAGCTTTTTTCCATAAAATATCACAATTGCACAACTTTCATTGTAGCTTATATCACATATTTCATTTCATTTTACTATTTTCTTGATGAAATTTTAATTTGATCTTATTGACGGTTTTTTTTTATTATGATATGTATATACAGTAACCAAGATTAAATTAAAATAACTGAATAAGTGTGCCACTTCTTACATTACTAAACAGACCTCATATATACAGCAACGGCAATATTTGATACTGCATAATACAATTATCCAGTAAAAATATAATACATTTTTATATGTATTCATTTTGCAGAAGCGCAAATGAATAACACAAAGACTAGAATATTTCGGTGTATGCGAGAAATCGTTCATGAATACTATCGTCCTAGTTTATCCTGCTTTTGTTCTATACGTTGTTGCATTACCTTTATTCTTAATTTGGTTATTGTGCTACCAGGCAGTGATCCAGGTACTTTAAAAATACTCTAAAAAGTAGCCCAGATATATCCATCGCGATTAATTTGATTTAATTTGCTTGGCTACTCCAAACTTATATATAATATATAAGCTACATACCTGCATAAAATCATGACATTGTAAAACAATACTGTCTTTCGTAATTTCTCTAAAACATTCGGCTAACGTAGCAAAATCATGACAAGCTAACAGATTTGATTTATTCCTTTTTATAAGTGTCAACGCCACGCGAAAAATAATTTTGGTGCCCTCATAGAAAAGGCAATCCCAAATACGTAGCGTAGTCTGTTGAATCAAATTATTTTTATATCTTCAATTTTACGTGACAAAAATATTTTAGACATTCACAAATAATAAATTAGCAATATCTTAATATATAAAATCATGCAATATTATGATAATTATAACATACCTCTATAGGTAAAACTTCCGCGAATAAACACACAAACCATTTTGTCGTAATTACTGGCCAAGGCAATCCTACATTTGTCACATGTTGATATACATCAGGAATTTTTATCCTGTGTACAAATATATATTAACACAAATAGCATCAGCAATAATATATTATACAATTTTTATTATGTTACATTTACCTTACTAATTCAGCAAGCACATCAATATCAGTAAGTAAGCCATCCATAGTACGTGTATAATATTCTGGTAAGATTTTATCAATTAATACCTTTAACAACCAAAATGCTGTTTCCTCGCTTTTTGTTACAAGCAAAAGTAAGCCTGCTATGTAGTTTAAACCCTAAAAATAGGGAATACTGGACATACTGCTATGTAAGAAAAAATGATATCTGACTGAATATCTATTTATTTTTATAAATCTGTGTGTTCTTGTTATTTAATATTAAAAGTAATATAATTTTATGCATATATTTAAAACTATATGCATCAAGTATGTTACCTGACAATATCCAACAGTTTTATTCTGATGAGCAAAGGCCAACAAAACATTATATAATTCATGTTGTTGATTTTCTGTATTATTAAAGAATATATTGTCTGGAAATGTTCTAGGTAAGTCAGTTTTTATAATGTCAGCAACCTCTGCATTATGTGGGGACTGCAGTAATCTTTCGTAAAGATCTGGTGAAATATTTCTCATGTCTTCTCCGCCACTCACAGCAAGCCATACCTGCCACCCAATTTCTATTAGTCTTTTATCTCAAAGGTAAAAATTCAATGTACAGTATACTGAGTCTAAAAAGGTATTACCATTCCTCTATATCCTGCTGGAATGCCTTTACGGACATATTTCTTTATTGTTATACTTCGTTGAAGAGACTTTCCTTCACCAATGATTTTTGCCCATTTCTTGGCCATTTTTGCGAGCACTTTAAGGTACTCTGACATAAAATCTTCATATGTTTCATAGTCGAAATCCTGTGGCCGTTCAAAACCATACTCATCCACATTGCTGTGGAAACAAGGATACAAGTTGAATTGTTTAATACAATATAAAAAATTTATATTGTTTACTAAAAATATATTATATTAATATTTTTAAACTAATCTGGGCAATTGATTGAAGATACAAAAATAAGAAAAATGAGAAACCTGTTCTGATAAATAACACGAGATAAAGGCTGAAAATACTTCGTTTTTGAATTCATATGAAGGGCGTGTGCGCAGGAACATAACCTCGATAAAATAAAAGCAACGAGATAAAAGATATGTATTATCTAATTCATAGGATTTGTTACGTTCATAAAACACAGAAAGCAACGTCACGTTTAATCTTGCAAAAAAAATAGCAAATAACACTCACCTGAAGCATGAGCTTGCCATACCCTGTGTAATACGGTGGGTGTCAAACGGATCTGCAATTACGTATGTGTGTAGTTTCGTTCATAGATATTTTATATACGCCTACGAGTTTTAGACATCGACGCGATAAACATTAATTGCAGAAGCATCTGAGAACATTGCACGCTACTTTCGTCACACATGGAGTGCACACGTAAAATGTGTTAAGTGCGTCTTATGGCGCGTGTTTTGTTATACTCTATTTTTGTATAGTAGATCACACCCGCAGAGATACTCGTGACGATTGTTAGGTTATGAGAGATCACTGTCACAATATACCGAGACTGAAAAGAAACGTAATCTAATCAATACATAATCATTACATTCTCTTTCTTTCCGAAATATTGATCTCGTCACCCGGTGCACGCGTTAATTACATGCGATTATTTGTCTACAACTATGCGACAACGAATTATTAATCAAATTGCATTTCATCGAGAGTAGATTTGTTGTGTCATTAGTGAACCGTATGATTCATTTATAATATATCTTATCGAGCATATCGCACGTTATCGCATAATTATCAAGTTACACCGCGTTCTATGTTTTGAAAAACGTTAATCGATTGTGTATCGAAGAGTCTATAAGTAATCGAGTTTCGGTCGATTGTCGATACGATACCACATGGTAACGGTGGTAAAATGGCTTCGCCTATCCCCTGTGTCGCTGGTAAGTATTTCTTTCGGTATTTACGTTGAAAAATTTGTCGTTTCACAAGAGTGTTATCCTCAATTGAAATTCCATTGCCGGAGAAAATGACTTTTTAAGCATGCATGCATTCTATATAGGACGATATTATAATAATGTCCCGGCGGCACTGTTCGCGATAAACGTGCTGCACATGTGCCTCGTGGCATCTGATATTTCGAATATTACTCGTAACAGCATTAATGTTTAAAGAAAGCGGTGTTTGTATTGTAACATTTGTAAAATTAAAGATATCAGAATACATATATTTTCATTAAATGCCATGTTCTAACCTTTAATTGATGACGTGTTACTTTCCGAACGCCACTACTGACATGAGTTACACAAAGCAATAAAATAAAAAGAGAAAGTTTATATATTGGATACTTACCATTAGGAGTAATAAATATTTACAGTAAGAATCCCTCACGATTATTTAATTAAAATTTTATTTTGAATTCATACATATATATATATATGTATATGTATGTATGTACGTGTATGTGTGTACATATATATAAATAAAAGTATTGACTTAAAAATTTGTAATTTCTACTATTAATATATTTCTAATAATTTTATAGTGAGAGGAACCACTGGTATAAATCTAGCACAAGGTCCACCATCTTATGAACCAGTTAAAACATTTCCGAAAGATGACAGCAAGACTTGTAAAACTATGCTGTTTAGTCCAGATGGCAAATACCTTGTTTGGGTTAATGGAGTTAACATTACAATTGTACTTTGTGAGAATTGGAAAATTGTTGCTGAAATTGCAAGACCTAAAGTCTGTGCCATTCAATTCTCTACTCAAAGTACATATCTTGCAACTTGGGAACCATCCTTTGGTAAATATAACTTTGATTTGTATGAAACATAGATAATTGTTCAATTTATTGTATCTATAATTAAAAGTATATAACATATGACTTCAGTAACACAAACAAGCCCTCAGGGAACACAAAATCTTCACATATGGAAATCTGAAAATGGTGAGCTTGTCCACAGTTTTGTGCAGAAGAAACAAATAAATTGGTAATATATTATATATTAATTATTATAACTTTACTGTTTTTTTATTATATTTCAAAATGTAGATTTAGTGTAATATAAATTTAGATTTAGCTAGAGTTAGATTTATAATTAAAATAATTGTAGTTATTGATAGCTAGGATAATTTTTTATTCGTTCCAAAATTAGGGAGCCACAATGGTCAAGTGATGAAAAACTTTGCGGTCTATTGAATGGTGGAAATGTTCTTTTATATGAAGATAATAATTTTGATAGATACGTGAATAAGATAAGTGCAGCCAAAGTTGCCAAATTTAGTATAGCACCTGGGAATGCTCCATATCACATTATCTGCTATATGCCAGGTACTTTTATCTATTTTTATATTATTTAAAATTTAACATTTCTTTATAATTAACATTTAGATATATATATTTTTATAAATCACACATTAAATGAGAAATTTCCTAAAATGTAATTTAGGGAAACCAGGTCAGCCTTCCTTTGCAAGATTATTTAGATACCCAAAATTCGAGATTGGAGAATCACTTGCAAACAAAAGCTTCTTCCAAGTAAACTGACAAACTTTTAGATTATTATATATTTATCCTGCCTTTTCATTAATACAAATGTTGCTTTGTGGTTTTCAGGCAGATAGAATTGATATATTTTGGCATCAACGTGGAGCAAATGCATTATTAATGCCAAGTACTGAGGTTGATAAGAGTGGAGCATCATATTATGGGAAACAGTCATTACATTATCTTAGCATAAAAGGGGACATTGCTATGGTTGTACTAAGTAAGTTTAAACATAAAACTATTTTTTTTTAGTATTTAAAATTTGGAACGTTAAGACACTATTGCTAAAAAATATAATAATAAAGTTTCTTTCTAACTAGATAAAGATGGCCCCATACATGCAGTAGAATGGTCTCCCAAGAACACTGAATTTTGTGTCGTATATGGGTTTATGCCAGCTAGAGCAACATTATTTAATATTAAGTGCGAAATAGTGTACGAATTTGGCACATTACACAGAAACAGTGTATATTATAATCCACACGGCAACAATATCCTTTTGCTACTTATTATGCACTGATAGATATTCCATCATTAGCAAATGGACAATAGTAATAGTAATAGTTGTTTAATTATACATTAATTTCCTTGACCACTGTGTACTTTTGCTTTTGGCCGGATTTGGTAATCTTAGAGGTGGCATTGAGTTATGGGACATTGCTAATAGAAAACTTATTGCTAAAACGGAGGCACCAGATACTACACTGCTTCAATGGTCACCAGATGGTGAACATTTTGTAACAGCGACTACAGCACCCAGATTACGAATGGGCAATGGGTTAGTAAAAGTAAAAACATTATATAGTTTCAATACATCATTATTGTACTCTAATATGTTCATTGAATTACTAGATTTAAGATTTGGCATTATACTGGCTCGTTAGTGTATCAACGACCATGGAATAACCAAGAAGAACTTTGGGAAGTACTTTGGCAAAATTTTCCTTTGAACACTTTCCCTCAGAAACCTATTAGTTACAAAGCCGTAGATGGCATCGTTAGTAGTTCTAGTCAATCACATCAAGGTAACATTACTTTTTATCAACATTTTAAGAAAAAAAATGTCGAAATGTAGTAACTATAATAAATATAGGAAATATTCAAATTTTCCCAGCATCAAAGGAAGCATATAGACCACCGAGTGCCAGAGGACAAACAATCACGTTTAAATTGCATGATGACATAGAACCACCTTCTAGGCCAAATGCAGAAAGTAAGTAAGTGCACATATAAAAGTTTTTCATTATTAATTTTATAAAATTAACAGCGAACCCATCAAAAGCTGCACTGAAGATGAAGAAAAATCGGGAAGCAAAGAAGGCTAAAAAGGAGTTAGAATCTACTAACTCTTCCGTCAATAGACAAGTTACAGACACAAGGATTATAAAAATGGAATTAACCGATGATCCGGAAAAGAACAAAAAGATAAAAAAAGTGAAGAGTGTAAGTACACACACACACACACACATATATACACATTAAGAACTGAAAAAGATTGCTTCTTGTATTATCATAACAACTTGTAATAACAATTTTCTCTTTTAAATCATAGAAACTAGAACAAATTTCTAAACTGAAGGAACAATTGAAAGCAGGAAAGCAATTAGAAATCAATCAACTAGATAAGATCAAGAAAGAAGATGAATTGTTAAAAGAACTTGAAGAATTAACTTTATGATAAACCATTCTGGTCTCGAACAAGATTAATTTGATGAACAGAATTACGATAGAACACAAATACCCTTTTTCCGAAATAACATGTGATTACGAGAGGAACATTACCAAGTCTAAATCAAATTCGTCCTTTGTGATAAATATTGGATAAAAAACAGTGGAATTCTACTATGCATTGCATTTTGGATGTTTAAGCTTGAATCTCTCGAAATAATTATAAATGGGAATATTAAAATCAGAAGAATGAATTGTGTGCTCGTGAATAAGACTAAATGTTCATATACTGGTTATAATTATATTGATAAAAAATGACTAAAATATAGTGCTAAACAGCACTATTAGATATATGACTATATTTACTAGTACTATATTTGATAAAATGGTACTATTAAATGATTTTATTATAGTGCACTTCTACATTTTGCTAAAAATTGATAACGATAGAGTCAATGATGGTTTATGTTATTAATTTGATAAAAAATAATCTTAATCTTTTGTGTACAATCTGATAGTTATCAATGTAAGAGCAACATTTGGTTACTAAACAATTTATTGATTAGATCTTTTTTCTAATAAAAATGTTTTGCTAAAAGTATGAGAATGAGGATATTAAAAACGAAACTTAGAAGTATTAGGTTGTGATATTCCTTCTTATACTGTTCTGAGAAATCATTGTTAGATCTTTTTAAGGAAAGAGTTTAACATTTATCATGTAGTAGTAAATTTTGCATTTACCGAGCTTAACAGTTTACGTACTATTATCTAATGTTGCTTTCTACATTTGAGAATTGTAAGCTTCAGATCAAGTATTGTTCACTATAATTTTCTGAAGTTTCCAAAAGAAAAAAAAGTAAAATTTATACAAATTTTTTTTTAATTGCGTTCTCTATATTTACAGTTTTTAAAAATTATCGCATCGATAATACTCAATGTTCATTTTCATATATACTTATAGGAACTCAAATTATCCTTTTTATCATTGCATTGTACAATTATGTGAATTTTCTTGCAGTTTCTTCAAAAGGATTTACAAAAATACAAATATAATTAATATACAAATATAATTAATATAATTAATAAATACATAATGAAGCATAAATTCAGCCCATTAGGTTATTTTCCAAAAAGAAAAGACAAAGATTGTTTAACCGAATTAGATGAGCCGAAATGAAGACACTTGTAGCAACAAGAAACTATAATAGAATACATAAAGATATGTATCTCTAATTAGGTATCTATATAGGCATAGACAAGCGGCACAATTACGAATGTTATGTACAGTGGAAATGAGATTTATGGAAATAAATTATTATATAAGATTTATATTTAGGAACGAAATTTTTATACGACCCTGTCGCGTTTTAATCGAATCTAAAACAATACGAAACAAAGACAATCTGCGTAAAAAGCTTAAAGTAATCTGAATTACGAAAGAATAAAAAGAAAAAGTATCATCTTTTTTATGCAACTTACTTAGAAACGTACTCCTCTTTATTACATCGTAATTATTCGCGATGAAATTTCACCTAGAATTAATAGATCTAATTTGCCCACTTTGTACTTTTTACATTTTCTTTTCGCCTGTCATCCTCGAAACAACAAGGATTAACGTTTTATTCTGAGTAATAAAAATGCAGATGAGTGCATCAAAGAACGAAAAAGCAAAGTTGACAATAAGTTTCTTGGCTGTCGGCAGTCGGCAGTCGGACGCCGGTTGAACGTTTTCGCGCGATGACGGCGGCAGTGGCGGCGGTGGCGATAGTGGTGCGCAGCGAAGGGAGGGCACCGTCGTTGCCATCATTCACCATTCCCATCCCCCCGCACACGCACGACAGCTCGGGCGCTACCGCAGCGCCGCGACAGTCGTGTTTACAGATTCGCCAGTTGAGTTCCGTAACGTCACGTCAAAAAAGTGCAACACACGAATTTCTACAACGTTTACTATGTAAAGGTGCGTTCCCCGGTGACGGAAGCGCGATAACGCCGACCGAATGCGACGCGGCACCGCCGTCGGCGCGCTTGACATTCCTCGCGTGGCCGCGCTCGTTTATCGGGCCGAAATATCGGCGCTTTTGTTAATGCACGGCAGTGCCAATCGTTAGAATAGTCGCCATTTTGTCCGGAGAGGTAGCCCGGTCGGAGGCGAACGGAGCGAAAATAGGCGCTGCCTGGACCGCGAGGATCATCGCGGATCGCGTAGGTACCTGGCCGCGCGATCACCGTTCTCCGCTTGTCGCTCGTCTGCGTAAGTCGGCACGTCCAGACGACGGCTCGCCACGGTCGCGGCCCACCGAGTCCGCCGTTGTTGCAGCGCACACGTACAAGCTCGCTCGCTCGCTCGCTCGTTCGACCGCTCCGCTACGGCGCGGTGCACCGTTTTCTCTCGTTCACCAAAGCGTACGCATGTTTCCATGACGCGGCGGCACAATCGCCACGCGATTTGCCGACGAAGCCGCGTCCCCTGCGACGCACCCACCTCGAACGTGCGTCGACCGGCACGGCCGCTCCCTGCTCCACGACGGTTGACAGCTCGCTACGTGCGACGGTATGCCCGTGCAGCAAGAGCCAACGGTGACACGCGACTAGACGTAGTGTCGCGTCGCATCGCGGTAACGTAAGGTCCCGAGTGTTAGAGGTCCCGAGAGTACACCGCGAGGAGACCGACGCCGTAAGCCCGACGTCGTTGCTCTCCCTTAAAACGCCCGACGTCCGCGTAATACGCGTCGTCGCTCCGAGTCGATGCACGGAAGCCTTAGCGCTGTCACGCGATTTGCCAAGCGTACCGCGGCTGCATATCACCCGGCCGGGACTACGCCGAACGATTCTACGAACCGCACGCGCTCCGGCGAATGAGCCGACTTATCGCCCCCGACCGTGCTCCGCAACGTCTTATCCGGATTGATAAAATTGTATCATTGATCTCTCTGGACATATTGTCGTCCGGATATGTTGGCTTGCGAGCTGTCATTTGTCGTAATTTATTGAGAAAAAAGCACTTATGTAACTATGTTGTCGCGTAATTGCGGAGAATTGAAGAGTTTCATCGTGTTTAGATTTTTAATTGATTTATTACGTCGGTTATGATGATTCTTATCGTTGAAGCATATACGCATGTTTGATTATATCTTAATCACTGGTACTCGAAGAAGGTGATGGCAAAGTTCCTTCTCTTTCTCTGTTTCAGATAATGTAGGTATAGTTTATTAACACAAGGCCTTTAGAATATAACTATATTTAATGTCAGTGTATAAGCTGGATGCTTGTTATTGGTGGTGTAATCATTGGACCAAGAGATATTGAGACAGTTAAGGCATAGTAAAGAAGGTGCAAAATGACGATTGCCACAAGGGGCCAGGGAGTTGGTATAGATCCTCCCGACAGCCAGCAAAATACACAGGTGTGTAAAACTTTCAAGTAACAATAGAAAAAATTGTTTGGAAGTTATCCTAGTTATATTGAATAAAATTAATGGAAAATTTGTCTTGCGCAGATGCACAGTCCACCTGGTCCACAACAATTGGCTGACACAATGTCGGGACTTCAACTCACAGAGAATGTGGTACAAACTGAATGCAGCAATGATGCTATCACTTCAATAGAAGATAGCAATCAGCTTCATGGAGAACCTGATTTTCCTGTTTCCAAACTTAATATGCTTCATGAGAAAATATCTAGTCCACGATGGGTTGTACCAGTTCTACCCGAACAAGAATTAGAGTGCCTGTTACAAGCCAGTATCGATCTTTGTAAAAAAGGTTGTGTATTATTCCTCATTTCTTGAAGTAACTGCTTATTCATTTGTTATTGGTGACTATCGTGATAATTCATTATTTTGATTATATGGGATGCAATAATTTGTGTTTGCTACATTTTAGGAATTGATGTACAAAGTGAAGCGTGTCAACGCTTTTTTCGAGAAGGTCTCACAATCTCATTTACTAAAATATTAACAGATGATGCAGTAAACAGTTGGAAGTTAAATATTCATAATTGTATTAATGCTAATTGTGGACGTTTGGTGGAACTGTGTGTCCTGAAATTAGATGAGGATTGGTTTCCTCTACTTGATTTACTGGCCATGGTTTTCAATCCTAGTAACAAGTAAACATTTCAGTACCTTTTGTTATTATCCGAAATATAAGCTTATCATATAATTATATCAACGAATTTGTTTTCAGATTTCACACATTTAATGCAGTAAGAGTTTCAGAAACTGTTCCTCCTGGCAGTGACATTCCTGATGAGGAACTCTATGCTCGTCCACCACAGGATTCGCGTAGTCCTCGTGGTTGGCTGGTAGATCTTATAAACAGGTATTTTTCATGATTATCTGCATTTACATCTGTATGTCCTTTCGATGTAAATTAATATTAAATCTCTGTTACAGATTCGGAAGTCTCAATGGATTCGAAATTTTGCTCTCTAGATTTCAGAGCGGACGTAATTTAACAGTGCCAGTTATCTATGCTTTAATCAGACCTTTTGGCTTGTGTTATGAACTATTGACTGTTCACACAATAGTTAAATATCTGATGCCTATTGTCGTAAGTATCTCTTCAACTTACCATTTTTATCTTTGGCATATTATTCCGGTAGAAAAAAAAGATTTTGTGTATATGCAGGAAATGGTACCTCTTATTTTGAATAATTTAACTGACGATGAGTTGAAGAAAGAAGCAAAAAATGAATCAAAAAACGATGCAATATCAGCCATAATCAAAGCTGCTAAATGCTTGGTGTCACGTGTACCTCATCAGGAGGAGATGATAAAGAACTTGGAAATACTGAGACTGAAAATGATATTGAGACTCTTACAAATTTCTTCGTTTAATGGAAAGATGAATGCTTTAAATGAAGTTAATAAAGTAATATCTAGTGTTAGTTATCATCAACATCGTAATACGATAGTTGAGGAGGAGGAGTGGCTTACAGCAGAGCGTATGGCGGTAAGCTTCGTCTGCAGATCGATAATACTACATAATTATACCTTATTTTAATATCATTGATTTCTATAGGATACATCCAAAACATTTCTTGCAATATCTAAATTTAAGTGCATTATATATTTTAAGTAATACATTTTAATATTATTCAAATATCATCACGAGTTCGATAATTTTAAATTTTGTAAAGATCTTGTAAAGAGTATTTATTTATTTATTTATTTTTTTTATACAGAAATGGATTAAGGACAATGGAGTGTTGGAAATCGTACTGAGGGATTCGTTGCATCAACCGCAATATGTAGAGAAACTGGAGAAAATTTTACGCTTTATTATTAAAGAACGTGCACTTACATTAGAAGACTTGGATGCTGTCTGGGCCGCACAGGCTGGGAAACATGAGGCCATTGTGAAGAACGTTCATGACTTGTTGGCCAAATTAGCTTGGGATTTTAGTCCTGAACAACTTGATCATCTATTTGAATGTTTCCAGGTAATTATTTCGTTCTGTAGTTTAGCGATATTGAACAGAGAGTGCTTATACGCATGCATCCGTTGATATAAATTATTGCAGACAAGTTGGAGGACTGCCAACAAGAAGCAACGAGAGAAACTATTAGAATTGATTAGAAGACTCGCGGAGGATGATAAAGACGGTGTTATGGCGCACAAGGTTAGACGATCTTGAATGCAAATTCGTATCGTATCTGGCGAATATTCTTTGAAACATTTAAATGTATTCTGCTGCCAGGTATTAACACTTTTCTGGACTTTGGCTCATTCTGATGAAGTCCCTACAGAAATCATGGATCAGGCACTGAATGCTCATGTAAAGATTCTTGATTACTCATGCTCACAAGAGAGAGATGCGCAAAAGACAATCTGGTTGGATAAGTGCGTTGAAGAGTTGAAGAATGGTGATAAGTGGGCCCTTCCTGCGTTGAAGCAAATTCGCGAAATATGTTGCCTTTATGAACCAAATCCCAATATGGGTCACAGTCAGCGTGGCCATCACTTGCATTACAGGTACGACATAGCAATAGCATATTGCGTACGCCTTAAACAATGTCTCATCATTGTTAATTTCAATTCTTACCTGTATATAGGCAAGAAGTAATAGAGCGTTTACAAAGTGAACATTCGGTAGTCATACTTGTAACAAATAGTTTAACAAATTATATGGATAAAGTGCGACAGTTAGTGAGGGAAAATCCTGAAATCGACGCAAATACTTTTATGCCTGATGGTCGATACAATCATATTATGCAAATACAAGAAAGATTGAATTTCTTGCGCTTCTTATTAAAAGTAAGTACGTTTCTCTCAACTCTTGAAATGAAGCATTAAGGATGAATTCACCCACCGTGGGTGTACGGATAAAACTGACGTTACTTTCCATAGGACGGACAATTATGGCTATGTGCAGATCAGGCAGACCAAATCTGGCAATGTTTAGCCGAACAAGGTGTATTCGTTTCGGACCGTGAGGTGTGCTTCAAATGGTTCTCCAAACTTATGGGGGAAGAGTCTGATCTGGATCCAGCAATATACAAGAACTTTTTTCAAAATAACATACTGCAATTAGACCCGACATTACTTACAGAAAGTGGTATTAAGTGTTACGAAAGATTTTTTAAAGCTGTTAATTCTAAGGAAGGAAAATTAAAACTGAAACGCAGAACATTTCTCATGGATGACATGGATTTAATCGGGACTGATTATTTGTGGAGAGTATGTAGACACATCGATTATAATGTTCGATTTCAATGCTTTTATTTTCTCTATAATTTGGTTTATTTTCTTTTTTTCCTCACATCTTTCTAGTTCTTTTTGTATGCGTGTTTGTGTATTGGAAACCTTATTTGTCTGTTAGGTAGTAACAAATAGTCCTGAGGAAATAGCAAACAGGGCCATTGAACTCTTAAAGGAGGTGAACACTAATCTAGGACCACGACTGCAATCGTCCGTTTTGGCGTTTCATGAAACACACATAGCCGAATGTATGGACAGACTGAAAGCTCACTATGATACTGTAACTGTTCTCAACCGAGTATATTTGGATGGAAGGGAAGAACGCGAAGAACAAGTGACAAATAAGATTAAAGTAGAAGCCATGAAAATGTGTCGTGTTATGAAAGTTTTACAGGAGTATATAAATGAGTGTGATACGGCTTTCCCAGGGGAACGGAAAATATTACCGTTACATAGGTAAGATTATATAGTTTTTAATAAGAATCTGTGTGAATATTTCTTTGTTGTATAGTGAGATGAGTACACAGTATTTCGTTTCCGATTACAGAGCAGCTCGTGGGAAGCATCTGTCTCTTGTCATACGCTTTGCAAATCCTGGTCGAAATGTTGATGATATAGACGTTTTCACGCATAGTAATGACACCTTAGCTTCATTGAGACGTCAAATATTGCGCAGAATTAAAGCAACAGGAACAAACGTTAAACTCGATTTATTCATTAACGGAGAATCCTTAGAACCATCCGATGATAAGAAACTGCTTTCCCAAATTCCACTGAGAGATAAAATGGTGAGTATTTATAAAGGAAAGGTTATAATTCAGTAATAAGTGTTGAAAATACAAAAAAGATGGGAATAATCTGTGAAAATTTTTTTTAGTTGTTGTCTGCGAAGCTCAGTCAAGTAAATAGCAATATGCCAAGTTCACCGGATAGTAGCTCAGATAGCTCCACTAGTTCTCCACATCATCCATATGATGGACCGAATGTAGAAGCAGAGAATAGTTTGCCTGGTGTGGTAAGTTTTCCACAAATTTAATGATGACCGGCTCTCGCTGTTATTCTAATTGCGTAATTTCGTCCCAGGTAATGTCGCAGAGATCGCAGTACGCGACATTTTTCTTTCAATTAGCAGACCTTGGCTGTACTCTTCAGCATTCGCAATTGCGCGATGGTGCACGAAATCTCTTGCAACTGGTGCCGCCAGACACCTTCACTGTAACAAGATTACAGTGGTTGTTTGATCATTACAAAGATGATGAAACTTTACAGAACCCCCAGAATAACGAGCAGAATACGACGGTAGATTCTCTATTTTTTACTGCAAGTCCTAGCCAAGTTTTATACAATTTAGAGGTAAGTAAGATTGTGCAAATAGCACTTGATACATACATCTTATTCTTATATACCGTCGACGCAACAATTTTCTCTCTTGCAGGTGTTATACACTTTGTTAATGCCAGCTCTCGATCCTACGTCCGAGAGAGCGTTTGAATTTCAATATAATTTCATAAAAAGCGGCGAGGCGGGTGTTATTCTCGACATGTTGACCAAAAATAGGTTCTTACCGAACGCGGATGAAACCACGAAGCGGTCCGCGTATCTGACCGTGCTGAGATTGTGTAAGCTTCTTCTGACAGTGCTGGGTAATGTGATGGCGTGCGTGATGGACGAGGTCCAACAAACTGGAGGTCCAGAGAATCATGATAATAACGTTAACAATCGTGGTCCAGTGACGGTGCTGAAGCAAGCATTGCAGAGCGTGCCCAATCAAAGTACCGAATACATGCTGAGAAGCGTGGCGGCAAAACTGGCGCAGCATTTGGCACATCGGATGCTATCCAGCGGACCGGATGCTGACCGATGCCGCCAGCTTTTCGTGCAAGCCCTTTCGTGGGAATTACCGGATGTGGCTACTATACGTGCCATAATTAGATTAGCATGGGCCGCATCCACGGGTAACTTGAATAACATCAATGCGTCGACCGAAGCTCTTCACTCGATGCACGAGACCAATCAGAAGGAACAGAGAAACCCAGACAACAACGACGTCCTTGTATGCAAGGAGGCACTCGAAGTACTCACCATCACCCTTGTGCTGAATCCGACAGCGCTGGAGACTTTGTCGAGGGAAAAAATCTGGCACACATTCTTGATAGATCTTGTGCTATTGAGTACGTCGAGGGCCATTAGGCTCGCCGCTGCCGAACAATTTTATCTCATATCGACGTGGTGCAGTAGCGGACATCAGCCACTACTGGTCACTATAACTCTCCTCTTCACCGTTCTAAACACTACCGTCATGGAGAACGCGAAGCAGAGTCACGAATATTTTCAACTTTTGTGCCGGTTGTTGAACTTCGCGCATATATCGACTTGCCCTCTTACGACTGCTGAGACGTTGTTAAACGTTGAAATAGCTTGGCTGAAAAGAGTCCGGGACAACGTGAAGGAAACTGGAGAGAGCCAGGTAGACGAAGCTGTGCTCGAAGGCCACTTGGGTCTGACGAAAGAACTATTAGCTTTCTTACCACCTAGCCAAAAGTACGAACTCGGCTCCGACGAGAAGCACGGAGTGAACTTAATCAAGGAATTAGTCGAGGACTTTGTGTTTCCCGCGTCTCGCCTTATGCTGCAGCTTCGCAGCACCGGCGAGCTGAGCGCCTCGCAGGCTTGTCCTGTGTGCACCACTCCTCAGTCAACTAGCGCTGCATTCGACTTGCTTGTAGGCCTCTGTGTAGGCTGTGTACCCAACATGAAACTTCTAGTCACAATGCTCACCGACATGTTCTATTCCGAGAAGGATGAGCCATTGGTAGAGTGGGATTACCTACCACCTGTGGGGCTCAGGCCGCTCAAAGGCTTCGTAGGCTTGAAGAATGCAGGAGCAACCTGCTATATGAATTCAGTATTACAGCAGTTATACATGGTGGAGAGCATTAGAGTCGGACTCTTGTCGGCTGAAGGCGCAGCTACTGATTTAAATGAGGACTTTTCGGGTGAGGAGAGGATCGAAGGTGAGCAGACGATCGAGACGAATGACAACGACACGAACGAGGAGAAATGCGGTGCCGATGAGTCTAGGAAGGAGTACAACGTTGGTATTTTGAAGCAAGTGCAAGCAATATTCGGTCACTTGGCTTACAGCAAACTGCAATACTATATACCAAGAGGATTGTGGAAACATTTCAAGTAAGGATAGATACTGTTTGATCTTATACATAAAATATTGTTATAGATTTAACATTTTACATAAGATGCATACGTGGAGAATTGAGACAATTATTTTCTTAAGGAACACAGTTTTTATCAGTATGAACTCTAATACGTTGTATTTTATATCTAAGAAGCTCTTTCAATTACACGATTGTTACAGACTTCAAGGAGAACCTGTAAATCTTAGAGAACAGCAGGATGCGGTAGAATTCTTCATGAGTTTAGTGGAGAGCTTAGACGAGGCATTGAAAGCCTTAGGACACGAGCAAATAATGGGCAAGATTCTTGGTGGCTCATATAGCGACCAAAAAATCTGCAAAGGTTGCCCTCATAGGTACCTTCTTAGTTCTTACATTCTACTTTCTTCGGTAGACTGTAATACCACATTACATTATCTTCAGATATTCCAAAGAGGAGCCGTTCAGTGTGATAAGCGTGGATATACGGAACCACAGTAATTTATTGGATTCTCTTGAACAATATGTCAAGGGAGAATTGCTGGAAGGAGCGGACGCCTATCACTGCGATAAATGCAACAAAAAGGTATGATGTAGGGTCGTTTGAAGGTAGTACATCTTTTCGCGAGTGTGCAACAGATTCGTGAAATGTATTATAATGGAAATTATTTGTTAAAAGTAAGAAAATCTGATATAAATGATTTGTATCTAACGGATGTTGCAAAGTAATTGGATCTTTTGTACATCTTGTATGTCAGAATCACTCGTGATTTATATATATATATATATATATATATATTATATTTTGCACATGTAGGTTGTAACAGTGAAAAGGTTGTGCGTAAAAAAACTGCCACCCATCTTAGCGATTCAATTGAAAAGATTCGAATATGACTTCGAACGTGTGTGTGCTATAAAATTCAATGATTATTTCGAGTTTCCACGAGATCTGGATATGGAACCGTATACCGTCTCCGGTTTAGCCAAACTGGAGGGAGAAGTCATAGACTGCGACTACGAGGAGTCTGTGAAAGGAACTTGCACGAAATATCAATTAACTGGTATCGTGGTTCACAGTGGTCAGGCTAGCGGTGGCCATTATTATTCTTACATTCTGCACAGGTACTTGAAACACAGGTGGAATATGCACTTATAATCAACAAGAATTCAAAATCTCTTTAATCGATAATGGCAAAATTACAGGCAAAATGATGGTACCGCAAAGTGGTATAAGTTTGACGATGGCGATGTGACGGAATGTAAAATGGAGGAGGAGGAAGAAATGAAATCCCAATGCTTCGGTGGCGATTACTTAGGAGAGGTGTTCGATCATATGCTCAAGCGAATGAGCTATCGTAAACAGAAGCGATGGTGGAATGCGTACATGTTATTTTATACAAGACTAGATGTAGAAGAGAATTCTCTAATGAAAAGTGTAAATGAATTGTCATTGTGTAAGTATATCGTCGAGAATTCGTAGAATTTCGACTTTGCTGGTTCTCTACGACGAGCATGCCTTTCTCATCATTCACGTTTTTCAGATACGAAACTAGGTGTTATGAAAATGCCACCAGCGATAGAGTACAGCGTACGAAAGCAAAATATTAAATTTATGCACAACCGAAATCAATTTAGCGCGGAGTATTTCCAGTTCATCAAGAAATTGGTGTCTTGTAATCCGCATAACATTACCAGACAAAATCTGAATGAGAAACTTGTAAGTTTCCGTCGAGTGCAGGAATTGAAGATCTTAAGCGGATATCTTTATTTTAATAAATATAATCTTTACACTCTAGACTCCCGAAGCGGAAGAACTTTCGATGCTATCGATTCAGCTAGCATCGAGATTCCTCTTCTACACAGGTTTCCATACTAAAAAAACGTTACGCGGCACAGCAACGGATTGGTACGACATTGTGTGTCACCATCTGCGTAGCAGTAAAGCAGTGCGTTCTTGGTTTGCCAATGAAGTACTATTTAATCATCCGCATAGGTATCAGATTTTTTCTCTTCTCTCTTTTTCAACATACGGTATCACGTGTGTAGAAATTATTATGTTTCAGTGACTGATAATTCTCTATTATTCGTAGATTTTGCGAGTACCTTCTCAGCTGTCCTAGCACGGAAGTGCGAACAGCTTTCCTCAAAATTTTGGTATTCCTCGCGCACGCTTCTCTACAAGATGGTCCATGCGCGCCACCCAGCCTAAATGCACCGAGTAAGTAATGAAATACAGCATAGAGATATGGAATACGCATTCACTATGATGCACCGCACCGCATAACAATCTTGTTGATATTTTTAGCTATACTCTTGGATCCCGTAGCGACGCTCAGTGACCACCTGCTGCATGCGGTGCTTTCGTTGCTCCACCGTGAAATCTCGGATCACGGGCGTCATCTCCCCAATTACTTCTCCTTGTTTCATGCATATGCTTCGCTCGGTCTTGCCGAGAAGGCGCAGTTGCTTAAGGTAAAAGAGAGATGCATGTGTTGAGTGTTATGACAATTGACATCGTCGTCATAACGTCTCGTGTCAGGAACGAGATCAGAGAGGAGAATTATTTTATTATCATTATTATTTTCATTCTGCAGCTAAATGTACCCGTGACATTTATGTTAGTCGCAATCGACGAGGGACCGGGTCCTACTATAAAGTATCAGTATCCCGAATTAACGAAATTGCATCAGGTGGTTAGTATGTTGATACGATGTTGCGATGTATCGTCAAAGACGCATTCGAGTCACACGCAGTCACGCGCGGAACCCTTACCGAATCCATATGGAGATCCCGCGTGTCAATCGGAATACCTAATGCCGATCCAACCTCAAGCAGCTGATATACTGTTTATTCGTACCAGGTGAGTGTTGATTTTGTGATTAATTGCTAGCACGAAGCAAGGCAATTTCTTTATGATTTCATTTCGCGATCAGTTACATCAAGAAAGTGATCGAAGACGCGAATGTGACAGAAGACTCAGTTAAGTTGCTACAATATTGTTGTTGGGAGAATCCACATTTGTCACGAACAGTGCTTTATGAATTGTTGTGGCAAATAGGATTCGCTTATACTCATGAGCTGAGACATCACACGGATCTGTTGCTCGCGATATTACTGATGGAAGATTCGTGGCAGACACACCGTGTGCACAATGCACTTAAAGGTGAGTTTTAAGCGATATATTCCTTTGTGTGTATTATGTTAGCGCTGGAATATATATACAAGATGCTTGCCTTCTTCCAGGACTTCCGGAGGACCGCGAAGGTTTATTCGATACAATAACACGAAGTAAAAATCACTATCAGAAGAGAGCTTACCAGTGTATTAAGTGCATGGTGCAACTATTTAGCAAGTGTAGACCTGCGCATCAGCTGTTGCATCATAGTCCAGACCTAAAAAGGAAATGGAGTCAAGCTATAGACTGGCTTCACGACGAACTTGACAAAGTATGTGACGGAAATTAAGCATTGAGATTCACTCGACTTTTTCACTATTTTTTCACGTTGACTATGAATTTTCCTGATTAATTCTTTTCAGAGACCATATGCTTCTACGGCGCCGTACACACATGCGTACAATAATTGGTCTCCAACGGCGCAATCTAATGATTCCGCAAACGGTTATGTATTGGAGCGTAGTAATAGTGCGAGGAAGACATTAGAACGGGCATGTGAATTATGCCCTGACGAAGAGCCGGAAGTTGAAGAAACGAGCGAAGAATGTGCGGAGGAAGCTGAAAAATATCAACACACTTCTAAGTATCAATCTATCAACTCATCGAAATTTCAACCAGTCGAACGGTTTCGAACCAAGAAGCGTAACAACAGAAGCTTAGGGTGGGCATCTATGGAGTAAGTGTTAAAACAAAGAGACATATTTCAGAGATATTATTTTTAAAATTATTTTCCATAAAACTAAAGTAATTACATATTTTTAGTATATGATGTGCAAAATATCTTTAAGTCAAATATCTTTTACCAAGAGAACATTGTATATTCTAATTCAGAATTTCTAATCTAGAATTCCAATTTATAATTTACGGACGAATACTTTTAATGTTGAATTTTCGCTGTGCCATAAAATTTTGACTGGTTAGGAACAAAGCGTTGTTGGACAATTGTTAATTTATTCGTTTCCGCTTTGCAGTTATCCTGACTTTAGTGTAATCCAACAAATGCAAGAAGAACAACAGCCTCAGCCAGGCCCATCCCCAGTTCACACGCCCCACTTAGCACATCAGCTGCACAGTCCGCAAAACTGTGAGTCGTCACAAAGTACCAGCCAGGATCCATAATGAACGCTGAATACTGACGTTTTGCCAAGTTGCTGCCTCAGTGAAACGATTTCGGAATATTTAGATATTACTGCGCCAGCAGCTTGGTGCCGGGCGGTAGCAGCACATGTACAGATATAACAAGTGAGGGTTTGTTTTCTTTTTTAGCGATCGGTCTTTAACGAACTCATGCTAATCTCTTAGTTTCACTGTGGGTAGTTACTTTGATAATATGACGCGCTATGAATGTTCGAACTGCAATGGGAACTGAAACGGAATGGGAGACGATTCCGACTGAGAACTGAATTAACGCATGCTGGTTGAGGCAATCAATTCTCGATGATATTTCTTTTCTCTCCTTAATCTTCATACTCCATCATTCATTCGTGTATCCCGACGGCTGTTTGGCTTCCAATCTTGAAAATGACAATTCGACTAAGAAACACGCTCTCCGAGAAAAACACGCTCACTTCTTGAGTGATCGAAAAAGCTAATAAGTATAGCTAAGAAGTTTTCATTTGCCTCGATTACATGCATGTGAATTCAAAGCTTAGGAATACCATAAGATTGTATAAATGTATAGTGAGTAGTGTTACGGAATCCCGTTCTCTGCCGACTAGAAGACAAAAGTATAAATCATAATTTTCCGTATGCCTATGTAAATTTGTTACTAATAAAAAAAGAAAAAGAAGTTAAAATGGAACTTTCTAATGATCGAAAGATACAATTAAGAGAAAAAAAAATAAAAGAAAAAAAAAAAGAAAAATGGGCTATAGTACGTTCTCATCTCATTCAGAGAAAGCACACAGTTATCGAAGCTATGCTCTAACATATATAAATAACGTAGCTATGCTATATACATAGCTATACATAGCTTTTGCTATTTAGTCTTTTAACAACAATAAAAGAATCTTTCTTGTACTTAATAATCTTCGAGCATTCTGAAAGAAAGACACTTATATCGGCGGCCTGCCGTGCTGCTAAATCTCAACATACGCCAATGATGCCTCCTATTGTGCTTTCTTTCAGTTCGACCGATTTGAAAGAGTTGTGCCTTCGACATTGTGCGACTCCATTGTACTTTTAGGTAGATATTTAAGAATCAAGTTGTTGCTTCAAATTTGATTGCTTATATTTCGCTTGTTGAGTTGACTATGGAAACAAGTAAAAAAACGGGGGAAGAAAAGGAAACTAAAAGATTGACAGGGAACGCGTAAGATTCAATGAGATATATACATATATACATACATACATATATATATATATATATATATATATATATATCGTCGACGAGAGATCGATCGTCGGGAGCGTATTTCGGAGCCCGAAACGAGGTTGCGGCGGGCATCACTCTATTTCATCATGACTACGTACACGTTAGAACACGACATCGAGTTGCCGTCATCGGTTATGGGCAATTGCGTAACCAAAAAGAAAAAAAAAAAGAAAAGAAGTGACACTGGCCCTATTTGGAGTCCAAATTTTTACAGAGAAAGGAATTGAAACAAGCGTGACGATAGTGACACGCAAGGAGAATACAGAGCAAACAAATACTAATTTATATCGTTGTACGATACACGATCCACATCGTTATGATAGAGCTGTGGTCTTTTCGCACAATTGTGAAAGCGATTCGTGATTACTCATCTATTATTACGCGATCGAAACTGTAATAAACGGATACTGTTTCTTGATAATCGTCCGACGTATAAATGACGTATAAACGGGCAAACATTCTACAAGAGGACGCAACTACGCGACCAACGACCCTCAAATTTATGAACTGGCCATAGCTCTGACTTATTTAAATAACGTGTGTTATATAGATATATATTATATAAAAATAATCTTAAAAAGGAGGAGAAAAAGAGAAATAAGGTCACATGTAACATGAATTAAGCGGCGAGCCGTGTGTATACATAGGAATTCGTGCGAAAAACCAACGACTATGTCAAGACACCAGGAAAAAAATCGACATATTGATTATTATTGTTCGTATTTATCGAATAACCGAGTTAAACAGTGTACCAAATTATATAATAGCTTCTATCAGTTTAATAATAATGGTACCTAATCTTACTCAGATATGTACATATACAACTGCTTTTTATATGTGATAAAAAATTATTATATTCCTATTATATATTGAGATTTAGAGAAAAAACGCTATTGTAAATCCTGGTTTTTGTACACAGACTGTATGCTAAGTTCATTTTTGTTATAACACGAAATGTAGTCTATAATTATTTAATATTTAATTATATCATTGAATAAGCGTATAATATTATGTACGATACTTGATTTCTTTTCTTTTTTTAATTACTTATTCAAGAGAAAGAAAGAGAGAAAGAGAAAAGTAGAGGAAAAGGAAAAAGGTCTCAAACTGGAAGTGTCATGATACTAGTGTCATTTATCTTATGCGTGATAGAGGTAAGAGAGACACAAGATGTGACAGTCGGGCACATTGTTCTAATTAAAAATAGATAACTTTGAAGTATCGTTTTTGCCATCGAATGAGATAGCGCTCGGTGTCGCCGTATAAAGAGAACGAGGAGAGATGCGTAAAGGGTGGTAACGATTAGAACGGAATGTCATTTTCTTGCGTACACAGTCAGGCACAGAAAACGGTATGATCTCGCCGATTTCGGATCTCCAATGCTACAGATACACGCGGATCATACACCTATTTGTTAGTGGAGATGAGAGTGCGGCGAAATTGATGACGTAATAGTTGTCTTCTTCGCGTGCCGCGTAACATCGGAAAGATCGAGCTCGCCGATATTGCACCGATTTCGACGGTTGTATGCGACATAAAAGCAAGGAGAGAACGGGGATCGTGCACAATCTTTACAGCGTGTGTGTGCATGTGTGTGCGTGTATGTGTGATCCCAGCGCGGGTGAAAAACCGAAGAATTAATTAAATTTACTATTAATACGTTGCGTACGTCGGCGGAGGTAGCCGTTTGCGATTTTACATTCGTTTGAAGAGCACGAGGGTCGTCGGACAGAAATCAAAAAGCTCAAAGGCAAATGCGTGGACTGTATCGTGTACTGACTTGTTGTGAAAGCGCGCAAAAGGATAAAAAGAGAAGAAAGAAAGAGAACTTGTATGTGCGGATCACACGTGAAATCTTGGGATCTTACGCAGTTAACTCTCGTAAACGTAGCAAAGAAAAACGTGAAAAACAAAAAAAAGATTCTATCATCGATGTCTCTTTAGTTCTAGTTCTAAAGGTAATTTTATGTATTTAGCGCGAATGACGCTCTAGTCAGTAAAATTACGAATAAATGAGAGGAGATTAATAGCTTCGTTCATTTAATGCGATCTGTGGAATGTTCTCGGAGCGAGTGTCAGTGCTGATCGTTGACGACGACGACGACGACGACGACGATGATGATGATGCATTGACGCACTGTCAAAAACATTCCAAGATCAACGTCGGGAATACGCCGTCATCCTCGTCGTCACTCTCACGTCTCGTTATCGCATCGGTCTGATTCCGCCGAACGTTTCTGTACATCTCGATGCGCTCTCTCCGCGATTCTCATTTGCCTTTGACGTGTAAGAGGGACTTGGTCACTTGTAACTACCTCGACAAGCAGTCAATGTATTTGCGCCGTGTTTGCTTTGCTTTAAAAATCCTCGAGCGGACCCCGCCTTGCACAAGGGGACACGACCGCGCGCGCGCGCGCGCTGGTGCACCGAGTGCATTTCGTTACGTTATCTCGCTCAAGGATAATGCGTATTCTCTGTTATTTCCAATGAGATTTTCTTTCTGTTCCCAATGAGATTCTGTTTCTACCGACAAAGTCGACACATTACGACAAAAATCATTCGCGTGCGAATATTCTACGGAAGAGGATAGGAGAAATATAGAGGAAGAGAAGAGAGAGAAAGAGAGAAAGTGAAGAGGAGGTTTTACTATACTTCTCACGAAGCACACAGGGAGACATTGTACTTTGTGCATCAGCGCGACTACTCGAGCCGTCGATATCACACCTACGAAGCTATTTAGTCAGTTACCACCTAAGAAACGAATAAGATTTATCGTACAGCATTGGTCGCGTCCAGAGAGTCGACGTCCAGGTCGAAGATTCGAAGCCGTCGTAGACTTGTAGCCGGTCTTAAGTTAGCCGGTGTTCGATCTACACAGAGCGATTTTAACGCGCGCCGATCGTCGTCGGGCCAGTCTGTTTCAGGCGTAATCCTTACCAAAGTCGAATACCAGAAGCATATGTTTCTTAAATATGCATATCTCACCCTTCTTATTCGCCGGTCGCTCACGCTGTACGTTTACATTTGTGTAAACGTCTTTTTATACGTGGCATCATAGAGATGTTTTAGATGACGAGTGCCGATCGGAGGTGAATGATCGCGTGCGGCGGTACTTTTGATACTAAGAGACGTATCCTTTGCGGAATCATATTACATTTCTATCCAACTATCCCTTTCGCTGCGACGCGTGCGCGCGTGTATGTGTGTGTGTGTGTGTGTGTGTGTGTGCGTGCGTGTGTGTGTGTGCGTGTGCGCGCGCGCGCGTGTGTACAAAATATTTTATTTCAAATTGCGTATTTTTAAGAGCTTTATAAACGATGGGGAAGAGATATTAAGATGGAGTTCACACTCTTTTTTGAGAAGAAGAAGAAGTTATACGCGTACGTTGTGTAATGTTTTTTAAAGCGCTTCTATTTCGAAAAAATCTAATAATGATACTATGACTTTTTGTGACGAATACCGAAATATCCGTATCCATATGAGAAATCTTGTCCTCTCTTGTTCGACACGTTTTAAAACACGAATTCCCCTCGTGAGAAGACACACACGGGCGATTGGATTCTAATCAGCCTCTGGATTAACGCGTGTGAGAGAAAACAAGACGATTTATATTTAGATGCATACTTGAAACTCCTGGCGAATTGCATCACCCGCTGGATGCATGCAAACAGGTTTGTCCCGTCGTCACGTAGTTTTTACGCTTTCTTCACACGAAACCAAATACGCATATCGCTCTGAAAAGCGAGAAAAGATACGGAAACGTGACACGCGAACAAACCTGCCGTACCAAATAACTCGATATCCTGAGGTTGTGTCTCTCGAATCGGACCGCGTCGCAGCGAAAGAGTTGGAGGTGCACCGGTGCGGCGTGTTATCTAAGTTAATGTAAACGCAATTGCGTTCTAAGCTCGCCCACGTATTGTTAATCGCGATGGAAGTAAAAACAGGCATATATTTATTGCACATGGATACACCATTCATCGGTGGTACATCAGAGGAGCGTCCGGTTCTTTTTGCGTTTTCATTGCTGCATGTCCTTGTTGTTTGCGTTGTTTCGCTTTTGTCCTGAGCGGTACCGTCGGAATTTCGCGTTCCGTAAGATTGATTTAACGTCACAGCTGCACGAGACTCGATCAGACGCAACAATATCAGACAAACGACAATGCGCGTGCGTATATGCAAAACGAATGAACGAACGAACGAACGAACGAACGAACGAACGAACATCGAGAGGCGCAGGAAGTGTCATCGGGAGGAGACGCGCGCGACGCTGCGCTCAATCGCGTCGTTAATCCGCTAACGGGATTAATTAATTAATCGACAGCACGTTAACACTGAACAATTACACACGGCACGATCGAAGGAGGAGAGATCCGAAAGCGATTCGAAAGCACATTGGGCGACCGAGAAATATCGTAGTGACATTGTGGACTGGTTGACAGATTTGTAGCGAAATAAAAGGAGAGCAATTGTCGCTTACGCGAGGTCTACGAATGCGCGTAAAATAGCAGGATTTACGCAGAACTGTTAAGGATGCGCAACATGCGATAGCGACAGAAGGTCAACGAAAGACTTAGAGAGGGCGAAAGAAAGGATTAATGTAAGATTACGCGGCCAGCAGAAACGTGGTTCGAGAAGCCGAAGACGTCAGAAGGGCACGCGTGCCCTTTCTCGGGCGCTCTTCGGGCGTCGGTCTCTCGGACGATCTTTGGACTTTGGTGCTGTTTGCGATCTCAAAGTGTGACTCAAAGCACTGACGTGCCAAACACCGATTTCCGTTTCGTGTCCGAAGCTATTCTCGTTCTCCTCTTCCTCGTCCGTGGGCACTTGGCGATAAATACATTTACGTACACACGAGGAAGAGTGAGAAGAATATAAAGTCTGATAAATTCTGAGAGAGAGAAAGAGTGAGATCTGTGTTTTGCACGTGGCGCAATTTCGACTCGATTGCCGAACCTGCCGCAACATAAACAAAAAGAAGAAAGAAAAAATCACAGGACTTTCCCAAAGCGATTCTCCAGCGAGAGCTTCGAGGAGGAGGCCGGCGAGAACGTCAAAGATCTCTGAGACTTTTTCTTTTTTACGTATTTCGGACGAGCGAGAGAGAGAGAGTCGAATCGTAGCAGTCGAATCGTAAATTATTTACCGCTATGATAATCGCGAGCGTGCTGCTTAAGGAAGATTGAATTTACAACAGTTGAGATAACAGTAAACGTCATTAACACGATGACCGAGTAAGTTTGCACTTACGACGACGTTCTCGCAGGACCTTCCCTCGTTTCTCGTCACGAATCATCAGCCGTTTTGCGGTGAAACGTAACGACGAGCGTTACGCGTTCCGGATGAAGAAACTACGAGGCTCACATAAAATTCTCGCTCATGCTCTCCTCTAACACTTACCAGATCCTCGATCGCGCAACGAGAAGGCGACAGTTCGAAAGACGTACTGAAAATCGTCCGATGAAGACACGCGAAATCTTAGGACTCGATCGATTGGTCCGAAAGCGCGGCAAGTCCTTCGGACGTCTTGCCGATGTCTCTTCAACTTGCGTTGCTCGAGGAAAAGGCAAGGTGGAAGGACGACGAGGTTTATCGTCGATGCGCGACTGGCATCTAAGTGAAACAAAAGAAAAGGAAAAAACGATGAAAAAGAAGATAAAAGAGCGCTCAGGTCGCCCTACGCGCTACATATCCGTGTAAATGGCGCATTTATGCAGGCATTTTTTTCATTTACAACTCGTCGGACTCGTAACCAACTCGCCAACCGATCCTGCGACCCTTCCACGCCGCCGACCCGCGCGATTATTTATGGTCCCTCGCAGACTTTCGATATACATATTATATATATAAATATAATATAAGTATAATTATTAAGATTGTATATTCTCTTAATTAGATGCAACGTGCTGGCGTGCGCGCGCGGTCGCTGGGTGATTTAAACTAAAGAGAACAGAACGCACGACACACACACACACACACACATACGCAAATACAATACATAAAATACATACACGGATACACACGTATAAAAATATGTACACACACGTATGTACGGGGGGTTGCGGGCGACGGTTTGCCAATTTTTGCGGGGGGCTTTCACTTACGAACGGGTGACACCCACACATTCTGCGTGTTTCCGCGGTAAGGAGACCTCTGCCGCCTCCGAAATCTTTTGTGTATTATTTCTAACAGAATGTAATAAAGTACAGTTTAAACAGACGCTCTTCTCTTCCTCTCTTTTCCTTGATGTATACCGATCCATCTCTTCAGATTTCTCACCCATAAAAGTCTTAGAGTTAGCTTCGTCTAGTCTTGGAGTTCGAAGCTTGAGAGATCTGAAGAGCGAAGCATATCTTTGGGTTAATCCAACGATGCAAGATCGTCTCATTATCTATTCAATCCGTTCACGATTTTTGCCTGCGAGAATATCAGACTTGTCAAAATTATTTTTAGCTCCATTGACTCGTGAAAGACACATTGAGCGTTATCAATTCATATTCAACTGTGGCACAAGATAATCAATATATTCATACACAACGTACGCTTACCAATAAACATTTTAAATTTGAATAGCTTTATCAATTACATGACTGGAAATAACGCAATCGCTACAGATACATTCTTAATTGCCATTGTCTTATTCGCGAAATTCTGCTCCGAGACAATCAGTCGTCTGTGTGTGATCGAGACGAGCGGATGAAGACAGTGATTAATTCAGTAAGTTTGGTCATTTTCTATATAATGACCTCTGCATATTTTCCACAGTGGAACGAAACAAATGATCCTGTCATTAACGATATGAATATCAATATCAATTCTTTAATTCAACCGGTCTTTAATTCATTGCGTTGGGGAAGTACGATATTGTCCGGACTTATTTTTTCAAAGGCTGAACGAGCGTTATCAATTCATTCTCTATAGGCGAAGGAGATAGCGTTGTATTTATACACAATACGTGTTGTCAAACAAACGAAAAGTTTAAATAGTTTTATCAGTTACATGATTAAACATAATCGATTAAGATACATCTCTTTAATTGTCACCGTCTTATCCGCGAGATTCTGCTTCAAGACAGTCAGTCGTCTGTTCACGATCTAGACGGACGGATGAGGAGTATCTCAACGAGTCATTCAGGCGGTAAACCTCGTCAGTTTTTAACGAATCTCGCCAGCTCTCTCCAAGTTTCCATAATGAAGCAAACAAATTATCCTGTCAATCATCGGATTGACGTTATTAATATCAAAATTGCCGCATATGCTCGTTAATTTCAATACGGTCTGAGCACTTTCTCCTCGATGCAGCTTGAAACGCAGCTGATGTCCAATAGAATTTGTTTCGGAATAATTCCTAGAAAATCTCTTATTGAACACTGGCTATGTGTCAAATTGAAACCGAGTTTTCCGTGTTATCGATAAACCTGTATGGCAAAAAGGTTCGGCGAGCATTAAAAATCGGAGGAGAGAAAGTGAAAAGTGTAAAAAGTGTCTAAATGATTTGCAATGAAATCACAAATCGCCTGTTCGAGTTTTTTGTTTATTAATTTTAATGCGTCACTTGTAAAACTATATACTCTCTTCAATTATGTCCGAAGTGTCGTGATTTAAGAGTTGCATTGTTTTTACTTTAAATCGTACTTTAACACGTATCTCGCGCGTCATTACTGCAGTGCATATACGCGCTGACTTTCATCCTTTCTTTTCGTACACAAGTGATAACACATTATGCAACAATAACAACATTAATAATATTGTATACAAGATAAGAAACCAACGCAATAAGAACCAACGCAAGATCTCAGTAAGAGCGACTCAGTCGTAAAAGTAAAATAAAATAGAAAGAGAAACGCGCGCGCGCTAAATAAACTTCTACGAAAGTTGTCCAATTTTCAGTCGTTTTTCCGATTCCGTTCAGTAGAAAATTGATTCACACAAGGCAAAAATAGTTAGCATACCAGAGTTCTTTTTTTCGATAAAGGAACATACCTGCCCTGTGTGGGAGACAGATATCCTTGGAGAGAACGCCGGGGTCTTTGGATAAGCAATCAGTTTCGAAATTTCTTCGACACGTTACAGAGGTAGGTTTCACAATTGAGATCTCGCATTGACTCTTATTGTCCCTTTGCCTCTCGTGGACTGTGCATCAAAGAGCTAAAATTAAGACAACTAAACAATCAATTGGTTAACTTTAGATTATTGTCCAATTCGATAAAATAATCCAGAAAATGGCAACGTACGTCTGCGTCGAAGACTACGAGAAGCACGCTCTGAAACATCTACCTTCCTCTGTGAAAGATTATTATAGAAGCGGCGCAGGAGCGCAGTACAGCGTAAAACTGAACAAAGAGGCATTCAACAGGTAAAAAATTGATAGACTGATGTGGCAAATTCCCTCTCAGAGGAAAGTGAAATCGGCCGCCGATCTTGATCGACACTATTTGCGTATTTGATTGCGCGACGGCGCAATCTTTTTAAACGTTTTTGTGGCACAAGTACAATTGTTTGCAAAACTCTCGTCCGCTTACGGTTGGAGTTATAATTGTGAAAAATAAATTGGAATACTGAGCGGTCTTAGAAAATGTCCCATGTACTTTTGAGAAAGTCCACTGTACAAGTTGCGTCGCACTTTATCTCACAACGATTATTATTGCCTACGATTATGCTAATTCTTAATTATATTCTCGCAGATACAGAATACGTCCCAGATTTTTACGAGACGTGTCCAAGAGGGACATAAGCACGACGGTGTTGGGACAGAAAGTTTCAATGCCTTTGGGAGTCGCACCCACAGCGATGCAGCGAATGGCTCATCCGGACGGGGAGTGTGCTAGTGCAAGAGGTAAGCGAACATTTTGTTTGTTTAAACCATTCTTTCAATGTCGCCGCTAAGAATCGACACGCGATGAGGAATGTTCGTTAATCGATTAACTTGTTACAACTTCGTCGCGTGTACTCCAGCACCAGGAGAATTCGGGACTTACATTTATATGAGAATATTAAGGGGTTCAATACAAACGTGTTTATTAAATCATACATAAATAGACGTTATAAAAATAGTAATAATCGAAGATTAGCCCAGACACCAACGATCACAGACAGTTAACAATTCCTTTCCGATGTCCGCTCACCATTCTGTACTTATTAAAAAATCCGCGCTCAAACATAAACGAGTGTATCGATAAATGCGATGAGTGGATATTTTAAATCGTTCTTACTTGTTGCCTAAATGCGCTTCAACTAATCTCCCATGTTTAATTTCAATCGCATGTGGTATATTGCAGAATAACCAGCGAGATAAGGAGCAATCGCGCCAGACCAATCATTTATTTGTATCTCTTTCTTTATAATCTACATCTTTATCTCTTCCATCCGATCAAAGAGAAATACCTGTTGAACGATACCAAGACGGATGTTACGCGAGTATCTGTTACCTATTTTATAACACGTTGCGCGTAATGTCGTAGATTTCAAGTTATTCTGCAATCTGCTCATAACACACCAAAACTGGAAAACGACCTCAAATATTTTTCCGGTTAGAGTAGTCCGCTCTTGTAATATTTGTTTATACGATCGAACAATCCTTCATGTTATTTAGACTAATAATAATGGAATGAATCGTTATAAGTATTATATAAATCGCATTCGCGATCTTTCAGCGAACGAAGCTAACGCTCTAACGCTCTGCTCGATCTTACCGTAATAACGACTTACACTAAATAAATGTAAATGAATCGTCAGTCCTGCTTAATAAGCGATATATTAAAAAAGATGCTTCCCGTAATATTAATTTGAGCGAAGAGGCAAACTTATACGTAAATATACGTAACGTACATAACGTAATGTACGTTGAAATCGAATTACGATTCATACATCGTACTTCTAAGTGTGGCTATATGATGTAAGGCACGATAGAGCGCTTATGCGATATGTAAGTGATGACGTATGCGTACCGATACGATGCGTACGCTCGCTGTCCAGTTCGAGGAACCAAAATTTCGCCTTACGCTACGTGCAAAATGATCCGCGTCACGCGATGGCCGATTCTTGCTCTCTCGTCGATCGATCGCTAATACAGGTGCGGTATGTGGCTCAAATGGAGAATTTGCGATGACTAGTAACCAGGAATATACATGTCTATAAATGGATCATTCTTAGATTTCTATACGAGTAGGAACCCGACGCGCGGAAAGTCTGTCGTGAAACTTTATGGCAGTGTGAGGGAAGAGCTTCTCTCTCACTTGAGCTTGGGTCCTATGTTGTCCCAATTGTTAATGGCCTTCATATTGACCTGTTCTATCCGCCACTTCTGGGTGGCCGACGATTTATCGCAAGCGGTCACGTAGACCCGCCTGCTGCTCGGATCGGTGTCCAGGCATCTGGACGAATAACCGTGCATTAGCCACTGTTTCTCGACGTCATAACGCCACAATTGATTGCCCTGTTTTCCGTGGCAAGGATATAGGCTCACCGGAGCTTTCTCCTCGCCTCTCGACACATCCAAGCAATCTGTGCGATCTTTCGGCCTGACATCCTTGTGCCAGGTCAGTCGGAACTCCTGTTCGCCGGATACCTTCGGACTATCTTTCATGCAAGTGTCCACTACGACGAGCTCGTCCCTCTTTCGCTTCTTCGAGTCCAGACAGAGATCCGTCGCACCCATGTTCCTGATTTCGCCAACGGCGAAGTCGTCCGGTTCGATAGGCGGGTAAACCTCCACGAGGTCGAAGGCTATGTTTTCTATGAACCAGTTGAACGGCTTGCAGTGCAACTTCGCACGCAGGCTCTTCTGTTCTGACAGATCTCCAGGATCCAACGCGCGCATGTGTGGCCGTCTCTTGTAGATATACTCCGCGTATTCATCCATCCACACCTCGGCGACTCTCTTGTAATTTTTCCCGAGGAAATCGCCGCGACCGGGGTTGGGAAACGGTGGGAACTTTCGGTAAATATGACCGACTCTCGAGCACGGCGCGTCGTACATCTGTCCGCCGCACTGCCAGATCTTGAAGGATAGCTCGTACTGTTCGCCGCCCCATATATCCAAGCCCGGATCGTAACCACCCAGTTCCCAGAAGAACTTGCTGCTAATGGCAAACAAGCCACCAGCCATGATGGGACTCTTGAAGGGCTCTGCGGGTCTCTTCAAGTCTTCCGGCAGTAGTGGAAGTCGCTTGTAATACAATTCCCAGTCGAATGCACCACGGGCGCCTTCGTCCTGCGCTCTGTACTCGAAAGTCTCGTAAGCTATCACGTCGATGAACGGGCAAACGCAGGTTCTGTAGTTCTGCGCGATCGGCTCCAACAGCGGCGGCAGCCAGTTCACGTTAGCTTCACTGTGTGAGTCGAGGAACACCAGTACCTTGGCCCTGGCTTTCTTCGCGCCCGCCAATCGACCTCTGATTAACCCTGAACGTCTCGGTAATCGTACGATCGTTACCTTTGGCAAGTTCTTGGCGACATAGTCGTCCAATTTCTTTTTTAGCTCTGCCTTCGTGCTGGCATCGTCGACCAGTATGATCTCCTCCAGGAGAGAAGGCGGCGAGCGATTGATTACGCTCCAGCAAGTCCGTAGCAATGTGCTGAAGTGCTCGTTGTGGAAGGATACTATCACAGAAACGGGATCTAGATTCTTCAAGTATTTCTTCTTCCTGCAGTCTGGGTGACGAATATCAGGCACTGATCGATTCACGGAGATCTCGTCACTGAGAGCAGCATTGAATCCATTTACTTGGTACAATTTTTCTTTCAGTGAATCGAGAGATGGGGAGAGGAAGGCTGGTCTTCCATGTTCTCCTATTCCAGTTTGTTTACTCTCTGCTTCAATCTTCTTGTAGTCATGCCAATCAATTTTCTCATCCATATCCTATGAAAAATGTTTGAATTAACGAGGAGAAGTAAAGTAGTTTTATGAATCTTGTTATAAAAAAATTTATTTTTTTTTCATCATATAGGTATACTTTTAAACAAAATATGAATTTTATGTAATATATAATTTCAAATTCCGTTCTTCCACCAAAATTACAAGTGTCTTTTTTTTCTTAATCAAGAATGTCAAGACAAGAGATCATTGCATTATGAAATTAAACATCAACAAGCAAGGTTTGTGCGATCACAAAAGAGAGAACAGAATCGTTTAGGCACACGATCGCTTTCGTACGCTCCTGATCGCTAGGAATGCAAGGGAGAAAGACTGGGATGCAACTGAGAAATGAGAACTCGTTTGCTAACTCGCTGAATATGAAGAAAGTAGGTTTCCAAGATACACACAGATTGAAACGCATCATAATCGGTACATGAAAACGACGTGACTTCGGATTCCGAAGTCGCGACACGCGAGAATGACTCTCACATTCATCCGTGCGAGCAAACGCCCGGCGATTGTTGCGAAAAGGTGTTTCCACATCGCAGGAAATTGCACCTCGCGAAATTCAAACCGGTTCCAATTCTCTCCTTCGTAGCCGACAATCAACGTGAGATCCGTGACCTCGTCGCAGGAGATTGAAATCAATGAATCGTTACCAGCGCGATTTCTATTCCCCGCTGACGTGTTCGGCGACTGACGCGAGACGCCTAAATCACCGTGACGAACAAGCCATCGAGTCCAAGGACATCGCACCGATATCTCTCTTGATCGCGGCTAGTAAATACCTGATCCAAACGCTCGTCGTTCTCCAGGCCGCCGTCCCCGGGACTCCTGCGGTCGACGGCGACCGCCACGATCAGGGCGTCGAGCGGCGTCGAGAGCTGGTGGTTAGGCGGCGCCCGCATGTAACGAAACACCACGACGGTGAGGAACACCGTGAAGGCCGCCAGGAAGAAGAACTTGATCAGGCTGATCACGTTTCGCCTCATCTTCGCGCGAGAGTCATGTCGTAGGGCGGCCGGTCTCACGAGGACTTAACCTTACTTCGCGCCGCGAACTCTTGCGCGCACAGCTGGCGTACGAGCTGATAACGACGTGACAACGTCATTTGTCACACGCCGCAAAGAGCGGCTGGACGGCAAATCGTTGATTCCTACTTATCGCATCGCGATAAACGCGATAAATGTCAGAGATACATTAGACGCAGCACACGCGAATAACACGAACAACAATGCGCAACTGTCACGCGAAGACTGGAACGGAGCGGATCGGGAGGGATCCTTTCAGCAGCGTCGTCGTCGTCGTCTCTCTCTCTCTCTCTCTCTCTCTCTCTCTCTCTCTCTCTCTCTCTCTCTCTCTCTCTCTCTCTCACACTACTCACTCACTCACTCACTCACTCACTCTTTCTCACCCTCTCCCGTCGGTTTTCACCTCCGCGCGATCCTACCTGCGTTCTCGCACCTGTGCGAACTTAACGGTTCCAATCGGTTGGCATCAATTGCGATATAATGAGCGTGCCAAATAAGGCCGAGATAATAAGACTGGGCAATACGGTCCGGTAAATTCGAAAGAAACGCGATTATACGAAACGCTCGTTAGCTCGAGATACATTTGCCGCATCAGGATATATCGATATATCGAAAATTTTTAAATGATCGTCTATCTGTTTTGAAATTTTTGAATTTTTTAAAGCGAGTTTTGGGTTGGGTGTTGCGGATTGAAGATCGCGGGCTGGAGATTAGGATTGACCTATCGGCTAATTCCGATTTTTCGATTCGCTTTGGCGCGATTGGTCAAGCTTTAATTTTCAATCTGAAACTTTCAACTAATTCAACTAGTCCAAATCTATTTTAGTTGGTGCGGACTTGATGAAAAATGTATTTACGATTAAGTGATAATGTCAAAGTGCGAGAAAGAGATGCACTTGTTACCTGTATCGTTTACCTACGTCCGTTGTTCAGCAAAAAATCGTACAGGTGTTACGAATAATACGCATATAATAATGACAGGTTGGTCGTTACGCATGTTATGTGCAATTCGAATGACGTAACCTTGTATGCAGATAAAACCGGTTAGAGAACCTAAAATTAGCTCGAATATTGTAACAATATGATCGATTCTGCGAATTTAATCATCTCGGGTAATTGAAGCGGAGTAAAATAAGTGAAACGATTTACAAACTCGATGCGAGAGTGAATTTGCAATAAATTTAAATTTAATTTGGATACACGTTAAATATTTAACCTAGGCATTGTTAGATTATTCTCACATTGATTTAGCAATAATGTTTACGTCGTCCTCTCTCGCATGACGGCTTCAACGGACAATAATTTCCGCTTTGTCTGTTTGCAGCCGCTCAGGCAGCAGGAACAATCTTTATACTGTCAACAATATCGACGAGCAGCATTGAAGAAGTGATGGAAGCGGCACCCAATGGCATAAATTGGTTCCAACTCTACATTTATCGTGACAGGAGTGTCACTTTAAATTTAATAAGGCGCGCTGAACATTCTGGCTTCAAAGCGTTAGTTCTCACCGTCGATGCGCCGTTGTTTGGCGATAGACGAGCTGATGTGAGAAATAAATTTGCGTTACCGAGTCACCTAAGGTATATTTCGCATTTACGAGCAAAAGGCTGATAGAACTTTGTGAATTTCAAATATTACGCTTTGCTTTAGATTTGCGAATTTCGAGGGTGATTTGTCGCAACGAATAAATTCTGCAAAGACCGGTTCCGGCCTGAATGAATATGTCACCAAAATGTTCGACGCGTCTTTCACATGGAAAGATGTAAAATGGATAAAAAGGTATTCGCGTTGATGTTCTAAATTTTCCTTATCTGAACAGCGCTACATTTAACATCGCGTTTCATCGAGATTAGAACTGATTAGAATTGATTTATTATTATAGAATCACAAAGTTGCCGATAATTCTCAAGGGAATTTTGACGGTCGAGGATGCACATTTGGCCGTCGAAAGCGGGGCTGACGGTATTATCGTGTCGAATCATGGAGCTCGTCAAATAGATAGTGTTCCAGCCACGGTCAGGCCAGTTTTTGTGTTGAAAGCAACTTAGAAGTTATATTGAATATAGTACCAAACGTTCATTTGAAACGAATAATTTAACATTATTGTTATTAATATCTAAGGACATATTAGTATGTAAGTTATTGAGATAATTTACCCTTACAGATAGAAGCTTTGCCAGAAATAATTAGAGGTGTAGGAGATAAAATCGAAGTCTATATGGATGGAGGAGTAACGCAGGGTATCGACGTGTTTAAAGCCTTGGCATTGGGTGCGAAAATGGTACGAATGTATCGAACGACTTGAAAAAATATTTCGATCATATTGAATATGCATATATTTAATTGCCCGCGTTTTTATTGTCCAATTGTGTTCTATTCCTCAGGTATTCTTTGGCAGACCAATGCTGTGGGGCTTGACATATAACGGTGAAAACGGCGCCAAAGAGATTCTCGAACTCATGCGAAAAGAGATCGACCTAGCTTTTGCATTAACTGGCAAGTTACAGCAAACATTAATTATCCATATTAACATCTGTTTAATTAATTGCTTGATAATTTAATATATTTTTTCAGGATGTACATCTGTAAAAGATGTTATATCAGATATGGTGATTCACGAATCTTATTATTCTCGTCTGTGAAGATAAGTTTTATTTAATATACAATTAATACAGCATTTATAAGTAACTATTATCAATCCACGTGCACTTATAAACACTTATATAGTAAGTTTATAACGTGTTTATATTATCTATTTTATAACCACAATTGAATATATAACTTTTATAACCATAATTGAATATATAACTTTTATAACCATAATTGAATATATAACTTTTATAACCATAATTGAATATATAACTCATATATATGTCAAAAAAATTGCAAGTCAAAAACAAAAAAAATCTTAATCAATTTTGTTTTCTTTTATTATCGTAAAAACATATTTCACTCTCATTTATATATATTTATATATATCTCATCTCATTTATATATATATTTATATATATATAAATATGTATTTAAATATCCCATTTTCTCTCTCTTTTCACAATGTGATTTAAGAAAAGTGTTTCAAAAAGTTGATTAAATTAAATTATATTATATTCGCTTGCGTATTTTTACTAATTTTATTAGATAAATTTATTAGATTTTATTAATTTTACTAGATATATTTTCATTAGACAGCGTATTTTTCTTTGAGAAGTTATTTATCTTTCAAGCAAAATAACTATTACTCAATTTTGACACTTATAAGAGTTGAATAAATATAAGCAATTCGCTAGAAATGAATAAAAAACTTAAATTTTTTTTTAAATATATCCTATTATTCTAATGTATCATATTTTTAATAATAGTAAATTTTCAATATAAATATAATTAAAAGATGAAATTAAAATTTGATTAAAATTATTTTTTAATTTAATATTATTTAGTAATAAACAGTAATGTTGTTGAATTGTTATATGAATTTACCATACCTTTTAAACCATACTTGTAAAATAGAGATGTCAAGCTTTAAAATGTTTTTCGAACAATCTCGATATCGTCACTTTTGTCAAATTTCTAGCCCGTTGAATTTCGCTCATTTTCAACGTCGCTCCTATTATTGACTCGTACTACTACGTTAGTTTATTAAAAAATAAAGAGGCACTACATCATTTTTTTTTTATTGAAATAAAGGTTGTACAAAAAGGTGTACTGGGTTTAGGTACAAAGCTTATCTAACCCTTACAAAATACAAAGGCACTACATCAATTCTTGTCATGTATGGTGGCGGCTCGTAGCAGAGATCCAGGAACTAATTTCTGAAGATAACGGATCTAAAGCCAGCGGCACACGGTGCTTGTTTTCGTGCTGGATTGCTTGCTGGATGAAAATATTGCGTTCTGATTAGTGCATTTCCATCCATCTTCGGAAATGTAGCAATCACTATTAAAAGCAATAGTATATTCGCATATACTATTGCTTTTAACCATCGGTTTAGCTTTAAACTCCGTTTAAAGCAAGTTGTGGAACTGGGCCTAATTGCATTTGTTGTTAATCAATGTTGGCGAATGCGATTGGTCAATGGCCGCGTTCAGTAGAACAAAATGATCAGAAGCGCTTAGTGATTATTGTCTGTGATTGGAGCATTCTTTTAGATTCTTCATAGACCCAGAAGTATTTACCAATTAGGAGCGAGATTCAGTGGAAAATCTAGTAATGTTGTCCAACTGTTGAGTCTGCTGAATGCAGCCAATTTCAAAAAAATAACCAGTTGGTTATAAATTAACTACGATTGGTAGAAGAGGGCATTAAGCCAGCGGCACACGATGCTTGTTTTCGTGCTGGATTGCTTGCTGGATGAAAATACTGCGTTCTGATTGGTGCATTTTCATCCATTTTCGAAAATATACCAATCACAACGCAGTATTTTCATCCAGCAAGCCATCCAGCACGAAAACAAGCACCGTGTGCCGCTGGCTTTATAACTATAATCAAAATATCTGAAACCGATTTCGGAACAAGCCTGAAATAATCGAGGTGAGGTTGCCCATCCCTAGCCACGATTCAATATGGCGGAAAGAGTACGTTAGCAGGTTTTAGATCGTGTTTTCTCGCATTGTGATTTTTTGAATTATTGATAATTGTTTAATAGTGATACATATTTATCCTATTTCACTTTCATAATTACGTTGAATCCAAAACGCTAATATGGGATCTAATAAACGTCATAAAACCGAGAAATCTCGTGATGCTAAGAAGAAGCGTCACCGCAGTCGCTCTAGAAGCTACACACCCGATCGTGAGAAATCGGAAAAGCACAGGCACCACAAAAAACACAGGAGGAAAGAGCGCAAGGATTATGACAGCGATGGTATGTAATATAACGATATTTATACAATAATCATTTATATTATAGGAAAGTAAGATCTTATTTTGTTCTATTTCTAGTTGAAATTGTTAATGCTCCACCACCACCAAAAATATCAAAATCATCGCACCCATCGACGCCTCCACCACCTGAAATTTCCAAACAGCGTAGTCCTTCTCCCATTAAAGGTGGTGCAGCACAAACCTCTTTATCTATCGAGGAGACCAATAAACTTCGTGCAAAATTAGGCTTGAAACCATTGGAAGTCGATAATACATCTAAAGATGATCCTAATAAAATCAAGGATGATTTAGGAGAGTTTTATCACAAGCCTGCGCCAAATAATAATGAAAAAATAAGAGCAGAGAAACTGAGAGAAAAATTAGGTACTCAAAAGCAAAAACGACAAATTGAAGCAAATTTGTCAAAAATGAAATCCTTGGGTGAATGTGATTCTGACGATGATACTCATACATGGATTACTAAGTCCAGGCAACTGGAAGAAGAGAAGAAGAAAGCAGAGGAGAGAGTATGTCTTAATATTTGTATTTTAACTTATATATAAGTTAAAATATAAATATTATGTATTATATGCGACTATATAACATATATATGTCAATATTTGTATTTTAACATATATATAAGTGTTATTTTCTAAATTATAGTTATAATTCAAGCAATTATAAGAATATAATTTTATAGCTATAATATCTAATTTATAGATTGTATACAATATTTTGATTAAAATTATTTCTGATAATCTACTATAAATACTTATAACTTATATTTTAGGCAAAAATGTTAGATCAATTGGATGAGGAATTTGGCATTGGTAACTTAGTCAAGGAAGAAATACATACTGCTCGTAACACAGCATATACAGAGAAAAATCTGAAGGGTCTTAAAGTTGAACACAATATTGTAAGTATATTATTTACAACATTAACAACTTTCACAAACCATGTAGATTAAAGTTTACTTCCTCATTTAACATGTTTCATGCTGAGTTGTGTGACTTTCCATTCAGGCTATTTGATATTTTGGGTAAAGGCAGATATACTATAACAAAATATTTCATTATATTCATTGATTCATTGATTGCTAAATAACTAGCTTATGTAGAATAATTATCATATTGTATATCACAGGTGGTACACACGGCCTGAATAGAAAGTTCTGTGCTGTGTTTAACATGTGCCACCGGTGACACTTGTTAAATTGATTTACAATAAAGTTTGAGTGAAGAGTATTCATATTTTGTAGAGCACATTTGAGGAAGGCAAAACTGTGATTCTAACATTGAAAGATCAAGAAGTATTGGATGAAAATGATGATCTACTAGTAAACGTGAATATGATTGATAACGAACGCTACAAACGTAGTATTTTGAATAAAACTAAGAAATCTACGTATGATCCGTACGATGATGAGAATTTCGATGAATATGGATTTCCTAAAAGTAAGATTCTAGAAAAATACGATGAAGAAATCGATGGCGAGAAAAAGGATAATTTTGTACTGGGTACTAATAACACGGTAGAATTGAAACGACGTCAAATAGAAACTGTGAAGCAACGTTTAGCAAATAAAAAGCTAGAAACCTTGCAAATGGCCGAACCGAAATTAGCGAGTGAATATTACAATGAAGAAGAGCTGGCAAAGTTTAAGAAACCAAAAAAGAAGGTAAAGAGTTTCTTTTTAATATATGCATGTTGTATATATTCAATATATATGTATGTATAAAAAATTAATGTTCTTGAAATAATATAGTTGCATATGAGAGATATATTGCTCTATATTATATGTATTAAATATTTATAACATTCTTAAGAAATAATATTTTTGCGGCATATATATTATAATATGAAATATATAATTTTAGATTCGCAAAATTAGAACAAAGAAGAAGTTGAGGGCTGATGATTTAGTTCCTATTGACAATGACTATCTTCGAGACCTTGGAAGTAGGAGAAGGAAAAAACCAGAAGACTCTAAGGATAATGATGCTTTAGATAGTGATGATTTAGAAGGTATTTTATATAGTTAAATATATTTATACAATTTTACATGAGATTATATGAGATATGTCCATCTGTTTGACATTAGCCATTTGTAAATATTATCAAGTTATGTGCATAAAATTTATGCTCATAATTTTTCTATATATCATTAAAAGAATATGTGATTGATTAAAATCTTCACATCTATACAATTATTTTTGATAGCTCCTACTGAGGATCTTACCGGAATAAAACTTGAAGAAGATGATAAGGAACTGGAACTACAATTGGCTTTAAAGAAAGCTCAACGTTTGAAGGAAGGACATCCCAGTGGCATCCAAAAAACTGTTGAAACAATAAAACAAGAGATTCTGAATTCGGAGGAGAATCAACCTGGCAATATTGTTCTTAATGCAACTGCAGAGTTTTGTAGAACCTTAGGAGACATACCCACATATGGACTTGCTGGAAACAGAGAAGAAAATGGACAAGAACTTATGGTATGCTAGATGATATATAAAACGTAATATGTTGTTTAATATTTATATCGATTATATTATGTTTTTATAATATGAATATTACAGGATTTCGAAATGGATGGAATTAAAGATGAGCCACCTGTGAACGAAGACGAAGATGATGGCCGTGGTGCTTGGAACACAGTGCATTTAGGTATCTTGTGTGTTGAAATAAATAAATTTCATGCCAAAACTGATACGCTTAAAAAAAAATTAATATTTTTCAGTATTTTGCGATTACTCTCTTATGATTATGATATGTATTATTACTTTTTAAAAATATTAATTCTATGGAAATAGATGAGAACACTTCGGAACCAGTTGTGATGGAAGCTGCAATTTTGGATGCAGAGCCCTCACTTGGGCATGGAGTAGGTGGAGCTTTAAAATTAGCAATGAGTAAAGGATACTTGCAAAAAGAAGACAGCAATCGGCCATCGGCATCACGATTTGCACATTTGCAAGCTCAAAATTATTCGATAGAGGATAAAACATACGGGTAAGTAAATCATATATTATCGCGATTCGATATAAGAAAATTTCTTACGTGATTCGAATATATATGCGTCAGAACATGTAAGAAGCGTTCTCATGTCGAATGCGCTTCCACAAGCACTCTGTTAGACAAGTCTCTAGTGAATTTCAAACTGTCAGTTAACAGTTTTAAATAGAGCCCGGAAAACGGTGCTCGGAACCGGTGATCCGCTACCGCTACAAGAGTTTACGCTTAAACTCGAGGAGGCGAACAGAAGGCTGAGAAGAGAGTAGGATTTGTTAAGGTATGTTTATGTTATGCGATTTCGTTGCTGCGGATCGTATTAAGACTCTAGAAAAGTCTTCGCACATGGGAGAAATCATGACGGTTATATCTTGGCAGAGCTTGCCAAGCATCGAAATAAATATTCAAGAGGAGACGTTTACCTATATTTCCGTGTAACGCGATTATATTCGTGTTCTATATAATTATAAAACTTGCATGCGTCTTTGATACAAATCAATATTATTTACGATAGACTATTCTATATCTATATATATAATGTTCAACAAGTTGCGATATTAATACTTGAATCTCAGATGAATGATACGAAGAGGAGAAAGAAATAATACGTATATATCTTTATATGCATGAATAATATTTGTTTTCATATTCATGATATTAGGATACTGTATGAAAGAGAGATATGACGTTATTTAGATTCAAGATCAACATTAAGTCAACGTAAAACTTAAATAATTTAACGCGTTTGAGAATCAATATATATTTATTAACATTGCGATCAAATAATAAAGTCTATTTTTATCGAGGATTATTTTCATCGACTTGTTTAGATTTATTTTAATTCAATCGCATAATGTAATATATCTCCCAAAGACATGCGAGTGTAATCTCTCGTTAAGACTTGTTAATATTGGTAGTGGACACAAGTTTCAGAACACCGTATTTCAAGGGCTTTAATTTTCATCCCATTTATTTAATATTCAAATCTAGCTAATTAAAATAATAAAATACAATTACACCCTCAGCTGTAATCTTTACGCAAACTCGAACTTGCGCAAACTTGAACCTCATTGATAAAGAGGATAATTTGACATGTTCATTTGCATTTACTGGTTAATGCATCATTTTTGTTCCAGAGATGACGACAAATTTGGCAGAAGAGACCGTTTCAACGGACCAACGTCCGATTTTAAAGAGAAGGATGGTTTTAAGCCGAACGTTAAGCTTGAATACATTGACGATGACGGTCACGTTTTGAGCGCCAAGGAAGCTTTCCGATATCTATCGCATAAGTTTCATGGGAAAGGACCAGGAAAAAATAAGGTTCCTTAGATTATTAGATTCTATATTATATAGATTCTATATATTAGATTCTAGTGGTCAGAGTATTACATGCGGAAACTCATATTTTTCATTTAAAATGTAATCACTTTTAGAAAGTGTAATAATTCTGCTATGCCTTTCTATCTAGGTGGAAAAGAGGATGAAAAAAGCTGAACAAGAAGTTCTTATGAAGAGAATGTCTTCAACGGATACTCCTTTAGGTACGTTGAATTTATTGCAAGCCAAACAAAAGGAAACCCAATCACCATATATAGTGCTCAGTGGCAGTAAACAGATGCAAACGTAAGTATACCTAATAAACTTATTTAGAAACAAATTAACAAATGAAAATATTCATGATACAATTTTAATATATATTTTAACATAATAATATTATTTGCAGGACAAGTATATCCAAGACGAAACATTAAGAAATGCAAACATAAAGGATAGAAATTGTATATAATCTTATATATGTATAATGTAGCATCTAAAAATATAATAAAATTCATAACCTCGTGAAACAGAATTGCAAACTAAAGGATTAAAAGAACAGAAATTTTCTTTTAATGTTGGGAATTTATGGATATGGTAATAAGCAAATATTCAAATAACTCATTGTTCCGATTCAATTAGTTTTGCATCTGCGCATCTTACCTGGGTTTGTGATGCAGCATCCAAAGACATAAAAGTGAAAGTAATAATTTTATAGATCACTGCTTTATGCAATAAAGCAAATTTCACAAACATATTTCTTGAAACATCATGGGAATGAAATGATTACCTTCTCTCTGTATGTCACTTTTTTAATATTAATATATACTTACATACCTCACAAAATAATCTTATTTTCATTGGATATATCCATTACATCCCTATGTATCACCAACGAGGTCGACAAATAAACAAAAAAAATTATAAAAATCTATTAAATATTTCTCTTAGTACTCTAATATAAAATATAGTTTGTTCTAATAATATATCTGTGACAACGACAAACAATGAGACGTAGAGAATCCTTATTTTTATCGTGAAATCGACTATATTTGCATTATTATAAATGATACCTGGCTACAATTATAAGTATACATATATATATAAAAAAAATCACTAGTTTTATATATATATATACTACAAAAAAAATATATATAATTTTACTATCTTCATGAAACTATATCTCTATTTAATAAGTATCCGTCAAGGTATCATTAGTTTTAAATAAGTTTATGGGAACTGTATAATTTCATTTATTCGCTAGTTTTTTTTTTTTCAACACGCTTGATATGGATGTTAGATGTGCTAATTCTACTTTCGCGTATCAACGATGGTAAAACTTGTATACTATAAAGTACACTGAGTACTGTTAAGTATACCCCTGATATCACAAGGCTCGTTTTGTGCAAAAATAGTAATACTTAATTCTTTGAATCTTACAGTGCATAGCAGCCTATATATATATATATATATATATATATATTAATGGCTTTTATAAATATGCATCTTCTTTAAACGATATAACCGCATCTATACGAAATACATATACGCAGTATATATATATATATATACTACATATACATACACACACTTACGTATCTTTATGTAACTAAACTCGCTTTTCATTCTACTATAAAATGTGTATTCTCGTTTAGAGAAAGTTTGGCACTTCCTTTGGCAATCTGAACTGCTTGCATACATTTCTAACATCTTATTTTGATATCTGTCTCATTTTCTGGATATAAATATGTTCCTCGTGTATCTTTATATGTCTTTACTTAAGTTGTTATTTGAAAAAGTGTGGATTTTCTACCAATCATTCATTCGTAGTGATTCTAAATTTTAGTACATACTACTATACCAATGCTATTGTATATACGCGCGCATGTATATGTATGTGTGTACGTCTTACTTTTATAAGTTGTAATCACCAGTTATAAAACACTTCACAACAAATTAAGAATTATTTCTCTGCATAATCATACGACTAAAATGAAGTACGCAGTCGCTTTAAAACCTGTCCGCTCGAAAGTGTAAATGTAAGTAATCAAATATGCGTACGTAAATCTTAATCTACTCATCACCAATATCGTTTCAAGTGTATATTTTTTATGAAGATTCCTTTCTTCGAGAGAACGCTTCTCGAAGATGTGTTTAAAAGCAATTGTTATCTAGTCCAAGAATCAGAATGCTGTTCGGCCTTCTGGTTGTTACTGCCATCTTCCTGAGTGCTCGGACTAGACGATAATCTGATGGGTTTGATAGACTTCAATTTAGTGGTTCCGCCGTACCGGAAATTCACGTCGCTGCACGTGTCTAGCGGATGTACGGTTCCTGTCAAATTCGTCAACGAGTCGTTGCCTGTGACTTCCAATTTGCTGGTGGGCACCTTCTTCACGGATCCTAATTCGTAAGCTGATTTCGATACTTTCAACTTGGCTTTTAATGGTAGTGATATCGATTTCTCTAAATTGGTTGTTGGAACCTTTAAGTTATGTTCATTCTGAGGAACCGGATTATTGGCCAAATTCATAGTGTCTGTAATTTGAATATCGATGTTGACTGTCTTCGGATCGTTCTCGTCATTGTTACCTCTTATCGCTTGCTCGGAGTATTCGTTCCTGAGAGCCGCTAATTGCGCCCGTTGTTTCTGTATATGGTTGTGCGAATTTGAAAAGAATGAGGAGCTTTTCTCAGATTTCGTTGCCAAATTGGGTTGGCTTAAAGTCGACTTCAAGGGATACGGTGGATCGGCTATGCTATTACTCCTCAAAAGATTCTGAGATTCTCTTCCGGTAGAATTACTTTTTATCATTCTATATTTATTATCCTCGATGAGTTTCAAAGGATGCGATTTGATTCCTGCACTTCGTCGTTTCTCAACCATGCTCAATTGTGTAATTATCCTACGGACATCGCCCGGTACGTCGATGTCGGAACGCGTATCTATTAATTGTTGAATGAATGCGCCTAATGTTGTTATCGTTACTTCGAAACTGCGATTTTGAGACTCGAGTTTATGGGCTATTGATTGCTGCATTGTACGTGTCGTTTCCATTACTTGCAAATTACTCAGGGTGATCTGTAATACAATTTTAAACATTAAAATAATCAAGCACAAAATGAGACGAATTAAAAACGTCTGAAATTTTTATAAAAGATGAGATCATATTTCAAGTACGTTTTAAATAAATTATGAATTTATTTTATTTCTATATTAAATCTTCCTACACTGCTACAAATTTTTCTACTACTTTGTACCTCGAGTTGTTCTCTTAGTTGTGCAACTTCTTGCGTGAGTTGCTGGTTCATTAATGTGAACTTTTCTAATTTTTCCATTTTCGGTTTCATCCAGAACACTTCTTCTTGAAGTACTCGGTACTCCACTTTGTACTCGTTCAATTGTTTTGTGATTTCCGAATCGGGATAAAATACGCGTTTCATCACGCGATCTAAGATTTGCTTGTCTACCGCTGGTATATTTGTCTGAGATCAGAAATAGGACCATATATAGTAATGATATCCATATAAATATCTCTTATTCTTGATACTTTAATCAATAATAACAACTAGGACATAATTTTACCTTGAAATACTCCATAATCCCTTCAAAGCTATTGCGAGTTAACAATTGATCTTGATGTTCTTCTAATAATGCAACCGACACACGAAAGAGAACTTCAGAGCTTTCCAGAAAAAGTAAGTCTGCAAAAGGTAAAAAGGGAGATTACAGAAAATATTAAATTACAACTTATTGTTAGACACACCTGACTATGTAAGTCTTACCGAAAACTCTAGTTACAAAACCCAGAGGAAACTGGCTGGCGAACAGAGTTAAAAACCATGGAGTGGCATATAAAGTGGGCGAAACATCGTGTTTCTCAAAATAATTATAGATAGTTGGTAACCGGTCGTGTAGCAGTCTAGAAAGTTGATACAAGTGCAATTGCAACGCTGACATGTCTGGCAAATATAGTTTTCTGAGTCCTCGGCGAAACATTAGATGCCGCAACAAGAAGAAGGCTTGATCTTCTGGCATCTGATGAAGAAAAACAATACTTCGTTCTAACTGAAGCTTAATTATTACGTTGAAAATTATAATATATATGTTTACTTGTTGTACTTACATGCAAAAGAAGCACTCCAGCGACGAAGTTTAAACCTTGGCAATAACCAACTTCGCAATCTAACAACGAGTAGGCTTTCAACAAGTTGAACAGCTCTAACTGTCCCGGAGGACGAGTGTCCTCCATGGGTGAACTGAAATACGGATGGCCTGGGAATGTTCTTTCCAGATCAATCGAAATTGCATGATCATAAGGTGTTAGTTGTTTTACGAGTAACTTATAGGGTGTGTTATAATATGGGAAGTCTTGCGTGTCTATAGGCGGTTGCTTCAAGCAGAATTGTTCGGCTAGAAAATGCCAAACCTCACCTCTCTTTCCTTTTGGTACACCTGTTATTAAAGAAATGTATTGATTGTAATTAGAAAATTTTGACGGAATAATTTTTAAATCTTAAGAATATCATGTTTCGATCAGATATTTCTTTTTTCTTCTAATTACCTTGCTTGACAGCGTGTAAAAGCATTTGATTATCACATTTTGTAGATATACGCGACTCTTTATTAACGCAGAGGTCCCATATTTCTACTGGATAGATGCAGCTGCTGAGCTCGTCATATTCCAATTTATTTCTTTTTACCGTTGCCTCCTCTTGACGTTCTAAAATTTTATAAGAAAATTTAAAATTTAAAATCGTATCGCGCATCTACAGTACGATTTACTTTCTACAAATGGAAACATTTCTTTACCGTTGAGTTTTGCATTCTCTTTCTCCATTCTGATAAGCATCAGTTGTTGATTAATTGCTTTCTTCCATAAGTCTCGCAATTCCTGTTTCGTTCTGCGTTTAACGGGCATCTCTGAACTTCCAATAGTACCAACGTCTACAATTTCCTTGATGTTGCAAGCTTTATTCGGCGTTACAACTTTGTTTAGTATCGTTTGTCGCCATGAGCTATTAGCTGGAATCGTGTTCCCGTCAGTCTCCGTGGGTGATGTTTTAGGTGAATTACCGACTTTGAAAAAGCTACAAGGAATAAGCCCACAATTGTACAAAGACGATGGATAGAACGATATTAAAAAGAAGTTGCTCGAAAGCTGAAATACGCTAGAATAGAATTACTAAGTACTAACATATCCATCATAGAATTCTTCGAACCATTCTTCAGAAATGTTTGTTCGGGAGAAATGCGCAATGATTTTCGTCTACTCATTTCCGGCGAAGTGCCCAATACAGGTGACTGTCGCGAGTTGTCTGGGCTCTGACTGTCATTTTTTTGTATTCCCGTGCCAAGATGACTTGCATCCCTCAAATGAGTACCCAAACCAAAATCGTCACGGGAACCTTTCCTTTTCATAAAATTGTCGAAGCTATTCGCTAGAGAACGCGCCTTCTTGAACATCGTGCTGCCCACACCGACGCTTAGGTACTGATTAAGAAATTCACTTCTGCAATGTGAAATATGAAGCATTATATAGAAACGTCATATTCGCAGATTACGTTTTGATTTAAGAGCGTAGCGTCAATAGAGAATCTGTATTTATGTGTATATATTCACTTTGGCGCACGTTACCTATTCTCAGCCGTATCGTGTACGTGTCTCGCTTGTTTTGCCTCGCAATGAGCACGCAACAGTCGCATTAAGAATTGATTTTGTTCTTGGAGATTCAAGGAGCTCGCACCGACGTTACCCGCAGCCTCGGCACCTTTAAACTTGTTCACAACAACTTCCTGCTCATCCTCCGGTAATAATTCCATACGCGAAAATATGATATTTTGTACTTTTCTATCGCTTTGTCCTAAGAATATTAATATCGTGTCAAAACTACGAGATTACCGACTATCTCCGAAATGCGATTAACAACAATCACTTTACCTTTGATTTCTTGATTTAACTTGTTGTACCAGTACATAGGACAATGCTCGCAAGAAATGACAGGATACCTTCCTTTCCTCGTGATATCGCAGATCGCAGCGGGGGTTTGTGTAATCGCTGTAAAGAAAATTAGAAAAATTATTATTAACATCATTAAATCGAAGCTTTATCGGTGAAAAATAATCGCTCATATTTTATTTTATGCTACAGATTCAAATATCTTACCTGCCACAATATCATCCGCAACTGATATGGATTCGCATTTGAAGATATGTCCGATGAAGTAGTCCGATTCTTTGCAAATAAATCCAAAGTGATCACGATTTTTTATACCTTGCACACAGTTGACCACATCTTTTAATTGCTTCTTCAAAACTGGCTGTTTTGTATTCAGGCTAATCAATATTAGATCGCATCGCCCTATCTAAAATATGAAATTAGATTTTAGAAGATAAATCTGAGAAGCTGCAAATATGTATTTTCATCCTTTCTAAACTGTAAAACAATGGCTTATTATATTCAACCTGAAAGAGCATAGCGCGATTGTTATCGTTGGTCTTAAAGGCAGAATCCCTTCTGCCAGTTAAAACACTGCCGGTAGACGCCGCGCGATTTCGCATAATTTCAGGTACGGTCACGTTAGAATTAGAGGAAGACTCGGAAGTCCGATTATCGTTGCGATCATCGTTTTCCACAGGGTTGGCGTTTGTTCTTGGAAAAGTTTCCGCGGAGCCACTTAAAACTGGCGCAACTCCAAGGGGATTCACGCATGGAATTGTATTATTCCCCGATACATTTTCGACACTCCCTGATTCACTGGCGGTAGATTCCTAAAAACGTAATGGTAAACTTCGCAGTTTAGCGCAATTTGCTTGGCAAAAAGCCAAGCACTCATTTGTTTGTACTAGTTACGTAATTAATCGATACGTATAAAAATAGATACTTTTTTTGCGCTAAACTATCTCTCATTAAAGAATTAAAATTTTTGTAAATTTTCAATTTTCTTATGTTTCTTATATCAAACGTATTCTGACCTGTTGCATTTTTAAGACAAGATTGATTATTGATTGGGAAATATTCTCACCGTGCTATTCCTCCTATTAATGGAAGATGTCAAAGCTTGACGTTTTAACCGTTGACAATCTGACAGGAGATTACCCGTCGATGATCTCGATTTCTCGAGTTCGTGAATGCGAAGTCTTATCAAGGTATCGTCAATGAACGATTCCGCTACTTTCGGGAGCGATAATTTTATTTTGCCAACGTAAAGTACCTAAAATACAAACATAGCAAAAATCTCAAGATTTTTTAAGTTGGAACCGCTGAAAAAGAAAACGGATATACATTTGTTTTACTAATTTCACTTGAAGAGTACCAAAATGTTTCATAATTAAAATATAAGATAATAAGAACTATGAAATTTGATTTTTCGCCGTACGTGACTATAATGTCGCAAAGAGAAAGAAACATGAAGATAGAAATAAACAATTACCTCGAAGAATTGAGAAGAACTGGGAGACAAATCGGCATGTATAGACGTCGTTAAGCTAGCCGCACTGCTTTGTGATCGTTGCGGCAAGTCCTTATCTCTCTCCATCCGTTGGGCTGCCGAATGTTCCCTCATGTTTCTAGAGAACTGTAACATAGTCGTCATGAAGAAATTGCAACCGTCAGCAGTACCTGCTACTATGTATGTAAAAACCGCTAGGAGGAAAAGAGAAAGAGAGAAGGTTCGCAGAAAGAAATAGGTGTAACTTCTTCGCGATTTGCTCAACTCGAGCCAGATATTGTCTAATTTGACATAAAATTTTAGCAGGACAGTATACATTATTTTCTACAAACGACGGCAGGAATCAACATACTATGATTATCGTTCAATGTTACACTATAGACAATTATTTCCTTCGGTCGTTCTGTTTCTTGCCCATTAGTTCGATCACGATCAAGAACAACTTCACGCGGAAAAGTTCATCGAGTACTGTCGGAGAACTTCTGTCGTTATTACTTTATCATCGAGTTGCGACGCAAGTGCAAATTCGCGTTTGTGTTGATCTTCGGTGCAGTTTCGCGCGACGTGGGAAGAAGTGTATTCCCGCGGGAAGAAAGTCCAATCTAGAAATAATACAAACTGCAACATTTCGCGCGGCTCGACCATTGATATATCAAGCGGATTTCGCAAGGAAACGTGCACGAAACGTGGCCGATGGCCGTGGACCGAAATAACTCATTTGAGCGGAGCACTCGTGGACTGCTTGGCTCTCAATCTCCGTCTTTGTTTCTATCTCTACTTCTCCTTCTTCCTCGTTTCTTCCCACGTCCCACATCTGCTGCTCATCGTGCCCGCGAGTTTGTCACGCTTCGCAAGGAGGGTATTTTAATTTTACTCCTCTCCCTCTCTGGCATACATAATAATAACGAAGCATCGCGAAATTTATGATTGAAGCGAAGTCAAAAAAGAAATTAGGGCAGAGAGATCGAGAATAACGGTAGAACCGAGTTTGAGAAATTTAACGCGAGCAGTACGGGCGATACAGCTTGAAATTCATCTCCAGGAAAGGACATCTCCAGAGAAAAATTAAATCGCGAGTAACGAGCAATATGAAGAGAATCGTGAAGAGAAGAAAATAAAGAGGAGACACTAAGGAACTTCTCAGAGACCCGACTTTTGCGCGTTCTAAAGCCAGATCCCTTATTTTCCCTTCGTGCAATAATTTTCACGCACGTGTCCCATTGATTTTCCGCTCTTGTATAACATTTCGTCAATCATCCTCATTAGCCGTGCAAGGATGGAAAAGCTGGATGAGTCGCTCGTTCTAAATCACTTTTTTTCTCGCATTCAACGTCGCTGGCGTGAGGCTTTGCATTCATCGTTGCGACAAACATGGGATCGAGCGCGACATAATTTTCCTAATGAGTTCTTGCAGTCAATAAGCGCATAATAATAAAAAATTATAGGGAGGACGGACGGGAAACAATGCATGGCATGGGCATGCATTATACTCATGACAATGATGAAAACATCTGGTTCGTCTGCAATGCTAATCATAAATCTCATCGGAGAGCCTCCGATCGCGAGGTCACGGGGGAGGGGGGGGTGTCCGTGACGTCGCGGAACGATTTGTGAGAGAGTTATCCCGCGACAGCCATGAATATTCGACTATACGTTGGGAAAGCTCGCCAGTTTAGTGACACAGTATGCAACGTCGTTAATAGAGGGGCTTCTCGTATCCAATTAAGGCACGTGCTTTACTTTATTATGTCCCCTCCTGTGCTTCCGCAAACTTGTACACCATTATCGACACCCGACAGGGAGAGAGAGACGCCACGCACACTCACTCGTCCAGACCTTGTTACGTTCATTGTCTTGTTATGCAACATCGAAAACATATCGATCATCAGTTCGAGCATCAAGTTGCAGAAGCGATCGCGGTCGCGGTTGATCTCGAATCTCTCTAATAATACAATTAGAAATGAAACTCGTATATATTTCTCATATTTATTTAATATAATTCGTCTTACGATTTCGAGATATAATTTATAGGCGAATCAATAATGCGTGATTTTCAGATATAATTTACAGGCGAGTCGATAATGCGTGATTTCTCGAGTATTAACATTTCCACGCTGTATCGCGTATGATGCATCGAAATTGACGCTTCGACGCCTCGCGATGATGAATCCTAAATTTCATGAAAAACTCAGCGTTGGCCACTCGGGCGGATACGCTGTTGGTACTTCACTTTCGCGCAAAAGTCACGGCTATATTTTTTTTTCTCGATAAGACACCGATTCTTCGCCCTCGGCTGAAAATAGCGCGTTCGGCTCTGCATGCGCCGGTGCTATTTTCTTCTAGGCACTTGGCACTTTGCGTGCGTAGAAGCCCATACGCTCGACTTTGTCTCTGATCCCAATTGATCGAATTAAATTCGTGGTATACGTCACCAGCGAGGATGCACGAATCGATGTCGTGCGCGCGGCGATTGGATTCACGTGCGGTAGGGCAAACTTAATGCGTGCGTGAAGCCGAGTTTCGTTTCAATTGAGACGATTGCTGAAGATACACGGTCGCTCATTTACGGACGTATTTCTGCTCAAGGACGTGCGCGGCGCAAATTGTGCGCCTTCGGAAATTTCTTATCTTTATCAACATTAAGTGCGATTCGCGATCAGACGTCGAGCGAGTCGCTGTCGGAAAAAGAGACGAACGCATCTTCTCGGGAGTATCTTCTCGATCATATCTCACAATAATTACACGGTTGAATTGTCGCTACTGTGAGCCCGATCCTGAAGAAATTTGCGCGATAAGCAAGGTGACCCTCTTAATAACCGCTGACACGGCTCGTTGAACACGTTAATGTTGGTCTTCCTCTTTCGTCGTGTGTACTAAGCCAGAAATTTTTTTTTTTCAGATTAACATAGTGCTTCGCGAGCACTCGTAGTCGTCAGGGAGCTTAATTTTAGTCACCTCCATTAGTCTCAAACAAACGTGCACGAGGGATCAGCGAGGTGTGTCTCAGGGTCACAACAAGCGACAAAAAGCTGCGTTAAACGCTGATATATCGAACGACATTTCGAGGCGGTAATGTGGAGGGAGTAATTTAGAACGGCGTGGATTTGGCTTTCGCGTTTCGATTGTGCACGATTATTATGCATAAATGCGGTGGTAAACAAGGGAATTAGAACAGTTAAGATCGAATCTTTCCCGCAGACTCGCAACTGCGATTTATCACGATTAATTCTGCGTGTAACACGAGCGTACGTTACGACCACAGAGTTACAAAGTTGCATTCCACGTGGCGGCGTAGGAAGCGGCTTTTTGCGCGGTTGTAATTATACCGTGCGCCTTGAACAGTGTGTTACGCGATCGGTATTTTATTCTCGCGAATGATTGTACCATTATATATCGCGAGCGACATTCTGCAGCTGATGAAGGCTCGTAACACTAAAAGTCCGTTGACAATATCGTATTGCACACAAAAGAAGGGGGACGGGGGCCGAAAACGCGGGAACTCAAAATACTCCTGGTGCAAATCTTCCTCCGCTGCGTGTGGGGAAGAATCATTATTTTTCTCTCTCCCACGAACGACCTCCGGCTTTATAACGCCTCATTAGCAATCGCGCTGAAAGCACGATGATTATGTAAATGTACACACACACACACACGAGAATAACAACATATCAATTATTAATGACGAGCGGTAATAGGAAATGTGTGTCACTTTCAACCGACACCCGGTGCGCGTGTCCATTAAAGCGGAATTCCCGGTTTCTTTCTCCTTTTTCTTATGTAGAAAATGTACGAATATAGAATTTCATATCATGAAAAATATCGGTAAGTATCGTTTAAGAAACCGTGTCGATCTCGAGCAAAGACTTACGTGACCAATCGCGTTAAACAATCGCGAGATTCTTTCATTTTTTTTTTCAATAATTTCCTGTTTACGTCGAGGCTATCTTTCTTTTACGGCCGATTTCTTTTACGACTATGCGGAAATATCTGTGTCGTGGTGAGAATAATTAAAATTAATTAGAAGCGAAAGGCGCAGATGGAACATCTGGTCTTAGAGTAAACTTAGGTCGATTATTCACACGATTAATTGCACACGGACAGCTTGTTTCAATCCTTTCGCGGGTGGAGACGAACTTTCACTCGCAAGTTGGACGCTCAGCTTGAGGATTCCATTCGATTTGCGACGATATACAGCGCGCAATTTCACGCGATAAAGACTCTCACGAATACATCAAGTTAAACGCCGCATAAAATCTCTTTGGAACGTGTCACGGAGCATCAAGTTCAGAAAACAGTAATGACTTTGTTTACAAGTCATCACGTATTATAAATACGCTCATTGTAGCGGCACAATTCATATAATTATCACAAATAAGCGTGTCAACTCGGCTTCCTAGAAAGCTTCCTAGAAGAGATATACACACAAAGTGACACGGATATTAATATTACGCAAAGCTTATTCCAGTCGTGAGCAGCGAAGTGATGAATAAGCGGACTCGCCTGTCGCGCCTCGATTTCGCGACGATTACCGTTACCGAGATATAAAACAATGTGAAATGCAAATACACGTCGAAGAGGAACGTGTCTAACGAGTAACCGTGTGTTTACACGCCTCTCGTTATGCAGACAGTATACAAGATTGGAATATATCCCGGAGAAGCAGAAACGAGAAATATACAGACAGACGATACTAAATATTTCATGCGAGATCCGTGGGGATCTCGCGCGTGATTCTCGCGAATAAATTAAAGTCGGAATTAGAATTAGATGTGGCGAAGCTCTCTGGAGGATCTCTCGGCGACGACGTAATGTGTCGCGTACGTGAACGACGGAGATCCGTCGCGGCGGCGGATAATACGAGCGAGCTCGTGGAAAAAAAACCTGCTCGCCACCGGCTTGTCGTCATTTGCATACACGGTAAACACGAAGTTAACGAAACGAAAGAAAGAAAAAGAGAAAAAAGATGACACCTCGCCTGTGGCGCAGTATCTCTCAATATTCTTTGCGCTCACGAGCCCCCTGGTCCGGTTTTGTTCCTGGTCCTCGGTTGCTTTCCACTTTTGCCTTCGCGGCGTCACCCCAGTTCGCCACCCGCATCGCATCCGCTCGATCGATGTCGAGAGCGAAGCGAGACAATCGCTCGGCCAAGTCACTCGGAAATTCATTCCATTGTGTTCCATTTGTCGCTCTGCGCATTTTCTTCTTTTATTTTTTTCTTTTTTTTTTTTACACGTGACCCCGTGAAAGTACGGCCGCCTCCGGTCGGTTGCGAGAAGAGGCCATATGGCTCGCATGTTGATAACCGCGTTGCCGCGGCATGACGGTAAATTAATACTCTGATCGTTCAATTATTCGATCATTTCGTCGTAAGGTCGCTGTTCGCGTTATTACCGTGTTTTCCTGTCCCTCGGCACACGAGGATCGCTTGAATTCTCGTCACGAGCGCAATCAGATATGCAGCCGGTGCAGCCTCAGTTGCTCGCAATAATTGATGCGCACCAAGTCAACGCGACGATAACGCCGGACTCGCAAATTTCGCCTGGGACGACTTCGGAAACGCAGACGGATACGAGCGACTCTCTTTTCCGTTTTATTTGTTTCTTTTTTACGATCGCTGTCACTGTCGCACGTGTCCGCTCGTTACACGTACGACGTGGTGGAACCGTCATGTAAACGTCTTTATAATTTAATCAAGCCCGCACGTAAATTACGTCTGGAAAGTTGCCCCTTTCTCTGTTTCGTCTCTCCATTATTTATTTCCGATTTCCTGATTGCTTTCTATTTGGCGTTCTTTATTTTTTCGCGCTGCCCCGTCGAATCGTACGAACAATTGCGAGCAACTGCAACGTTAAATAGTCGATGGAAGGAAAATAGGATGATCCATCGCGGTTGCAGAGAAGAAGAATCTTCAAGGAGCTTCCGCGCGTACGAGCGTGTCACGTGAAAAATATCCACGTGAAATTATTTCCTTCTCAGAATCGTCGACGGACCTCTGCGTTTTGCCGAGGCTGGTCAAGCTTCGGCCGTCCGGAATTTCCCCAGCGAATAAAGGCGATAAAAAGAAAACCTGAAAGCGGCACTTGGCCGCGCTAATGCGCGGCGTTAAACGTGCGGCGAGTTGAATATGCAAGCGCGTGGAAGAATGAGTGACTCGGTAAAGAAGCCTTCGGGCCTTCTGTCGCGAAGGAATCGGAACACGGTCAGTCAACGGTTGCTGGCAGGCTGTCGGGGATTTCGTGTCGTTTGTCCGCCGATGTAAATTTAGATCGCTGTATGCCCGGTTTCGCGAAAATACGCCTTTCCGCCGACGAGAGGAAGGAAGGAAGGAAGGAAGGAAGGAAGGAAGGAAGGAAGGAAGGAAGGAGGGAGGGAAGGAAGGAAGGAAGGAAGGAAGGAAGGAAGGAAGGTAAGAAGGGCGGAAGGAAGAGACGACATAATTCCATCGGCAAACCAACAGAACATGAATCCTCGAAATTCCCTTCCCCCCCCCCGGTGGAGGGAAATTCGAAACTTTTCATCGTGCTCTGGTCTGATAAGTGGAAATGAATTTTCGCGTTAAAAATTAATTTCGCGTGACCCGCAACCACGTGAAAAAGGACGCAAGTCAAAATGAAGCAAAGTCGAAATGAGTCACAATCGATAAGAATGTTGTTTCCTCGATCGCGATTCTCCCTCGGGTTTTTCAACCACTGTGCGCTCGTGAGCACGCAAAAAGCGTAAACGCCGAAGCGTAATTCGCTTGCGAACGCGCATTTTCGCAATTTCCCCGTGGCTTTTCAGAACACGCCACTCGAGCACGCGTGATTGTCGATCCCTGGCGACGACAAAGCGGCCAGACGAGCGATAATGACCTCGGGCAGATTTGTCGATAAGAAGCGAAGGTGGCGAATATACATCGGGGAAAATTAATAACGCCGTCGTACGCCGTGACGTATCGGGCCGACGACGAGTTCCGCACGGTTGCACCGAGTTAGCTTTAATTAACCCTTTGTGGCGCGTGTCGTCAGCAATTACAGCGAAATTTCTCGACGTCGTGGTCGGGATGCATAGGTAAACGTCTCGGGGTTCTCGCTTGACTTTTCCCCGGATGATTCCTCCTGACTGTATCTTCACGCCACGACAACGACGAGCGACAATCCGCGACTTTCCACGTCTCCTCCGCATCGCGGTAACGATAGAAAACGAAATTACGTAAACGACTTGAGCACGGCTTGTCCACGGCCGAACGAACGAACGAACGAACGAACGAACGAACGTCTCGCCGAAGCATGTAGTTATATAGTTTCACTGAAACTATCAATGAGACGAGTGCGCAGTATGTTGTTATCTACCAGACGCGCTTACGTAATTAGAAAATTTACGTAATTCAAAATACCGGTGACATATGACATCAATGGCGAGCGCAACTACGAAGATGATGAAGAAGATGAAGAAGAAGAAGAAGAAGAAGAAGAAGAAGAAAAAGAAGAAGAAGAAGAGGAGAATGACAAGACGGCTGTGCTTGTGACTTCGTTCGGGTGCCAAAAAGCGAACGACACGCGGCGCGTGCAAGCGAGCGATTTTTCAAAATTTTGCAGCCTCCAAGGACTCTCTGGGGACTCACCAAGGACGTTTTAGCGATCGCACTGGCGTCGCTGTAGGACGTGGCTTTCACGTAAGGACTGGAGCTCGAGATCGGCACGGTTATCATCTTGACTCCTTCCGAATTCTCTCCGTTGCGATAAGCCTTCAAAGCTTTATTTGCTCGACTTCATATGGATTTAATTTGCACACTCTGACGCACTCAGAGTTCCTCGGTCGGCCGGTTTGCTGCGTGTGTTTGTTCAACAAGTGGATAACATAATTTCAAGTCAGCCGGGTGTCCAGGTGTCGTCGACCCTACGCGGACGGGACGTTTTTCGATGCCGAACGCGGTTTTCTCCGGCGAGAGTTCGGGATTGTCGAGCGTGACATTCGCGTCGTATCCTTCCGCCGAAGTGACTTTCCTCCGTCGCTTCGATCACTTCCCGTTGAGTGCCTTCGACGACGACTGCTACTGATATATAGCTGCGAGTCCTCTGACGATTACGGAGCACGTCGAATATCAACGTCGAAGCACTCTCGAGACCTCGAACCTGCAAACCAACTGCATGAGGACGCGCAATTGGGTGAAAACCGAATGCCGATGAAAGAAACGAGATTTCACTCAAACGCGGCCTGAACGCAACTCGTTTCGCTGCTCGATCGCTCTGGTTTATCGACGACGACGACGACGACGACGACGACGACGACGACGACGAGTGGCCGATAACGTCGGAGTATTCAGCCAGAAACCAGAAAGTAATAACGCCAGAGATCGAAGCGATGAGCGACTCCGAAGTCGGGATTACGCCCGTCGTAAAATTTGCTTTTCATCACTGCGCTTTCTGGCGCTTTCTGGCAGCGTCTCACACGGGGCCGACGCGTTCGCGACGATAAAAAGCCTAGGTGCGCTTACTCGCGATCTAACACGCTTCTTCTTCTTCTTCCCCGCGGCACTGCGAGACGTTGTTTTCGCCGTTCGCGTTAGACCGCGTTACGTCGGACGTCGCCTTCGCTGACGGCCGGGCAAACATAGACTGACGTGTTGGAGCGCGGCAACGCCACGAGACGAATGAACCTCTCGATTGTGTGCTTGGTGTGTGCTGTGTGTGTGCTGTCAGGTACGCGCGGCCCCTGCTTAGCATGCCCAATATTCCCCAAACGTTTTCATGTACGTGGATTCAGTGGCGTAGCCACCGGTCCCGAGCGAGAGCTCGGGGAATACCCCAGCTTGAGCACCACGGCCAGATTTCAGGCCAGATTCCTTGAACTTGAACGGGAAGAGGAGATGATTAGCTCCAAGGTGGATCCTGGTGTGTTCGAACAGCAGAGACGACTAATGAATGTGACTCGAGACATCCGCGAACGACGAAACTTGACGCGACGAAGAAAACTGCACCTCACTTTAACCGATCATCATCGGTCTTCGACGACTGACGAAGTGTCGACGGAGAGTAAACCTGGCGATTGTTCTGCGCATTCTACGCCGAAGATTCGTGTTTTCGATGTATTTAAATCCCCGTGGTCCTTTCAAGCACTTAAAAAGATTGTGGAGCACCACATGTGTGTGTGTGGTTACTCTCTCGGATCATTATGACTGTCCTGGTGCAAAAGATACTCAGGTAATCAAGGGATGAGGAAGACGATAGTTTCCATAAAAAGGAGCCGAGATTCAAAAGGACTCGTAAGCTCGGGGTTTTTGAATGCTTGCCGTCTCGGATAAAAGATCGCGGAATGCACGACTCCTCATTTCAATAAGAAAAAGTGTTGCATCTCATGAAAATAAGATTTTTGAGATAAACGACGAGGGAAAGAGAGAAATGGAAAGTGAACAAAATTCGAGATAGATTTTTATGAGAACAATCATGAATGTACTCTATGATCTAAAACGGATACGCGTATTTTAATGAGAGAAGTGTCAGCGCGATTTTACCATTTTACCGTCAGTCAGGGAACCGCTCCTCCACCTCCTCCTCCTCCTAAAATTTGTTATTTTTTCTGATAATGACCGGTCGAGATTTTACAGCGTCGTAAATGCCAAAGAATATTAGACTCGTTTGTTCGTCGATACCGGTTTTCATTTTCTGCCGTGACTTCGCGGATCCCTAGGTAAGCGTAACTAACTAAGCGCGCGAGATCTGAGCGTTATCGTACGTCCTGTCGCTTATGCGGCAATCCGCCGTGTGATTTATATGCTATTATCACAGCGATATTTCTTTCGTAAGCGGAGATGAGGCGTCGAGGCGACGTATAGCGCGCTCTCGCACTCGTTGTAAGGTTGCACGCTGTACATAATCGATATGCATACGTGCGCCGCGCCGCGCCGCGCCGCGCCGCGCCGGCCGCCGTGAACGACCGGACAGCTCGGGGAATCGAGCGGCTGTCCGGATCGAAATAAGAATACCGACGCCTGCCAGTGAGTGAACCATGAAAGGTCCTTTCGTGTCTTTTTCTCGCGTAATTGCGTAAGTCGCACTCGCGATAATTGCTGTTATTGCTCTTACGCGCCGACGGCGAAGGACACGCAGCGCGTCATTTTTAGTGGCTTATACGGCCGATGTTAATGAACGCTGCAACGGATGAATGACTCCGAGAGAGCCTATTACGCGGTATTAACGAGGAAAGTTCAGAAAAGCCCCTTCCAAGGCTCTCGCCTCAAATACCTTCAATGTCTAACCGATCTTTCAACGAAATTCGAATATCTTCTAGCGTTTATTACTCACTGCTCTCTTTCTGCTTCATATGATTGATCGTCATAATTTTTCAGGCCGATTATAACAACAGTTTTTACACTATCGCCTTGATTATTGACTTTTTTTTGGTACATATTCTCTCTGCACTATTGTTTAGCTTTCTTCTCCTTTTTTATGGGACCAATAAAATTATTATCTCTTGGATAAGTTTCGTTTTTATTTTCTCACTGATAATGAGTGGAGGCAATTTTGTGGTGTATTTTATCGCTTCATTTCTTGCTCGTTAAAACATATATATATATATATCCCGAGGCGAATTTTTTTTTTTTTATGAAAATGGTACAAGAAACTGAATCTTATAATTTCTTATAACATACTTCTTGATAAGTTCTTCTTGATAGTTACTTCTTGATAGTTACCGCGTAGTACACGATATATTATATAACGTGACCAGGCGAAAGAGTGCAAAATCGCCGGAGGAATTAACATTAATAGTTTAGTAAAAAAGCAAATAAAAAAAAAATAACGACGTTCCAAGAGGAAAATTCCAAGAGGGGTGTGGAGTTCTGTTTGGTCATGCGCGATGTCCGTAAAAACCGGAGCGGGACAAATGTCACCGGTAACAGCCAATAAGCTACGCCTACGACACATAATCGATATATGTATCAGATATCGATTAATATCAAACGCGGATAATACAAAAAGAGCGGATACAACAATGACATTGTGTACTCTGACGCGAGCTCATTGTCTTCACGTCAAGAGTTGTCTCCTCGATGAAGGCGAAATCAAAGTCACGGTCTCCGTGACGGTAAGGATCATGTAACCTTCGTTTACGAGTGAAAAACGTGAAGAACGAAAAGTTTTACGTGCGAACTCGATGGCCTCGCCATGAAATACGTAACCTTTGAAACAACAGAAATGTGAAATTTATCAGTTTCCAGGAAAAGGTTGCTGTTACCTCGCGAGAATTGTGCTTCGACCGACGAAGCTTCAATCGATAAGATCGCCAGTCGAAACAACGTGATTAGGACGATCGGAGACGATCGGAGACGCGAAAACCGCGCGTGCGACGATCAATAGCGTTTCGCGGGCAAATTGCGTTACGCGGCGAGGACCAGCTGGCCGCTGTGGATACTTTCCGACACTGAACATCTTGCGCAGAAACATCACGCGGAAGAATGCAAAAGCAGTCAATCGCCGCTAAGCCGGGCACGTATTTATTTCCGCGTTGACGTAGCAGATCTAATTTTACAGTACGTGCGAGAAGAGACACGCTATACAACACATGCTTATTATATCGCGATACGCGCTCGCGCTATCGCATAGACACTGACTCACTGCGCGATAGACGGCCGGAGGCGTTTCGATGAATTCGATCGCGAGCGACTATTGTGCGAAACATATGTGTGAAATATCTTGCTGATTAACGCACGCTCGCGCACACGCTCCCGCAAATCGCGTCTGGAGATATCGGATAAGACTAATCCCCCCACATCCCCGCTTTTCCTTCTCCGCCGAAAGTAGCGTGAACGCGCGTTCGCCCGCTTGCAACACAATCGCTTGCGCGATCGATTAACCTTCTCATTACTACTTTTTTTTTCTTTTCTCTTTTACCGCGCTTACATAACACCCAGCGTCGTATTGCGCGATGTTCTTTTTCCTCTTTTATCACGGTCGTTCTCGTCGTCCGTGGGGGGAACGTGTAATTTGGAATGCGCTCGATGCAGCGACGTTTCGGGGAAAATCGCGCGCGTTTGAAACGCCAGTGTGCACCGGCCGAGAGATTTAAAGAATACGCGATGCGCGTGTTAATGCGACGCGCGGAGCGCGAGTTGCACGTGCAGAATGTATAAAGTAACATTTCGCCCCGGCGGATAAACAATGGGAACTGACGGTTTATTTTTATTGTTCGCCTACTTCGGCTGTTTATAACTCATCCGGAGTTGTTTACACGTGAAAGAGGTTCAACGCGTACACACGCACGCACGCACGCACGCACATACACGCCGCGTGCGCGACACGCGCGTCTACCATCGATTCAGCTGATCCCTCGAGCGACACAGGTAACAGCGCCAAAAGGTAAAATAAATACAATAACTACGACGGACTAGCGTTGCATAACGCTCGGCCCGAATGTTTATTATGCGTAAACAGCTGTGTGACTAATAAAATTGTAAATAGCCGCGTATTAGCTCCACGCTCACGGACGGCACGCTTTGGTGCAAATACGAAATTCGCAAGTGCGAAAGACGCGCGAGTGAAACATCCAATGCACAATGTAATTTGATCCCCTTCTTCTCCCCCCTCCCCATCTATCAAAAGAGAAAAAAATTAAACACCTTTCTCTAAATGGAGACACACGAAAATACCGTCATCTCATGTGCGAAGTCGCGAAATGCGACGAATCTTCCGGAGAGATTTGCAATGTCAATTATTTTGTTGCAGATAACAATTTCCGAACGAGTTATTTGTCTTCGAATGATAACAAACACGATTCCTTCCGCTTCTTCCTCTCGTCGTTCTTTTTTCCTGAGAGAGTCTCAGGATCCTAAAATGCGACATGTGGTAAAATATATAATCCCAAGTTTCGTTGGTGTATATATAAAAATCGCGCGCGTATTACAAACGGTCGCGTTGACGTCGCTGAAAGTGACATTATAAGGTTTATCCTCTCGGCGTGTTCGGCAAGAAAGAGTGCCACTCACCGAAAGTGCGCTTTCTCGCTCCCACACGCTGCTTATCCAAAAATCAGCAACAACAGCAGCGACAGCGGCCTAAAAGTCGTGCGCTGCTGTTCTCAGTGGACTTTCACTGCGCGAGTTCGCGTGGAGAGACGAGGAGAGACAAGACGAGACGGGATGGAACGAAGAAACGCGCGAAGCACATTCGATTTAAAAGGCCGCGGCCGTTCGCGGTGATACACGCGGCGCAATACCGAGAGAGCGAGAGCGACAGCGAGAGCGAGAGCGAGATCGACGATTTCGCGAATAGCTCTACGATGCTAGTCGCGCGACAACAGCTAATGATCTGCGAACGATAGTCCTGGCGATCGTTAAGGACAAGCTTAATAATAGTCGTCGGCGTACCGACGATATATGACGCCGTCTGTGTACCACGATTGGCTATCCGGTGAGCGGCGATTTCTCGGCGATTGGCCACTTCGCACGTATATCGTGCGATCGCCGACGGCCAGGACCGTCGCGCCGATGAAATCGTGACCATTTTTTACCCAGGAATTACGCGTAACAAACGGTCGCACGTGCGATGAACGATGCAGCGTGACCGGCGACGGCGATATGCAGTGCAGTCGAGGAGAAAAATAAACGCTACTTTGTGTGTCACGGCGATTACATCGCGTGGAGGTCCGCAAATGTCCTTCTGATATGATTGTGATATTAATTTTTATAATAAAATAAAATAAAAATTACAATAATTTTCATAATATATCTTTGTAGGCACAAAGGACAGCTCTGGGAGAGCCGGTTTTCGTTAAGACGTAGTAGCCTCTCGGAGTGTCAGCGCACAAATTCCTTCGGTGTTTTCCCCACGCGTCTTCTGACACACCGAGGAGACATCGTTCGCACGTATACGCGCGAGAGCGTGTAATATATTGTTGCGTACGTGAGAATCTTGTTTACAAGTGAAGGTGCTCCTCACGCGCCAAGCGTCGCGAGAAGCTGCCTAATTTGTTGGCGGGGATCCACTCCGCGACGCCGCGATAACGAGCTCGTACTAATTATCGCGACTGTGAGGTCCCGCGGGCGCGCGATCGCTATCGCGATTACATCGCGATCACGTCGCGATCGTCGGTTGTGAAAACACCATTTCCTGTTTACGATGCGTTCCAGCCGCGAGACGCTGTGGTTATCGACTCGCGTGCGATTCTGCTTACGTCTGCGGCATATATGTATGTAAAAACATAACCTAATTTCGCCGAGCGGCGAAATCGCAGCGTGAACGCGAAGGATCAAGCTGCCTGAGTAGCCTTACCTTCTGGTGATGCGATTCTGGACGCCAATGAGTTCAGCACAACGAACGATTCGCTTCGTGTTCGCAGGAGTCCGCCCGAGGAGCAGGAGGTGGAGGACGACAATCGAGAAGACTAGAACACGGCAACCTCGTCCTTATTCACGTCGTCGTCTCGACGTCGATGCTCGCTCTCCTCCACATCGTACGCCGCATCTCATCGGCCGAGTTACGCGCGCTGCATCGGTGCATCGGTCAACGGATTCGCGGGTTCCCGGAGCATCACACGCGAAAAACGGGGTCTGTCGCGCGCGCGCGCGGATCAGTACGTGCATACATATGTCACCTGCGTAACACCGTCTGTCACTGACAAAACTGGCTGTTGCGATCGTTACGGAGGCCGACTTGCTTTTGTTTACCCACGGTCTGCTGTCGACAGTGCCGACTGTAGCGGTGAAGAGACATATGGAATGAGAAAGGAAGAGAAAGAAAGGAAGAAAGTAGAGAGAGAGAGAGAGAGAGAGAGAAGAAAGAGAGGTAGAGTGTTGCAGGAAAGAGTGGGGGAAAGGTGGGAGAGATCCTTTCGTAAGATGTTAAGAATACAACAGGTGGAAGACTTTATACTTTGCGGTTATTAGAAGATAAATAGAAAGATCAAAGCTTCTTTTTTTAAATACATGTATCATATTTTCAATATAAATAATATTTCAATACAAAAATTGGAGAACAAAATTGAGAGTTCAACAGCCGCCATTTCTCATTTAACTCGATATATTGTTGAGGTAAACGACAGTAACGTTATGAATTTAATGTCTGGGAAGAGCAAAGACTTTAAACTTCAAGATATCTCTTGAACCATTTCGCTATTGTCATTTTCGTTAAAGTTTTAGTCTGTTAAATGTTTATATTTCAATATGAGTATATATTCCATTAGCCTTTGAGTCCTACTACTAGAAAAATGTTAAAGCGCCCGACCTATTGTTGAGTCGAATCCTTAATATGTATGGTGGCGACTCATAGCGGAGACTTTGGGATTAAAAGTGGACGTCTCTCTCTCTCTCTCTCTCTCTCTTTCACTTATATATTCAAGATTCGAATATAGTTAACCAAGATTCACACCACGTTTAACCGAGACACAAACCTTGGGTGAGACGTCGTCTTTCAGTTCAAAAGTCTCCGCTATGAGTCACTACCATACTTGTTAACGAATTGAACAATTCAAAAACTGGTCAAACGTACTTTTCTCTCATATTGGAACGAACCAGATTCAACAGGCTGTAATTTTGGCAAAAATAACGACAGCACAATGGATCGAGAAACATTTTAAAGGTTGAAATTTTTACTTTCTAATCATATTCAATTTATAACATTACTATCGTTTATTACCAAGATATATCGATATTAAATGACAAATAGTAACTTTTCAATTTTCCACGTCATTTTTCAGTTATCACACTGAAAATTCTATCTTCATTAAAAAATATGATAATTATATCTTAAAGACAGAACTTTTAGTTTTCTGTTTATTGCTTAGTGAATGATTCATACGCCTATTGCAAGTAATCAAATTCAAGAAACGAAAATATCACTGTGTGTTGGTACAAGAAATAAAGGAGAAAGTTAATAGCTTTCAAATAGTATAAATCATATGTATCTGATTTTTACAAGGTTTACAAGGTGTAACTTTATGAAAATTATAGCACATGATTTTGATAGATCTAGATTTATATCTATATGTGTACCACTAATATTAATTAAATATTAATTAAAACTTGTATTTTTAAAAATATATTTAAACTAAAAGCTTTAAGCTATAAAATGTTTTATAAATAATCTTATTATCTTCATTATTTCCAAAGTTACAGCTTGTACTGTTTAGGTAAATTATTCAAGAAAAGAATATTTTAAATATTCCTTTTATTATTTTGTCATATAAGTATTTTGGACATATATGGACCATCAAGTTCGTAACCTAATTTTCGGTAATAATTACGTGTGCCTACACCTGCAAAAATGAATTTGTTTTTTGATAGATAAATTTCTAATCATTTAGTGATCTTTTATCAATTTTTACATATAAGAAGGACAAGATGAGATATAAAAGCCATGTTTATATTCTCTCCAACATACCTGAAATTACAGAAATTTTATGAGATTCATGTTCCTCTTTAGCGATTCGTTCAGCTTCGTCCATAAGCAAAGATCCAAAACCTTGATGCTGGAATTTTGTAGGATCTCGAGTGTTAATAGGCACTACACTACCATAAACATGAAGCTCTCTTACTATAGAAGTTTTTTCCTTCAATTCTGACCTACAAGACGAATTAATTATAATTTTTTCGGATGTCATAAGATCTCCCTAATTTCCAAAATATATGAACATTATACCTAAATGTTCCTTCGGAGCACTTCCTCAGCCTGAGTAAACCAATTAAAATATCTTGCATAGGGTCTTCATATGATAAAAATGTTTCCCACCCATTATTAGCCACATAGTCGCGCCGTATAAGCTCGACTTCGTATGGTTGCACTTTATTATGTATTTCCTGAATCCCGACTTCGCGTGTTCTAACATCACGGCAGTCTGTACCTAGATCTTTCATTCTGGCTAAAGCTAATTCACGAAGATTCCCATGTTCTACGCCAGAACTATTTTTTTTTACCGTAAGAAATAACATTTATATAAATTTTTTAACTTTTTTTTTAACCAAAAGTTTTATATTACAATATATGAAACGAATTTTATATATATATATATATATATATTTCACGTAATTTTTAAACATTTCTTTTTATCCATTATTATTTTTGATGTTATTATATTTACCTCACTAGTGGCATGGGTATGTCGCGTTGTACGCGATAGACGCGAGTCCATGGTGGTATTAGAGCCAGAATACGAGCTATAAGATCAATGAGCACACTAGGTGCATAACTTTTATATCTGCCAGTTTTCCACAGTTCGTACAAGCCAGTACCACGTATAACTAATGTCGGATAAATTTTTAATCCGTCTGCTCGGAATGCCGGGTTTTCGAAAAATTCCTGAAATATATGTCGATACATAAACATTGATAATATAAACACTGATAGGATAAGTGCGCAAATCCAGTATTGCTATTCATAATTTAGAGACATTACTTACAATGAACTGATAAATGTCTCGTTCGATATCAACATTCGGCAAGTCTGGCATCATGTGAGCTATCACTTTGAATCCAGCATCTTTTGCTAGTTGAAAACTTTCGCATACAGCACGTACTGTATGTCCTCTGTTGGTATCACGCGCTACGTCTTCGTACACGGATTGTACGCCAATTTCTAAACGCGTGCATCTGTTAAGATTTATTCTCGTCTATAGATATCTTGTGAAATATAAGAATGATACTGAAAGTGCACATACCCATAACGCAACATATCTGAAAGGTGTTTCTTGAGACAGTAATCAGGCCTAGTTTCGATAGTAATACCAATACATTTTGTACGACTACGTTCAGAGAACTTGACTGCTTCATCAACATTACTGCTTACATGACCAGACAATGCATCATGTAAACTTCGTATAAAATAATCTCTGTAATCCTCTGGTAAGGACATGAAAGTACCCCCCATAACAATGAATTCAACTTTATCAACACTATGTCCTAATTGTTTCAACTGAAAAGAAATATAATACAGAATATTATATTAAATATATATAATATAGATATCGATAAAGCTAATTTTTAAGTGAATATCAAAAACAAATTGGTAGTTATCTATATATATATATATATATATATATATATGACTACAAAAATGCCTAAACAAACTTGTTCAACACGGTGTCTAGTTTGCAAGAAAGGATCATATCTTGCACGTATTGCTCTCATTGATGTAGGCTCATATCCAGTATAAGATTGTGTGGAATATTCAAAATCAGAATCTGGTCCTCCAGGGCAATATACACAGATATTTCCTGTCATATTAATATGTGGGCATCTATGAGGTTTGCACATTACTGCTACAACAGCAATCTGCAACAGTTAGATTATGTTATCTTTGTCCTATGCTATCCACTTGCTTATTAGTAAATAATGATATAAATTGTACTAACTCCACTAGCTGTCCTGACAGGTTTAGCTTTCAACTTTGGTAGAAGTATATGTTTAGCATCATTAGGTACTGCTGCTATAATGTCAACTAATTTAGGGGAGGAATCCAAGCCATACTTTGAAGCAATTCGAGTTTTCAATCTGTTTAGGTCGACATCTCGATTTTCATGATGAGCCTTTAACAATTCCTGTATAATTTCTCCAATTGTCATTAACATACGTTCTTCCTTACTCTGCTCAAATTCTGAAGATGTATAAGACATTATGTTATTAGAGCATATATTACATTATATTCTAATATAAAGTAGAGTCAAAAAGCAAATAATTGTTTATATAAATTTTAGTATCCAAAATTAATAAATACGTGTACATACCAGTTCTCTTTTTTACCATGGTGCAAATGAATTTACTTTAAATATTTTAAAGATAAACGTTCTGATCACTTTTTATTATCTTTTGCAATATTGTATATATGTTGCTGTAATATTTCAATATTTTCTGATTCTTAAATTCAGTCGCAATTTGGCCAACCTCAATGAAAATATATTCGCTATGAACTAACCTTTCATGTATTTACCCTTTTATTTCTGATATTTCTGCACGTGACATGTTTCATAGTAGCAGTATAGTCTTTCCACAACAGGTGGCGTTGCTTGATACTTTTCGAGCGAGAATATGTGAGAATCCATAAGTTATATCATTTTAGCAATATACTGTGTTTATATGTGTATTTTATTCCTCTTATCAGGGCACCTATTATGGAACTCGTCGGAATCGATACCGATCGAATATTTATTCCGTTATTTCCTAGATTTCTATTGTCTTTTCTAGGGGAAACGGAATTATTCCGATCGGAATCGATTCCGACGAGCTCCATAATAGGTACCCAGATCTCTTTCAATTATAAATTAGTAAGTATAGTTAGTTATAATCGTATACATTAAAGAAATGTTAAGAAATGTTTAAATATTAAGAACATAAGTTAAATAGATCTTATCGAAAATTTTGAGAGCTGAATAGACAATATATATGAGGTAACAGCTAATCTCCATGCAATTATATTTTTCAACATATATTTAACTTGATGTTTAATTTTCGAGATACTCAATGTAGAAAATTGAAAAGCTGAATATATAATAATCCTTCAGCAAGATTTAGTAAAGAATGCCGCTCCCTTTCTCTAAATATATCTTTTTAGATTATTAGATTATTTTATTTTATAGGTTATCCTTATATAATATTTACCGTAAAATTTAATGTACCGTATTGCAACGTAGAGCTTCATAGAAATAAAACATTTCAATCAAAGAACTAGTTAGTTTGCAATCGGTGAGAGGCGAGCATAAGATATTATCACAAAGTTCAGCTGAAACCAAAAAGCTTCTAATAGAACGGTTAATTCAAACAGTTTCATCAGACCCTCTGATTGGACGATCGTAAAAAATTAATCGAATTCGTGGATGCGGTGCAATATCAAGGGAGCGGTTACGTGATGCAATTCCGTCTCGGCCGATCCGACGACCTTATGGAAAATCGAGTAGATCGCGCATACGTGTGCGTGTGTGTCCATGTGAAACTCGGTATTTCAGATCGGTGATTCTACGATGTTTTTTAATCGTTTCTCGCATATTGAACAATTAAATCAGATATGCAATGGAGCGACCGCGAAATGAGAGTTCTAATTCGCATTGCGATTATCGCGCGGCGCTGCGACGCATTATTGCGCATTCTCACCTTCGCAAAGAAGCATAGCGATACAGGTTCGTTTTACATGTTCACAGAGTTTCAGTGTAATTGACAGTGCAAACGAAGTCGGAACGAGCGGCTGGCCGACACACGCAATTTAATTCGAGACCAGACACGTTGCATCTGCCTGAGAGGTGAAAGTTCAAACGTCAATGTTAACTTGTGCGCGAGAACGATCTCTATCTGTGTATTCCTCACTCGGAACGTTACGATCGACATAAGGTATATATTTTTCGTATCTGTAACATCGAAAATTGATATCAGTGCTATTGTATTGTATGACTTTGCATGTCTCATCGAATTAACGCGGATCACTCTGTTACAAGCTGCGAGGAGCGTCCAGTTGCCAAGCTGTAATACGAATAAGAGAATAACGAGCATGAGATATGTCCGTGGGAAAACCCGACGGAGAGAGAAAGAGAGAGGGAGAGGGGGAGGGGGAGGGAGAGAGAGAGAGAGAGAGAGAGAGAGAGAGAGAGAGAGAGAGAGAGAGAGAGAGAGAGAGAGAGAGAGAGAGAGAGAGAGAGAGAGAGAGAGAGAAAACGACAGATGACCAAGCTCGAGAGCTTCCGTCGTAGCGCTCGTTCATCCGGAGGTAAAAGGGGAGAAAGCCGATACGAGGGTTACGGCTGGAGGAGATAGGTGGGTAGACTCCTTTCTTAAGACGACGGAAAGTTGGCGGTTTTTCCCGCGTTCGATCGAGAGCGCGACTGCTATCAGCTATCGGTGTTATTAAGGCTTCGGCTCGATTTCTATGCATCTCATCGCGAAGTTGCCGGTCCAAATGGCGTCGGGGATGATAGGATGGGGCTCGTAAGTTAGACAAGACGGGATGGAGGGATTCATGGTGCGCGGGGTCGACTAAATCGGAGGGCCAGGTCATGTACTGGGTGAAGTAGTTAAGATATCGAACGGGGTTGAAGACGTGGGTGGGCCTACCGCGATTAAGTTCATGCATCGCCTTCCCTTCGTCCCGTGTGCTTTCGATTTTCTGTATGGTTCATGGCAGGCCGTCGAAATGAAATTGCGTCACGTAACAGCACGGTAGGAAATTTATAATTGATTTTAAATTTAACTCGGGAGCGAGTGAGAGAGAGAGAGAGAGAGAGCGAGAGAGAGAGAGAGAGAGAGAGAGAGAGAGAGAGAGAGAGAAAGAAGTGAGGAAAACGTTTAAAAAATACAGCACGTAAAATATGCTGAAATGTATAAGTAAACGTGGAAGGTTAAAAACATGATAAACTTTAAAAGAAGTTTATTTTAAATTCCCTAGTAAGTTGACTGACGTTTTCTGATAAGTTATACGTTTTAAAACTATAAATTATACATTGTTTAAATTATACATTTTTTAATTTGTCGAGCGGTAAATAATTTCTCCATGAAATAACGCCAAGAGATATGCGAGGTATTATTAGTTCGAATGAGCAACTGAGAAAATTACTCGTTCGAATATTATTATACGAAAATTATTATTTTTCAGTACTACGTCGCAATCGCACGATAACTTTATTTAACAGAATTATCATTACATCGTGCATATCAAATATTTGGCATTTACAAGTAACGTTGACGAGTTCCGGGCTGCCCTTAGTTCGTATACTTAAAGTGTCCCTGGAGTCCGCGAAAGCTACGAATAATATCGTTAGTATCCTTCGGGGCCCGTCACGGAGGAAGAGATTTCCCGCCATCCTCGGCGCAGCTACCTATACGCCGCTCTCTTTTCTTTCCCACCTTCACCTATACCACGTACATATTCTGGCATCCAAGACGGGAATTTATGATACGTCGCGCATTTATATTCCCGTGCCTCTCATAAATTCTGCTTTACGCGCATGTAAGTGGCTCCACTTTTGTTCATAGATTCCTACGACTGTCAGATTTATGTTTCCGTACGTGGCGCGATTCGACGCGCGAGACAATCCAAGATTGCAGCAAGAAAGAGAAAGAGAGAATATGCGCGTAGTCGCCGAGGAAGAGATGCGCAGTCAATGCGGTTACACCGACGAGACCGTTGGCGCCCGTTATTTTGCGAAGTGCGGAGGAGAGACTGCAGTTTCGAGTCCAGGTATATAACAAGGTATATATATTATCCAACGACTTTCAAATAATCGCGCATCTCTCAGCAACGTTTAATCTCGAGAATAATTGCGATAAGAGTAGAAAGTTATTTATGTGCGGCGACTGTATCATTGCGCGGTCACTAAACTTCGCTCGAAGCAATCGTCGATTAATTGACAAAATCGCTAACAATACTTCCCAACTGTACAATTTTTTGCCCAAGAAAGAACAGAAGTTAACCAGAATTTCATCCGTGCTAGCAAAATAAAGCGAAACAACTACTCGAGCGGTAACAATTCGAAGTATAGGGTTATAGAAAAAGAGAAGAAACGAGAGAACTTTCGAGAACATTTTTTCTCTTTCTCTTTAATCAGCCAACTTCGCGCTATTCTCTGTTGGCGGCGCTGGCGCCATTGGCGGCCCACTTGGTTACGGATTAGATCGATCGGTGTGCGGCGAATGTTAATCGCGGATTAATTTCAACGGTAAGGCAACTCCAAAGTTCTCTATTCCGTTTTATAAATGCGAAATGACATTCGGACTTTTCCGTCAGAGACTCCCTCTCGGCCGGTGTATTGCTGATGATCACTCTTATCGTATCACTCGGACGAATAAGATCTTCGTACGAGCGCCCTGCGCGAGCGATCGCCATGTCCCTTCTTTCGCCACCGCCCGAGGGCTCGTCGTCTGGACGTCGGACAAGCGCCGATATATCAACGTTACACGTACATACACGTGCAGACTCGGGACGACGACGTGGTGTCGTACAGAGAAAGATGCGACGTCGCCGATGGGAACGAACGGGAGGAAGCGATTCGATATTACATGCTTGACGATACAAGGTGAGCACCACGAAAGCTAACCTAACCTGACTTAACCTAACCGCGAAAAACGCCGCCGGGCTTTGCCGCCAGCGCATCGTCGCGAGATATATATATATATATATATATAGATTGAAGATTATAATAATTCGCGTCACTGCACCCAATTTCAATCTGCCGCTCTGGACCAGCGGGATGTATCGGTAGGAAGCGGAACTCACCGTTAAATGAACCCGTCGCGTCGCGAGCCTTTGTCGCCGAGATTTCTCCTTTAACCGGTGACATCTCGGAAAGTCTCGTAGCGCGTTCATCGCGGAAAATGTAAATCAACGATGATCGAGTTATAAATCGCTTTCTCCTTTTTTTCTCGTTTTCTTTTGTTTCTTACTTTCGTACTACGAGCGAGCTCTAATTAAACTAACGTTTAAAGCTCGACGCGAAAGTCCCGATATTCAGATGCAACGGCGCGACGGTGGCGGCGGCGACAACGGCGAGTAAAATCGCATTTCGAGCTATACTTCATTATGCTACGTTTTTTCGTCTTATTATTTTATCATCGTCAGCGAAATGTTTACTTGTTACTTGTTTGATTACTGCATTTTCATTGACAATAATTGGCAATTATTTCAATTCAAAAGTCGGCTTGTTAAACATGCGCGGAAAATGATATTTAATTTAATACCGCACAATCGCATTACACTAATGGCATCGCGATATTGATTTTCGAAGGAGGCTTTATTTGTTGCTTTAACGATGCCGAGAGCGGTACGGATTTAGTAACCTAACCTAACCTATGTATACGCATTACGTATGCGGCTCCCTATTAGGACACCTGGGCGAACGGCGAAAGCGGGAATCTCGGAACGATAAATTTGCCCCTCCCCGTGGGGGATACACCATCGCCGAGAAAATAACAATATAACAACGCTGAATAATCGCGTCGTATCTCGCGTGTCAGGGCGTGCGTACTTAGGGCGTCGCTCTTAAATTATCGGTTCGACATCGACGAAATCCGACGCTGGCGTGCGCGCCAGCGTCTCTCATATTTATCTTCTCGTTGTCGGAGTGAAGACACTTTTATTGCTGAGATTTCCGCCCGGCTCGTTTCGCATCTCACGGAGTCTTACACTTCACGCTGTTCACGCACAATGCGCCGGCACGAGTCGGATTGTACCAGGCGATCGCAGCGTGAGCACGCTTCGCGATCATCATCTTCTATTCAGGAATTGAATGGAAGACGGCCGATGTATTTGTTTATCGTCGGCTCCTCACAGCGACGACAATGGGAGCTCGACGGGGGAAAGCTCGACGGCGAACTTAATGTTCGTCAAGCATTGTGCTTGCAATAAGTGTTAGACCCTCTTCATCGTATAATCCCTCAGCTACGAGTGCTCGCACAGTCGCACACGCGCATCACACGTAATTCCGCCTCTCGGAGCACGGCTGTCCATGGCGTACGACAGGTGAACGGTCTATGGAATAAAGCCCCGCGCTGATCCCGTAGTCCAGAGATCTTCAACCTTACCGTGCGCGACCTGCTTTACTACCGGGGCCATTCTGCACTTCCTCCTCCGTCCTTTGACGGCGAAAGTCCCGTGATCCTCCCGGCGCGGCGCCGTGATTCTATTTCTAAACGCGCCGGGCTCTGTGTCGCGCGAGTCGAATACATGCATAAATATTTATCAATCGCCACTGTGTGACGTGAGTCTGAGCAAAAAGTCTACGTCGTGACCTTTGAACGTGTGCGGATGGTCGTCGGCGAGTAAAAAAGAACGCGCGCGCACCGTTCGGGAAATGTAAATAAATGCAAAATACATCATATCGCTGGCGGTTGACCTTAATTTTGCCTCTTGCGTCGACCGCAAGAAAGAGGAAGAAGGAAGGAGGCTAATTAATTGTTATTCTCGCGTGGTTTCCGATTTATGTTTCAATAACGACTTTATCGTCGGTCCGTTTACCGTCCGTACATGTGACATCTTTCAATTGGAATTTCATTATTAATCGCGTTTCTACGTGTGCGTGTGTGTGACGTGTTCATTCAGTTTCGGGGATGCACCATACATAGAGCATAGAGCAGCAGCGCGTCGCAATAGAGCAAGCGCGGCGTATCTCACTTTTATCCACGAGCACAGAAGTATCGCATGGTCGAAATGAACGCGCGGGTGGCGCGGTGCATTGCGGGTGCATTCGCGTGTATAGTGGACCGGTGTATAGTGGTAATAGCGTCCAGGACGACCGCTATGCAAGCCGCTATGCAACAATACGCGCACCTATAGCTTCCTCTTTTCTGGCTTTTCTGGCGCGCGCGCGCGCGCGGAATCGTGCCGCTCTTTTGGCTGTCACGATACTGTCGCGCCAGGCGCATCAAATTTCGTCCGAGAGGCCGGCGATTTTCCGGCTGCGGCTCAGCTTTAATCCCATCCCGACGTCGAATTTTAATACGGCAGGCGCGCGCGCCATGATTGTGCCTCAAATGCGAAATGTAAATGAAAGGCGTGTAACAAAATGCACCTACGCGCCGGGGATCCGTTTATCTGCACGCGTCCCTTAAAATATTCATTTAAATTCGCCATATCTCGCGTAATTATAACTTTCGGCCGACGCTCCTGTTGCGTCGAGTTTATTAGCGACAGCTGGATCCGTTAAATTACGTATGTGATTTAATTAAATTTTCACCGACGGCGCGGCGCCTCCACCTCCGTTCGTCCGCCTGCACGCTTGCCGGCCTCCGCTCGTGATTCCCTGCCTCGTTGAGCCGTATTTTCGCGCTCGATGCGCTCTCGTTAACTGGCTCGATGCGAGGCTTCTTTCCGCGGAATCGGAGATGGCGATCGCGCGATCAATTCATCGCTGATTGTCCGCGTTATTATTGCGTGGCGATTCACTACGCCACGCGTTTGCGATGCGAAACCGTAATCGCCTTGCACGTGCGCGTCTGCCCGGAGCCCGGGGTGTGGTTACACGGCTCGGTGGAGCTAAGCGTGTCTTTTACTCTTTCGGGAATGACGTTTATGCACGACTGCATAAGCGGGGATGCAGTTTAGTGCGATATATGTGCATCCCTCATCCGATCACTTGACGCTAACGCACATGTTAATACCGTATTTGCTTTGGTGTGTCGATCGCGTGTATTCTTGGCTTGGTTTGTAATTTCCCCCTACGAAATGTATCCTCTTTCGCACACGGCGAAGGGGAGGAGGGATGAAATTCATATTGAGATCTGAAGCGAGATGACCGAGATGGAGAGAAAGAGAGGAAAAAGGCAATCAACAATGTGACGCAGTTGTTGGAATCGTAACGTTATCCTTTTCAACGCGCGTGCGGGATCAACGACAGCGAATCGCTCGCGAATCTAATCTTTCAGAATTACAGGTGAGCGTACACCTACAAGCGCGCCGTTCTGAGCGCTCGAGTGGTTCGGTTATCGCGTTTCACGCTCAAGTTTATCTGACACGATACGCACACGGCTCGACACACAAACGTTTTATGCCGCGAGTGACTTAATTTCCGTTGTCGGGCCGATCATATGGGCCGATGCGCCGCCGCCGCCGCCGTCGTCGTCGTCGTCGTCGTCGTCGTCGTTTATAAGGCGGTATCTCATTCCGCATCGTACGTTCTCGCACTCTTGCCTGTTTGCACAGCTCCGCATTTATCATACGCCACATTGTGCGCGATATCGGCGTTTCGTGTTCCTCCTGGCCGGTTGTTCGTGCAGCGACGTGGTGCACTGAGCATACGTACCGCCATTCGCGGTTCACTTAAGCTAACGATATCACTCTCCAATTTATTTATACGCTCCTCCAAACGGAGAACGAAAAAGAGACAATGGGAACGCATGGCCGTAGGGGCCGAGTTCATAGCACGCGATTGTTATTACCTCCGCGATCGGTCGGCGCTCGCAGCTAACGCATCACACACATTGTGCGGTATCGCGTAATTATAAATGCATTTTGCATGTGCGTTTGTACGCGCACGCGAATACAATTATATATAATATTACAAAACACCGCATTATATTCCCCGATTGCTCACGGGGGAGAGAGCGATGTATTCGCTGAAACGTTAAGCCTGCTGGTGTAATGCTTCAATCGTTAAATATCGCCTCCCTCCCTCCCTCCCTCACCATCACGCTGGCCGATCCGCTTCCCGTCGATATTTGTACGGTCTGTACCGGGGGCCTCTTTAAGGTACTCTACGACGACGTTTCGCACGCACTAACGCACTAAAGCGTAAGTGCTAGCAACAGCCATTATATCTGCTGTATTTCCCGCGATATCGCCTTCCCCGGCGGAGCGCACGGCTGCACATGCATTCGGGCAATATGGTTACGCGGCTCACTAAAGTTAAACACGTTCCTTGCATAACAACATCCAGAGAGCGAGAGAGCGTACACGCACTAGACGGAAAGAGAGCGAGAGAGCGAGAGAGCGAGAGAGCGAGAGAGAGAGAGAGAGAGAGAGAGAGAGAGAGAACACACGAATGCAGAAACAAACACCGATACCGACGATGCACACGGACCACGCAATCGTTTTGCGTTGTCGTCGTCGTCGTCGTCGTTGTGCGTCTACACGTGTGCTCTCTCCCGTTCGCGCTCGCGAAGAGAAGAGAGCAACAACACGCGTGCGAGGGAGAATGCGATAACGTCGGCGCGCGATGCACGGTGGCAGCGCGGAAAGTGTCGCAACCACCATCCGCTTGTCAAGTAATTGCGTTACGTATTGACTTAGTTGGCAGAGAGAGGCGCGACAGCTTAGGTGAGCGAACGAGCGGACCGCATGTGGTCAGCTTGAATATTAATTACCTGGCAATTTCGAATTTAATGGCCTCCGATCGCCGCTGTTGCGCGAGACTTTCGGCGAGCTCTCTCGGAGATTCTCCTCTCCACAGCGGCGATCGATGGCCGGTTCCTCTGTCGAATTCGCCGAGCGAACCCGGTCAGATCACGTTGAATACCCGCGAAATCGGTGAAATCTAGAATTGACGGAGTATATTCAAAAGAAGCAGCCACATATGCG